AACGATCTTGACATACACTGTCGATCCATCGTTTCGATCGGTCTGAAACGACGGATCGTACAAATCAATCGTACCGTATATGGGACACTGACGATCGATCGTTTACGATATTCATGATTGCATGGGTTTTTGTTGCGATCTCCGATATCGTCTGCGATTAAGTAAATCGTTAACGATCTTGACATACACTGTCGATCCATCGTTTCGATCGGTCTGAAACGACGGATCGTACAGATCAATCGTTCCTTATATGGGCCCCTTTAGATTAAAACAAAAAGGGAAGATACGACACTCGCGGCTCAAAAGTGATCCACTCAAATGTGCATACAACCACAATTCGCTTTAGTCACAATTAGACATTCAAACACGCTGCATGTGCACTCAATATGACAACATTGCGTATATTCTATGTTATAAAGATAAAGCAATGCCTTCGATATTTTTATAAAGAACACAAATAGTTCAAAATCAAATAACAAATGCCTCGGCAACACTTTTTATTCATAAAACTGTAAATATATTTTTTTCTCAAAAATCACGGTTTGTCGTGAATATTATTTACGTAATCGCCGTTTTGTTATCAAGAAAAGGACAACAATACAGCTCAGCCGTACAGACTCGGAAGCGGACTCGCCGTTTCGCTCGCCCTGCGTTGAAGCGTACAGTTCTGTCTCGCTTGAATGTTTTTATACAGACGTGTGCGTGAGAGTTGCTTAAGTAGTTGAGTCGGATCATATTTAATTGGATGCTAGTATGAGCGTCCTGTATCTTCTCTTTTTGCTTTAATCTAAGGTTTACAGTGACTTCAAGTTGATCGGAAATAGATTTTGTAATATTACAGTTCCCGCATTCATACAGACTTCATGTTAGAATGGTGATGGGAGGTTTTAATTCTTCGAATTAGTTTTCGTTATTAGCATGTGTAGCAGTAGCACGAAGCTCGTTGGGGTTTGTCTTCTTTCACCTCCAATGGACATAGTCGACAGCCTCTATGCCAATCGACAACTGTATTGTGTTTCACTACACCAGATCATAATTTATCTCTCATGATTCTCTTGAGTGATTTTAGATCTATGTTAGCTGCCTTTGATTTTAGTTATCGAACTTGACTTGCATGTCTGTGCATGTGTGATTAAAGCAAGCATTAGTCATCAAAATAGTCCAAGTCATCCAAGACTTTGAAGATTTCCTAATGTTGTTAGAGACATGGCACATATTGTCAGAGGTGTTTTGATTCATTCATTTAATTAAGAAACAAAAGGCTTTAGCCGAAGGCTGTTTGCCTGGTCTAACACCAGTGTGTGACACTGCCGTCCATGGACACTTGCAGCACCAAGGGTACCACTCATGCTTTGCCAGCTTCAAAGGAAAAGCTTTACCTGCCTATTGAAGACCGTCATATAGCTAAAAGGAAAAACTACTAAAGGAAGTTCATTCCAGATCTTACTGGTACGCAAGAAAAGTCTGTAAGCAATGTCTTCAGAAATGAGGCAACCAATCATGCACAACTTTACAGGAGTGGTTTTTGTAAGATTGAACTAGGTTACAGATATACACAGTCAGGTCATAAGTATTGTCACACAGTAAAAACTTTTCTTTTAGAATGCTGGTCACAAAAAAGTTTATTGAATTCGAATTTCGAATTTCATGAAAATAAAAATGTATACTTTTTATGGTAGCCATACATACTACGAGAAATCGTTACGATCAGACTGTACAGTTCGAACGGTACCGATAAATCGTAGCGTGTTATGTTATACCGGCCATACACACTACGAGAAATCGTTACGCTTAGACTGTACAGTCCGAACGGTACCGATAAATCGTAGCGTGTATGTTATAAAACTTCACAGTTTCCTATACTAAACGAAATCGTATAAACTGTTCCGTTCGAATTGTACAATCTGATCGTAACGATTTCTCGTAGTGTGTAAGGCCGGTATTATAAAACTGCACAGTTTCCTATACGTACGCAACGTACGATAAACTGTTCCGTTGGTACTGTACAGTCTGATCGTAACGATTTCTCGTAGTGTGTATGGCTACCATTAGAATTTAACACATTTTTAAATATGGAGTGGACGCTTAAAGAAGACCGTGTTGCAGTTATTGCGTTGCATCGTTGCGGTTATGCGCCAATTCAAATTTTTGACATACTGAAAAATTTTAATATAACCAAAAGATTCGTTTATCGTACCATTAAACGATACAATGAAGACTCTAGTGTAGATGACAGGTCAAGAAGTGGTCGCCCTCGGTTTGTTAGGACTCCAGCAGTGATAAAAGCTGTGAAGGCGCGAATTCAAAGAAATCGCAAACGTAAGCAGAAACTGTTGCCCCTTCAGATGGGGTTAAGCAGAACCACGGTGAAAAAGGTGTTAAATGAAGACTTATGGCTTCAGGCATATCGAAGAAAAACAGGACATCGTTTGAATGCTCGTCTAATGGACCTGAGACCGAAGAGATGCCGCGCTTTGTTGAAGCGGTACGCGGGAAAAAATATCGGGAAATTCTTTTTCGGATGAAAAAATTTTTACCGTAGAAGAGAGCAACAACAAACAAAATGATAATGTGTACGCACACAGTAGTGAAGATGCGAGCAACCGTATTCCGCGTGTCCAACGAGGTCATTTTCCATCCTCGCTCATGGTATGGTTGGGAGTTTCTTATTGGGGCTTAACAGAGGTACATTTTTGTGAGAAAGGTGTAAAAACGAATGCAGTTGTGTATCAAAATACAGTCCTGACGAACCTTGTGGAACCTGTTTCTCATACCATGTTCAATAACAACCTAAATGGGTATTCCAACAAGATTCGGCGCCAGCTCATCGAGCGAAGAGCACACAAGACTGGCTTTCGGCGCGTGAAATCGACTTCGTCCGGCACGAAGACTGGCCCTCCTCCAGTCCAGATTTGAGTCCGTTAGATTACAAGATATGGCAACACTTGGAGGAAAAGGCGTGCCTTTGAGCACGCCTTTCATCCCAATTTGGAGTCACTCAAGACATCCTTGATTAAGGCAGCTGCTGATAATGACATGGACCTGGTTCGTGCTGCGATAGACGACTGGCCGCGCAGATTGAAGGCCTGTATTCAAAATCATGGAGGTCATTTTGAATAAACTTTATTGTCATAAGAATCTATGTTTTGTTATGTTCATTTGGGTATATAAATGGTTACATAATGAATAAACTTGTTTCAATTGTTTTATATTAAACATGTGACAGCATTTATGACCTGACTAGGTATAAGGAAAGGAATACATGAAACTAGACAAATAGACAGACTAACCACACCTCAATGCAATTTTACTTTTGTCTTTATCACATATTAAGATAAGATTACTTGGACAAAATTATATATGTAACTTTATATTCAGATACAAAATCCAAAAAAACACTAATTAAATTTAAATATTTTTGATGACAATTTGGACACCATAAAATAGAGGGCTCTTTAGTATCAGTTAACAAAAGTTACAAGACTACACAACCACTGTTGACAGTGTCGTTGACACAAAATGATGTCAATAAGCACTCATAAAGGAGGTGGTGCCCTTAATAGAGGCATAAGGTGGTCCAATAATAATAGTAATCATCAATAGTTTAGATGAGAATCTGTGATGGCTCCTTCAAGATTTATTTAATGTTAGGTGTATGCATCCAAAATGACTTGTCTAGGTTTGTCTGATGAGGGTTTGTCTGTTGTTTTAACACAGCTTATGCTGTAAAAGGGTTTTGTGCAAGTACAAGGATCTAGGATTTGGGAAAAAGTCTTGATTAGATTAGATTTCTTCTATGATTGATTTTTTATTTTGTTTCTATACATGTGTAGGACTCTTGTCCCATTAAAGAGACAATAATAGGCTGATAATGATGCAAGAAATTTAATAGAAAGATAGAAGTATTCTTACAGCTTTTGAGGACAGCTTAAAAATTTAAACATGCATTAAATGTATTTTCAAGTAACAATGTTGATTATACTATCATTTTCCCAAACAACTTTCAGGTAATTTTGTTGAAAAAAAATAATGTAATAACTCCTGAATGTTTGTTTTCATAATCTTCATGTTCACAATAAATATCTATCATTCATTTGATTCCCAACTGATACTCTCAGTCAGGGCCTAATCCCTTCATCAGGGAGATTGATGTTCAACCTTTGGACAAAATTTTAATTTCCCATACATTTATCTTTAAATTGATATTGTTTTCCCATTTGTTACTTCAGCACTTGCCACATAGCACTCCAGCTGCCAAAGGTGGTGCTGGACACTATAACTTTTTATTTGAACAATAGCCAATGTAAACACAAATGTAACTCTGTTTCTCTGTTATCTATCATGCATAAACAGCTTTTGCTGCTCTGCTCAGCTGAACAGACTTCAATGTATTTTAATGGATATAAATTGGATTTCTAATTTAGGTTAGGTTACTTTTTATATTATTGTTGCCAACACAAATTCAAATATTTTCTACTAAAACTTAATGAAATTATTTTTTTAAATTAAAAGAAGTCTAAGAAAATAATAATTTGAGTACATATAAATATAATACAAATAAATTAATTTAATAAAAAAAAAACAATCTAGCCAAATTGTTCTTGTCAAAAATCTAATTGGGTTTCTACCAATTTGAATAATGAATTAATTATACATTTAGTATAATTATTTTTGATATTTCTTTTTATAACCTTACTGTAAATTCCTGAATGTCTTATTTTAATGGTTTTGATAATTCTTCTTAATCTCTGAGAAAAAACTCAAGAAATATGAATATACCTATAACAGAATATAGCCAAAAGCTTAAAACTAATGTTCTAATTCAGATGACTGTCAATTACACTGCTGTGAGTTGAAGGTTGTTCATATAAAAGAGTACATGAAGATGAGATTTGTTTTTACCAAACATACTGTTTGGGTGGGAATAATGTGGGGTTATTCGATAAATTCTTTGCAAGAACCCAATTCAGGGCACCCAACTGTCTGTAACTTGTACTTACTTTCTTTCTCGTGGTCAAATCCCACAATAACGAAGTAGTCAACAAGCCTGGACATGGCAATCCTACGGTAACATCCGAATACGAACACGATCACCACAAAAACACTTTGTAATTAAATTACTCTGCTTTAAATACATTTTACACACAAAGCCACTGTTTTCCACATAATCGGTAGTAATCACGAATTCCGTAATTTCTACAATACAACTCAGACAAGACTATAACTCCTTAACGATGCACTTCACAGAATGTAAACAATACTTCTTTTAGAATCACTACTTCTTACTAGAAATTACAGGATAGAGAAACCATTACAAAAGTTCATTTCTATAGGTTATAATACTACCAATCACTCCCGAGGCTACTACGAAACTCGTGCACATATAAATATATTTCAATATAGTAAAATTTTGTAAATGGACTTTGTTTAGAATCCGAATAACTTTCAGCAATAAAATCTTAGCCAGCCTCTGCTCTGTTCATTCGATTCGACATTGTCACAGGACATTGTCCACAAAACCATTTTTTAAAGTTTTATTTACGGCCGTGAATTGCTTCATTTCGTACAACCCACACATTTTTTTTTAAGTTTTACGGTTGTGAATTTCTCCATTTCGGCCATTCATTAGTATGTAATTTAGGGATGTACAGCTGAAAAAATAACGATTCATATAAAAATCGGATGTAATTAAACCAATTTCAGTTGTCTATTTTTTTCGTAACAAATATTCATTGTTATTAAATAGATTTTTGTACAATACTTAGTAAAATACTTCTTATAAACTGATATTAAGAGCAAATTTAATTATTTATTCCATAGCGAAAAGTAAGTAAATATCGTTTACTCAAATAACATAAACAGAGGTTGCCGAAAGTATTTTTTTCATAATAAAAAAACAATTAAATGGCGATAAAAGATTTACTTTATTTTTTAGATATTCATGACTCTCACAAAACTATAAAATAATCTAGCTAAAATATAAGGATTAAAAGCTTATATACAATATCAATGGTTCACTTGTGTTATGGATATTTTTTCTAACTTAACTTAAGGCTTTTGGCTTTTTTCTCTTTAAGACTGCTCTTACCATTCTGTGATCAGTACTGAAGTTTAGGTTTTGAATTACTGATGTATTTAAAAAAGCTCTCCTATTGTTTGTTAATATGTAATCTTTTTCATTTTTTGGTCTCCCATCTGGGGAGATCCAGGTCCATTTGCTTTTATTTTTCTTCTTGTAAAATTAATTTAGCAGCGATAGATTATGTTCTAGTAGAATGTCAGTAAGCATCTGACCATTCTTACTTCTCTTACCGAATCCAAATTCTCCTGTGTTAAGATTTTCTCCCCTTTGCCTCACGCCCACTTGAGAGTTAAAGTCACCCATTACTACTAGGTGACAGTGGCGGTGTTGTTCGATGAATGTAGATAGCCGAGTGGAGAAGTCTTTAAGCTCAGTTGTGGAGGCGTTTTCTGTTGGTGCATATGCTTGGATAATTTTCCATTCTTTTTTGTAACTGGTTAGTGATAACGTTATGGCAGCAATACTTTCTGATATTCCTAGAAATTCTATAACCTGATTCTTTAGAGCGAGATTGATCAAGAAACCTACTCTTTTTGACCTGCAGTTTCGCCTTTGTTGAAAAATATGTAGTCAGACCTTTGTTGTATAGATTTGCCAAGCCTTCTTGTTTCACAAAGGCCTGTAATGTCCCAGTTTAGATTTCGTTGTGCAACTTCTAATTTCTGCAAACTTTCGTCAGTTCTTTAAGTGCGAGTGTTCAGAGGTGCTATGTGCATATTGTTGTTGTGCTTAATTTTATGAAGTTTTGTGTTGTTTGTATTTGTAGCAATCAACCGAGTTGGGAGAGGGAGAATTGAACATAGCAAAGCTATGTGTTATTTACCTATATTTGTTGTATAAGGTAGAAGCCATGTTTTCGATAATTTAAAGAAATAGGTATAATGACTGTTGCCTCTCAATACATTTACAATTGTATATTGTTTGTGCGTCAAAACATAAATTTATATACGAGGCGCGATGATGTACATAATTTCAACACCAGAAATAAAGATAAACTCAAATTGCCACATTGAGACTCCAAAAGGTTCTTGGTTCATTTGTGGGTCAAGGTGTATGTTACTATAATAAAATACCAAAAGAAATAATTAATTTACCTTTTAATAAGTTTAAAGTGTGTATAAAAACATGTCTCCTTAAGAAAGTTTATTATGCTGTTAAAGATTTCCTAAATGATAAGTCACCTTGGGCTTAATATAATAGACTGTCGTTTTACTTTGCTAATTTGGATGAAAATTGTATTATCGCCACTTCTAAATTTTAAAATAGTACCTAGCTATACTTAACTTTTCTTAACCCTCTACTGCATGAATTATGAAGGAAACGATAAAAAAAATATTTGATGGTTATTGAGCCTTTATTTACTGATAAGATTTACTACAGAAATGAAATTTGAAAAAAAAAACGATTACAGGAACTGAAAAAAAAATTAAGACCATATATGGGTTCATATGCATGCAAACAAATTATAATCAAAATTACTAGTGACATATATGGGTTTCTATGAAATAAAGAAATAATTTGAGCTTGTAGTATCTCGCACAATAGTTTCAGTATTTATCATGAAAATCTGATCAACAGTTCCGTTTGTCGTTGTAACATAGAAAACCCATATATTTTTTACATTTTGTGTAAGTTTTTTGACCGCAACATTGACATTTTTGTCGGCTTTTCATCCATTCCGGCATATGGTCTATTTTGTCCGTTCTTACAGAGTTCAACGGCAGTTCTTGGTGTCTGACAGGAACTTTCCTTATTTTTATTTTACTTGGACGATTGGGTGTTCCTGGATTAGATGAAGCAGGACTTCCGTGGCCAGTAAAACTTATAGGCGTTCCGTCTCTGCTTTGATTACAGGGACGTCCTCTTTTTCGAATACTTACAGCTTTACCTGATTTGAGTAAGTGTTCTGAAACTGCTTGCTTAAAATCAAATAAAGGCATGTAATTGTTTGGATTATTTCTGCGCCAAAGAATCCAAGCATTCACAATACACATATCCACCATGTGGAAAAAAATTCGCTTATACCATTTTTTGGATCTCAAGTGTTAGCGGGCTTGTTTATGTTGTCTTGTACAGATGTCAAATTAGATTGATTGATAATAGTTTCTAGTAAATCTTCAGAAAATAAAAACACAAAATAATCTGCCGGTGTTTCAAGTTTTTCAAAAAATTCCGGTAATTGTGCGATTCCAGTAAATTTGAAATTCTTTCCATCATAAGCCTCTATTTTTTTTGTTTCCCATTTTATTACGGTAGCCTTATTTTTTTTGCCTTCCCTTTCTTTTGTGTGGTTGGTGCAGGGCTAGTTTCTTCATCAGAAGAATCGCTATCAGTTTCGAGGATAACAACAGATCTTCTGTGACGTTGGTATTGTCTAGGAGGAACATATTCGCTGTCGTAATCGGAAGCTAAGGCATCATCACTTATCATACCATCTCCAGGTAAGGGATTAACATGTTTATAAGAGCCATAAAAGCGAACAGGATCCATTCTGCAACCAAGGAAAAGCCATCCAGCACATCACACAAAAAACTGATAATGCATACGAAACCATATATGGTTTCGAAGAAAAAGTCCTTCAGTATGATAGAAATATGATAAAAAGCTATAAAAAACTAAAACATTATTGAAATAGAATAGTAATAGCACCATATTTTATTTTTTTATCAAGCAAAACTTACCTTTATCAAGTAGATAAACTTTTTTGAAAAATGAATTTGCAGACACTGTGTTGAACTTCGCACCCGCGCTGATACAAGTGAGGTTATAACGGAATTGACGTTTGACCACAGACAACAAAATATTATTTTCGTATTACCAACATATTAATCTTAAGGTAGACGATGCGTTTTTTGCGTTTAGGACGACGAACTAAAGTTGAAGAACCATATGTGGGTTTGTATGCGGTAGAGGGTTAATTAATAATATAAATGTGATGGAAGTTGACATCAACACATGTATTAAATTTTTGATGTCATCTTTCAATTGACGACTTGCTGAGTTTCTTGCCGGTTCTTCTCAGTACAAGGTCTCCCACCGTAGATTTACGAACCGATGGCGTAGCGTTTGACTTTCACAAGAGCTTGTAACAGCCTAAACTGAATAAATGAGTTTGAATTTGAATTTGATACTTTTTGAAGTTTTGTTGTGCTAATGTCGTCAGTTTTAGTCAATTGAATTAAGTCAGTTGTCTGTTCAGTAAAATTAACGGTGTTTTATTATGTCTATCGTGGACTTCCTGGTGGTCAACTGTGAAGCAGCAGGCGCCTTAATCTATTTTAAATCATTATACCTCATATCACACGACAATTATATACACCAAATATGTAATATTAATAAAATAAATACATTACCACTTTGCGTTGCTTATATTTTCGCTTCAGAACTATAAACTATTTCTCATATATTATTATGGATCTGGGCTCTTGCAAGTTTGAAATGATTGTTATCATATTACATTATTTACTTATAATATGTTTTAGAAAGTAAAAGCAGCTTCAATAAGTCTAAATATGTATAAATTCACCTTTCAATAATCGTTTTGGGTTTTTCAATATAGATATTTATATATCGTTATCTTCTTCTTATTCTTTTTAATGGCATGCATATATATCGTTATCGTTGCTACTACCCTATTGTTTGACGTTGAATGCAGGGTTGCGTTCCAAAAAAGTGCAACTTCTTACTCTGACGTTTTAATTTCGTCATCAAATGTATGAAGCTAAAAACTTTACGTCAAAGACATTTGTTGTACATGGAGCGTAGATTTGGAACGCAGCCCTGATTTTGACATCCGAATACAAATATTGATGTTTTTGGGTTTTGTTTTGTAATTTGTTTATCTAACACTAACAAAACCTTCATGGACCTAGTAATGCCTTAAAATGTCTGAAACAACAAGTCACCAAATTCCTGGATTGACACAGAAAAAGGTATTTAAAATAATCGTCCTGGGCGATTCTGGTGTGGGGAAAACGTGCCTCACATATCGCTTCTGTGAAGGCCAATTCTTAGATAAGTCGGAAGCTACAATTGGTGTAGATTTTAGGGAACGTACAATTCTTATAAGGAATGAAGAAATTAAGGTAAGAAACTATATATCCTACTACAAGCTACAAGGCAAGTCTTACTGTGGCATCCTTGTATAAATTTAAACGATTGCAAATTGTTATAGCTCCAGCTGTGGGACACAGCTGGCCAAGAGAGGTTCCGCAAATCCATGGTTCAGCATTATTACAGGAATGTACATGCTGTGGTAATTGTTTATGATGTAACCAAACCAGAGACCTTTCATGTAAGTAATGTTAAACTATTTGACACTGTTTTAATTTTTTAATTTTTGTTCAACACTGAAACAAACTGGTGAAACCATCCCACTTCATGTTTTGCTATAATCTGATGTGTTGTTTCTTTGATATTAACAATTTTATGATTATTGACTGAATTTTATGTTTATTAATGTGTAAATATTTTTGTAATACAGTCAATAGTTAGCTGGATGCAGGAAGTGGAATCCCATGGACTTACAAACTCCCCACGTGTCTTGGTTGGGAATAAATGTGACTGTGGCACACCAGAGTCTAGGTTAGCCACCACATATGCTCAGCGTGCTGCAGATAAGTATGGCATGCCTGTAAGTATTTCATACAAATAAATATTACAAAATTTCATTAAAACTTATTTTTATACATATATTATTGGTATTTGTAGAGCTTCAAACTAGCAGTAACATTAACCACACCATTGCCACTGAAAGAATTCAGATATATTCAGGGGGGTATTTACCCTAGGGCCAAGAGAACCATGGCCCAGGGCAGCATGCTGGCAGAAGCCATGAAATCATAAGTGGCCTGAGGGTCAATCGCCTAACGGAATTGCTATGACTATCGCTATACTTAACGATTTTATTTTGTTATTTCTGACCACCAAAAGTTTTCAAATACCTTACGCTAATTTTCTTTAATATTGTTGTTACCAATACAAAAGAAAAAAAAAGAGTAGAGTGTGTTTGAAAACCTTTGGCAGTCAGAAATATCAAAATGAAAACCTAAGCGATAGCGATAACCATAGCATTCCCGTAAGGCGGTTGGCCCCTGGAGCGCCAGATTTTAAAAAACGCCGTTGGATATACCTAAAATAAAGAATAGTTTTTTATAATTTTTATTATTTTTAAAGCATGTAACTGCTTGATGTTTAAATCTAAAGAAAATATAACTAATAGTTTTTTCTTTAATTTGTAGTGGTGTTTGTATTTTTATTTACGAATTGATTAACCTTATTTTGTTAATGACAAACAGTGCAGGATAATCATTGATAACTGAATGATTCTCTGGTTTTACAGCTGTTTGAAACTTCAGCTTTATTGGACTCGGAATGTGACAATGTGGAATCAATATTTATGACATTAGCACATAAACTGTATTCGAAGCAGCCTTTGAGGGTAGTCAGTGTTGAGGTAAGATTTAGATAGATAGATAATACTTTATTGAACACACCACATTATAAAGTACAAAGTTTGGACATTAATTTAAATAGGTGGACAATTGGCGGTCTTATGGCAATGTAGCCATTTCTTCCAGACAACCATAGGATGGAGAGACGTATTTTAATTAAAGAGGGGGTGTGCAAAATTACAAGACTAAAATAAAATTAATAAAAAAAGAACACAAAATCTAATCATAATTAAAATTACTGTTCAAGTTAAATAATAGAAACTGATAAAAATTCAAATAAATAAACAAACAAGAACGTACATCGGTACATAAAATAAAATACACATCTTTAATAAACTTAATAATAATCATATGATGCAAGCAAGAACAGGGAGAATGCATGGGAACACAAACAATTATTGTAAAAGGAAAAATTCCTTTATCTCACTTTTAAACTTTCCTATAGTCTGTGCACGTCTAATCTCAACAGGAAGAGAGTTCCAGAGCCGCACAGCTTCAACACAAAAAGAATATTTATAGAAGGAGGTATTGTGTACAGGAGTTTTAAGGCTCAGATTCTCTGATGAGCGTAACATCTGGGCATGGGAACTGTGGAGAAATCTGAAAAGTTCTTTGAGATAATTGGGGTAATAGGGATTAAACAAAACATTGTAAAGAAGGGAAAGTATATGAGTATCCCGGCGACGACGAATTGGAAGCCACTTGAGTTGAGAACGATACTGGGAAACGTGATCATATTTTCTTAAACCAAATATGAACCTGATGCAGAAATTTTGAAGGCGCTCAAGTTTATTTAGCTGGTCCTCCGTAAGGTCAGGATAGCAGGCGTCAGCATAGTCTAGGACTGGACGTAACAAAGATTGAGATAGCATAAATTTAGTGGCAGTAGGTAAAAAGTTACGCAGTCTTCTTAACGAACCAGCAGACGCATACAGCTTCCGACTTACGGCTTGTAGCTGTGGCTCCCAGCTTAATGTACTGTCTAATATCACTCCCAGATTTTTCGCCGTAGTACTATAAGGTATATCAGTTCCTTCGAATTTTACTTTAGGAAGAGCAATCCAGTTAATTTTTGACAATAGTCTGGAGCTACCCACTACCATAACTTGAGTTTTAATAGGGTTAATATTAAGGCCTAAAGCTTTACTCCACTCCGCAATTCGACATAGATCAAGATAGGTTTTTAATACTGCTTCTTCTAGTTTTTCAAGTGGAGCCTGGCAATATATCTGTAAATCGTCTGCATTAAGGTGGTCGGATGAAGATAAATTTAAAGAGATTGAATTAATAAATATTGCAAAAAGAAAAGGAGATAATACGCCGCCTTGCGGAACGCCAGCAGACGTGTTGCACCATGACGAGAATCGGTCATCAAGGCGAACACGCTGCCTACGCCCATACAGATAACTGCGAAACCAGTCAATTACCGTTGGAGATATGTTAAGAGAGCGTAACACGGATAGGAGAACATCAAAGTCGACGGTGTCAAAAGCGTTACTAAAGTCCAATAAAGTTAGCACAGTTAAGCGACTATTATCCATGCCAAGTCGGATATCATCAGTAACCTTGACTAAAGCAGTGACAGTGCTATGGCCAGGACGGAAGCCTGATTGGAGTGGATTACGGAGATTATGGCGAGTAAGAAAATTATTGATCTTTTTATGAAGGAGACGTTCAAGCACTTTGGATAAAAAAGGAAGAATGGATATAGGACGAAATTCAGAGAGGACTTTAGGGTTGCGTACTTTAGGCAAAGGGGCAATCTGGGCGTCTTTCCAAGCAGAAGGAAATGTAGCTTTAGAGATTATACTGTTGAAAAGGAAAGTTAAGACAGGAAGGATAAATTCAAGAATTGGTACTAACATATTACGACTTATGCCGTCGCTACCTATTGCATTAGAAGTAGCTGAAAGTAAGCTCGTCTTAACATCACAATCCGATAATTGAACAAAAACAAACGGAGGGAAGTCCGGTATTGGTAAGGTGGAAAGATGACGAAGAGTGTTAATTTAATGTTTTTCCACCAATCCTTAATGCCAGAAAAATGTTATGTGCTAGCTCTTTACACGGCTATTCATTTTTGCTATTTGTAATCTTAAAAGCAGTGTCCTTATCTACTCTATGGAGAACAAAAAAGGGGGAACTACTGCCAAGTTTACAAGAGCTAATCTTTGCTCGAAGGACCTTTATGAACATTCGTAAATTAAATTATCCTAGTTTCTTTAAGTTGTAACAAGAAGTTAGGACAAATAGCCATGTGTAATGCTGGCATTATTTGTTACGACCAACTAGCAATTACAAATAAAAATTAACTAATATAAATAATAATATAAAAACTTAAGTTCTCTCTGTGTTGTGATATATTTTTAGTGGATAAAGGTGTTGGTTGTGTAATGACATCAATGTATTATGACATTAATATATTTATTAGTGCTACTACATTACATACAATATTGCACAGTTGTTAGTTATCCTAAATAAATAAAAATAAAAAAATAAGTTTCACTCTTTAGTTGATCAGCCCCAAAAAGGCACAAGTAAAACCATTGCTCTAAAAGAGCACTATAACAGTCTGCATGTCTGTATTTGATTATTTTCAGAACTGCCATATTTATTTGCTTCACAGTAAAAAAGTTATAATGCATATATGTATTGACTCCATATTTAGTTAGAATGTTAAAAAACTGTCTTCACTCATTTGTGTGCATGCATTGGTCTTGGACTCACAAAGACATCCCCTTTAATATTAGAGTCACCACTGACTGAGCTGTAAAGTCTATCCAACCTTGTATATTGGACCATAAGCAATGGTCCTGTATGAATATTTGGAGCTGTAGAAAAGCTCATAAGAGGCTGATGATAGAGTAATGCTCTGCAGGGCAAATTATACTGAATGCGAATTCATTCATACCTGTTTTCCTTTTTAAATTTTCAGGGTGACCAAAGTTATGGCGTGGTGACATTACCACGACACAAAAGTCGGGCTGCGCCGCCTCCGCGCGACTCCTGTCTATGTAGTTAAGCTTTTAGCTCGCAGGAACAACTGTGGCAACATTCGTGTCTACTGAAGGCTTCAGGCTCTCTAAACCTCATAAAGTACCTGTATAATTGAGGCTATATGTAACTGACTGTGTGTCACAAATGAGCATTTATGGCAACTGTTAGCATAGTGTGAACATTCACATCATGCTATCTGAATATAGGCTGTGATCCTATACTTTGTAAAATAACAGATGGACCTGTAAAATTAAACAAATAGTTATAATAGATTAATTCTATGTCACCCAATTGACTAAACTGATACTACTTAAGACTTATTTATAATTTAAAAGCATTCCATGAGGCTAGCAAATAAGGCTCTAAATGTGTAGAAAGTTGCAGTTGTGATATTTTTATTATAACAAACTACAGTAGACCCACGGTTATTAATTTGACAAATGTTTTGCAGCACAATGTCAAAGCATTATGGAATTTGACGGATTATAGAGTACTGCCTACACGGGCATAGCAAAGATGGGCTACCCACCTGAGTATTGATATTTATATTTGACTAGCGGCCCGCCCTCGCATCGCTTCGGGGCAGAATTGATCAAAATCCTTTCTTAGCGGATGCCTACGTCATAACATCTACCTGCATGCCAAATTTCAGCCCGATCCGTCCTGTGGTTTGGGCTGTGCATTGATTGATCACTATGTCAGTCAGTCACCTTTGAGTTTTATATATATAGGTAAATTGTTGATTGGGCACGTCCACACAGAGCGAGCAGCCTCGCAAGGCAGCTAAATTAATTGTAAAACATTCTGACTTAACGTTTCAAACAAGATAATGTTTGATGGTTTTTTTTTTAATGTTATTATACTTTTTTATTCATCTTATCAGGTACTGGTCGCGGCACGTAACTCTAGCGCTGAACAAAACGCGTTAGGGATATCTTCGCATGGGTACGACTGGAGAGCCAATCGGCGAAACGCACGTCCACCCGCGCACCTCGTTTCCCCCCAAGACATCTTAATTTTTACTTCAGCGCAATAACGGTCAGCGCTAAAGTTTCGTGCCGAGACTTATACATTATCAAAAAGTATTGAACACGTATTTTTGTCTTTTTTCATATAGTCAAAACATTACAGAGGTATATTGATTTGAAATGTCGCATAACGTTATAGTCCAAGAGCTGGCACCAATTTTGACTACGACTACAACTTATAAAAATTGTTAAAACTGCAGTTCCGTGTTGGTGTATAATAGGAGAGGTATAGGACAAGTTTTCGGCTTGCCTCAAATACCTACCGAAAAATTGGTGCCAGCTCTCCTACTATTACGTCTTGCTACAATTTTTACTTAGAAGTGACGTCACGAGCCCACAAACTAAAACGCGCTTTTATCTTTGTCATTTTTTGGTTGATTGACAAAAGAAAATATAAGTGTCCATTATTTTTTGATAATCAACTAACGGACTAAATATAATTTACTCTACCTTGTCATCATCCCTATTATACAATTCGTCAACACAATATATATTGACAAATGACGGTGTAAATAACAACCCGAAAAACTATGGTTATATTTAATTAATAGACAATTGCATTTATTAATAAGTTTTATCGTAGGTACATGATTGTGCCAAATATGAGAATAAAATGTAATTAAACTAAGCATTTAAAATTTCACAATGCAAAGAATTTACTGACGAAAACACAAGTGCAATAAACTTCAGACTGCTGAAGTGCCTATACAAATGACATAATGCTGATAACTCCTCTTGGCTATTTGTTTATGCTATTTGTACACTTGACAACAGTGTCCTTAACATCCTTTTTAAGGAATGAAAAGGACAGACTGATGGCAAGTTTACAAATAGCACACACGAATAGCCTAGTGAAGTTCCGTCATTAAATCGACCCCACATCAAGCACAAAAGAGTTTTGGCTGTGATTCGCCCATATATATATATATATATATAAAGATGTTTAAATTCATACCAATTGCACGGTTTTCTTTCAACATGTATATGTAAAAAATTGTAATGTAACAGGCAAATTTTGCTATATAATATTTATAACTCTTAACTGTAAGTTATGTACTTATAACTTTATAAATACTGTGAAGTTAGCATTGCGGCGCATTTAACAATTACGTAAACGCGGGGTTTTGCTGCACGTTTTGCTGAACTATAGCCTAACAGTGTTGCCAGGCGAGGAAGTTAAAAAAGCGGTAATATGGGTACAAAACCGTGGATTTTCAAACAAAAAAGCGGCCATTTACACTGCGTTAGTAAGAAATGCATGGTACAACCGCCATTAGTGAAGAAAATAGAGGTAGTTAAAGTAGATTCGAGATAGCGAGATTCGTATTGACATCGTCAAAGTTTCTTTGGCATGGCGATACGAATACTTTCTCGCTAGTTGCTCGTGCCTAACTTCACAGTAACCCCACATAAGCGTAATCTTTATTTGCTTAAAACACGGTATACAGGTATTGCATAGTCATATGAGCAGGTGTTTTGCCATTTTAAAAATAGCATGCAAATTATATATGTGGAACAAATTTCAAAAAAAGAATCAACTACTTATAGCATATTTGTACAGAATTATGAATGTCAGAGTTACCTAATATTATTTTTATTTATTTATTTATTTCAAGTAACAAAGACTCATATTATACATAATACATTAGTTAACTATTTATTATTATTGATTTATTAAATTAGAATTATTTCTGAACAGTCACTAATAATCAAAATTGAATTGCAACATTTAAAATACATAATATGTCAATAAAATAAAATAAAACTTATAAAACTAAACAAACATAACACAATGTCATTAAATCGCTCTGCCAGAGTGTGCAATGTGCAGTCTACAGCAGTGGTTAATATATGGGCAGTCAAGCCTGTCTCCCAGCACATCTAGCATGCTATTGGCACTCCCACGCACTCGCCGCACCAACGAAGCGCCCCGCTTGCGCATTATAGCATAAAAACAATCTGTGCGAGCTTCCGCAAACATTGTCGAGGCGCTACAAAAACGCGGGAGCCCCATCAACATTCTAAACGCGTTGTTGAACTGAACTCGAAGGGCGTCATACGATTTCATAGTGTAATTAGTCCATAGGCTGCATGTGTAAAAAGAAGAGCAAAACGCCTTAAAAAGAGTTACTTTAACGTCAGTGGAACACCTCGCAAATCTGCGAATAACCATGTTCGCCCTGACAGCTAGCGCCCTTCGTTCCCGCTCAATGTCCGCATCGTCCTGCAAGGTGGGAGTGACTAGATGACCCAGATACTTAAATTCCTCTACTCTAGCCAACGGGGACCCATTCAACAATAGTGATGGTACTTCAGTCACTTTCTTAGACCTACTATGAAATACCATAAGTTTACTCTTCCCACAATTATATATCAATCCATGTTCGGCCGCATATCCTTCACAAATTTGTAGTAATTTCCTTAGCCCACAGACCGAGGCGCTCAGCAGCACCATGTCGTCCGCGTAGCTAATGTTATTAAAACATACGCCGTCAATGAAACAACCGACATGCCGCTCACTGAGCTCCTCGATCAGTCCATTGATATATAGGTTAAAAATAGAGGGAGAGCTGAGTCCCCCCTGCCTTACACCACATTCCAATCTATACGAGTCCGATAGCGTGCCCGCCCATTTCACGTTATTTAACTGATTTCCGTACCAATATTTAAATATGTTTATGAGTTCATCTGGTATATTTGACTGTTTCATTTTGTTCCATAAGATGTCATATGAAACGAGGTCAAAGGCTCTTGAAAGGTCGAGGAAACAAGCGTACACAGGCGTTTTTCTTTTAGTATAATACTCGGCAGCACTCTTCAAACACAATATCGCGCTTTCAGTGGACAGTTCCGGTCTAAAACCAAACTGTTTGTCACTTAACTTAATAAATCTGTTTAATTGTGTATTAAGAATGCTGTCGAATACTTTTGCAACTATTGTCGCCAGCGAAATCGGTCGATAATTAGATGTATCTGTCAGACTTCCAGCTTTGTTTTTTACCACTGGCACCACCACCGCCCTCATCATGTCAGTGGGTAAGTACGCATGAGATATGCAGAAATTGTAAAACATAGCTAACACCCTAGTTATATGTGGCCCGGCGTACAATATATGTTCCACATTTAGGCCGTCATGGCCAGGAGATTTGCCTTTAGAAATAGATTTTACGGCTATCAACACTTCTTTCGCCGTTATTATAGTATTCACGCATTCCCCATGCACCCCACCCAACACTGTTGACAGCGATGGCCCCAAGGGCGACCCAATAACAAAGTTATTTTTAAATTTATTCGCAATAGCTTTAGGGTCATTAGAGCCGTCCACAGACACAGGAACGCCAGGACGATTTCTCAGCCGATTTGTATTTTTCCAGAAACCACAGAAGTCTTTCTTACAATGCTTAGTAGCAAGTATATCCATCTTTAATTGATCTTGATGATTCTGGCACCATTTTAATCTCGATTTGAATATTTTTTTACATAAGCACATATTTTTATAAACATCACCGGTGGTCGGACGCCCACATAACATCCATTCCTGAAAACTCGCCCTGGCCCTCGCGTGACTGACACTCACGTGTTTATTCCATCCTACAATAGCTTTGCGAGACCTAATCTTTCCCAACTCACGCTCACCCCCCCTTCCCTCCACAGCAGCCTGTGACAAAGCGAGCACAATATCAGAGTACATTTTATCTATTATCAACCTATGCAACATATTATTACAATACTTATCACTGCAATTTTCGAATTCGTTTGGAAAATCTATTAGTCTTAGCCTTTTACTACATTCGGCTTGATATAGTCTTATTTGATCTAATGTTCTTTCCCCCCACCCTACCCTACTATTAGATTTGTTACAAGTTATTTTCATAGGCGTTAGACATCCCAAATCAAACACACAAACTATGGGAAAATGATCCGACCATAATATGTCATATTTTACATACACATTGCACACCGTGTTCTTGGCGGATTGTGATATAATGCAATGATCTAGCCAACGCTTTGATCCATGCGCTGGATCTATATAAGTAAAAGTATGCGAGGTCAGTCCTAATATTTCCACATCAACAGTTATCCACTTAAATTCATTACATATACTATTTAATTCATCGTAAAACAATTCGCTAGGATGAGCATTAAAATCCCCTAATACATAAATAGGTTCGTTACTATATTCATTACTAATAGCACTTACAGTACCCATGCAGTCCGTGAACGTTGTCAAGTTGGTCAATTTGTTTACCGGCATGTACACGCACACCACAATAAAAGGACTCGCATCCGTAACAATGCGTATAGCACTCACTCGCGGATTATCACAACCTAAGACCGTCACATTAGGAAAAACACTTTTATTCCACAACAGTGCAGTACCACCGTACGGTCGACCACGCAGTAATCCTTCCGATGTATCAACAGCTGATGTTCCCGTTGTACTAAATCTTGAATCAATGGTTTCAAGAAAAGTCAGTTCATCTGGAAGCAACCAAGTTTCCTGAAGTGCTATTATTACGCACTCGTCACATAAACGTTTAATATCGCACCTCGCTCTCTTCACGTTTTTACAATTATAACTTGCAAACTTATATAACGTATTACTCATAATTTGTGGATAGCAGGCCGTCAGCTGACTTTAACGTGGCAGCTCGTCGATTTTTATAATGTATAAAACGTCTGAATATAATTCCTTCCGGCCATACATTCTCATTCAAAAACAAAGATACTTTCGATTCGGGCACAAAAAATTTGTAGGCTTTGTGATCTATCACTTTCTTCGTAATTATTTTTTCCAAAGATACTTTTTCCTTAGTTTTCTCCATTATATATGCGACAATATCAGCCTCCACAGTATCTGTATGTATGTTAGTTATAAACATGGGCGTTCTCTTCTCCGCGGCCTTAAACGATGACACAGACGCGGCTGCTTTGCCTGTTGCACCCAAATATCTGTACTTTGGCTTCCTTTTTCTTTTTATGTCACTGCTAGCAATTTTTTTTATTCCCAGAAAATCCCTATTCCACTAGGAAAAATCCCTAGCTACGCAAATGGTCTACAAATCTACAGAAGAAGATCTGACTGTCGACTTAGTTTGAAGAATCAAAGAGCCTATGCTTATATATTTCATCTCTATGTATGTTTAATTATTTAATTATCTGCATATGTTTTTCAAATACATTGATAATTTATTTTCCAATTAATTCTTTGACTCTAACATTACTAAAAAAAGTTAGAAATGAAATATATAAGCATAGGCTCTTTGATTCTTCAAACTAAGTAGACAGTCAGCTCCGGGCAAATAAAAGGTGTCGACTAATTTATTTGAGTCATTTGAGAGGTTCTAGTTTCAGAAAATTGTAAGCAAATCCATGTATTTGATGACATAAGATAAATAAAAAAAAATTGTAGTCGACTCAGGGTAGCGAATAAATAGAGAGAGGGTCGACAACCCTTGACATTTCTATTCTACTCATCAAAAATTTTCGTATCACATACATTTTCCTTATGTATTTGATAGATTACAATAACACCAAAAATAAAAACCGGAAGTGACGTCATAATTTTTCATGTGGGCAAAATCAAGCAAGTTCAGGCCTATGGGTGCGGCCAGAGTGCACTCAGATTCAGATTCCGAAAACAAGCGCGAGAAATAAACAGTGTAGTTAAAGTAGGTTGCCTGCTTTTTCTCGCGCTTTGTTTTCTGAGTCTGAATCTGAATCTGAATCAGGAGTGCACTCTGGCCGTACCCTTCGACTACACTGTTTATTTCTCGCGCTTGTTTTCGGAATCTGAATCTGAATCTGAGTGCACTCTGGCCGCACCCTATGGCTTTATTGTTCATACCCCAAAATGATTCATATATCTGATCCATACGACTTTTATATAGCCGGCTCTCCGACTATTACCAAAATTTGATTGACGCTTACCGAAATGAAACTTGATTAAATATGGGTCACTCATTGCACCTTTTATATATTTGCGGCTGGCTGTACACAAAAATCACTCCTGTTCGGAATGATATAAATAAATTGCTGACTGATTTAGAATTATTTGCTGATCATTATTGCTGCCCAACTAGCTATTTTAACTAACTAATTGAATTTTTTGGCTAACAAAAATGCGAATCAACCATTTCTCTCTCCTAACCATTTTAATACACCTCACATATTGAATAAACCAAAACACAGTATTTATATAAATTTTAGTTAATAAGTAAATATTTTAATTTATTATTAATCTGTGTTGTACAAAAATTACCGATAAATGTCGATGTTTAAAGTTGTATTTTGTCGTAAACATTAAATCGTGTTTTTAAAAAGGTTTTTTTTATTATCATCTAAGACAAATGACGACAAAAAACACCATCTTCATTTAAAAAAAAACAAATGCAAAAACGATGTCTCATGCATGGAGCCCTATTATACTTACTATTAGCAGCTACTCTCTCTCTCCCCCTACGTAAGAAAAAAATAAGAATAGTCCAACAGCCACCCCCCTATTTTATATTTATTACGTTAGAATCCAAAAGAAAAAATGAATATCTTCACATTTGATTTATTCTAATATTTATTTTCAGTGAACCAGTTTTTAGGAATATCTATTTGTACCTACAAAGGTGCTTGTAATTTTTACCATTTTGGTAGGTAGTAATATACTCCGTTTTCAAAATATAATCTTTACTACTATGCGCATTTTTGTGATCTTACGTAAGAACTATTAATACACTCTCCCACCCCCCTGTAGGAAAATATAAGAAATGGTCAACCTACCTCTCCCCCTAATAAATCGCCTTACGTAATAAATGAATAGCTAGCTCCATACCAGATATGAGAACAACCCGTGTTCACCGTAGAGAATCCCCAGCAGTGTAGCCTGATAAAATTACAGTAATACAACTTCTATGACCTGCGTGATGAAGAGTTAGTGGCTGAAGTACAAGCAGGCTGAGGATTGACCCTAGAAGTCTGCAACAAATTCTGCCGATGACTTTCCTGTCTACTTATCATTGCACATTCAGAGAAGCAAACTTATTGATATAAAGCTAGTACCCCCCCCTAGTAATCTTCCTCTGCGCCTACTGCCACACGTTGTATGAATTTTACGTGCTATTTCAACGAAATTGTTGGATTATAATAATAATGTAGGAGTGTGTAGGACATGACAATTGTAGTGGCAATTGTACCGTATTCATAAACGTTTACAATTATAATTTTTATTTTCCCTCCGCAATATTATTGTATATAGGTAGTATCTTCATAGGTAGCAGTTGAGGAGCTGGCGAACAAAACGGTATAATTACGCATCTGGTTAAAATACTCTTTTTACAGTCCGGAGTTTTTGGGCCCACTGAATGTAAATCACTCTCATTTTAAATCTAAACCGCTTAAAACAATGTTATAATGACTAAATAAAAAACCACGCCAAAAGCTCACTGTTAATGTCATTCAATTTCTTACTGCTCCTTTTATGTAATTACACCGTTTTGTTCGCCAGCTCCTCAGTTTATAAAACTTATGACTAGTGCTTCGTCTCACGACTGCGTGACGATGTTTGTTATCTATACTTAATATTATAAAGCTGCAGAGTTTGTTTGTTTGAACGCGCTAATCTCTGGAACTACTGGTCCGATTTGAATGATTCTTTAAGTGTTGGGTAGTCCATTTATCGAGAAAGGCTATAGGCTATTTTTTTCAAAATAAGGGATCCGTAATAGAGTTGCTATTTTGTAACACAAGGTGTAAAATCGAAAACCTATGTTTGCGTGCGTTGCAAAAACTATTGACAATAGAACAAAATGATGTAGGTACTACGGGTCTGTAGATCCCATGAAGACCTACAAAAAAGTCTGCAAGAACATATACCTATCTAGCTATCATGGTTTAATCACAATAACCCATTTTGTGTTCAAAATAATTATTAAACGTTACGTTACGTTAAATATGTATCGTAATATTAATCTTTATCGAAATTAAGCAATATGTTATCAAGAGTATTTATGTAGAAGTAAAATACTTTTCGTTTCATCTCAATCGGATATTTCGTTTAAAAGTTATCACGTGTGTAAAATATTAAGGGGTGGTACCTATTAATGAGTTATGGGCCATAGAGTTTTTTATCAACATAAAATCCTGTAATAATCTTTTTCGAAATATAGGATTTGTTTATGATTGTAAACGCGGGTGAAACCGCGGGGCACGTCTAGTATTATGTATGCGCCAAAATTAGCGTTCGAAATTAGAATTAGTTCTATCATAACGAATTATCATGAGCTGCGTTACGCTAGACGATCCTCCTCTATGCTCCAAGTACCGTTGTTGTAGAAATCCATGAAATCGGATCTCTCACATACACAAGTTCAATTAAAAAAAGCATTTATTGTACAAACATTGTTCAAATCATGTCAATCATTGTCAACGACAGCAATTTTCATTGGGTTGTCCTGTCTTAAACATCTTTTTTATAACCACACCACTGCCTTTTCAATTGATGTCGATAAATGCTAAAGTTTATTAAAAGAACTACATTATAGTGGTTACAAAAAATATTGTATACGACACCTCCGCAGTGTCGTTGGAAACGACAACGATGACTCAAATTAGATATGTACTGTAGGTCGCGCAATGAGTTCATGGTCATTCAACTGTAATAGTTATATATTAACCGTAGTATTTATATTACACCTAGAAAAAGATCTCACAATCACATTTAAAAACATTACACTCATTTTTGGACAGTCGTGTACAAATCAAGCTCGCCAAAATACAGTACCTATCTTAATTTCAAAACTTCTCCCATCGACTCCGTGGCGCAACGGTAGCGCGTCTGACTCCAGATCAGAAGGTTGCGTGTTCAAATCACGTCGGGGTCATGCAATATTATTTTTACAGGTAGACTTTTTATTACTTAGTGAAAAATAACACATAATTACGTATATTGCATAGATAAATGAATATCGTAATTATCGTACTTCAATTTAGGGTATAATATATGTAAGTATGTATATCACCAGGAAACTGCAAAATGGTCAAATTTTATGAGCAGGATTAAAAAAAGGAACGGTAGATACTTTTTAAAGATTCGTTTTAATTATAACCATAATCAACTAAGCACAATAATAAAACAACACACATCAGAGGATGAAAAAGAAAATGTTACTTACAGATTGCACAAAACACAATTACCTATAGTAAAACATGTATAAGCTCTTTATAGCCTTATGTAGATTTTATATGAACATACAGGTGGCCGGAACATTCCAGCCACCCTGTATATTATCAGTAAATTTGACAAAAAACGTTATTAAAGTTTAAGAAAGGACTTGATGATTCATAAATATGGTTTTATATTTTTATACTCAAATGTGAAACTTTGTAGTAGCCTTTCAAAAAAAATTAATTTAATTCATGATATTTTAGATTTGTTTTAAAGTCCTTACTTAATATATATCTATGTATTTTTAGTATCGCGCGAACGGAAAACAAAAACATATAATACAGGGCACATTATCTGTGCACGTTTATTTTTTAATTCTACTATTTTTTTAGAAATAAACTGCTTAACCTAGAATAAGCCAGCCAATTGTATCATTAATATCTACAAACATCCGTTACTTCCGATAAATCGTCTTATTGGCGTGATTGATATCTAGGGTAAGATTTTCAGTTACTGGCTGTATTGTTTAAATTTAGATAGTGCGTCGAAATTTTTAAACTACGCCCACTTTTCTATACTTAATGTCATTAATTATATTTCATTTCATAGACGTAAACACAGCCATTTCCTCTCTTCCATATTATTATATCATATATTATTTTTTTCTAGGACGTGTCATTCATGTATTCACTCGTTGAAAGATGCACTTTTCTCAGAATAAGTTTAGAAAACAGTGCTCTTCACATATATTTAGAGAAAATTTTAGTTATTACAGGCGGACTATAATATCTAGTCTCAATAAAAATTTATTAGATCTTTGTGCTATATAACAGCCGGTGGCGATTTGGCTCAATGATAATTAGGCAGTTTATGTAATATTTTGAAATTACTTTATAGTAGTATCTGTAAAGTTATTTTTAATTATTAATTACTAAATTTTTAATAGTAAACAGTATATTAAAATGTTAAATGTTCTTATTTTTATTCTACAAATAATTTGTATTATTAATAATATATTATGGGGATTATTATCGAAACAAATAAAATATATAATACAAATATAAAACTGTCTGACTTTTTAATCAAATCGTAAGTTTTAAATTCATACATATATAGGATTTGTTAGATGTTCCTTAATGAAAAAAACCTGGAAAAATATTTAAAATAAAACCTTCGTGTCGTGTTATTTATGAACAACGGTATTTTACGGAAAAAACATAAAACATTATTTTTAAACCTTCTAACAATGTTGAAACAAACCTCCAAAAAATATCAAATGAAAAAAAATCAAACAAATCTATCACAATCTGAAAATCTACCTTATATTTTCTAACGGCAGTAATTTCATCTTGCTTATTAACATGCCGTCATACACAATAATAGGATCAAATTTAGTATATATTATATTAAATACAATATATTACTTAATATATCTCAGTTAGCAAAAACATCAAATTTATTTTATTATTAATTGAATAATAACTGTATCTCTTGGTGTATCCAATTAATGTAATGTTAACAGCACAACCATTTACGAGTGTATAATGATTTTATTTAATTATGGCTATTATGGCAGTGCTAACCACAGCATTTAAAATCGGTGTAAGGCAATGTCGGGCTTGATTTTATAAACAATAATATTTAATTATTCCTCCACTGTCTTAACGGAGAATTCATTTTCCATTTGATACTAAATCAAAATAGATTCATTGTAAAAATATTTAAGTGGCGTAAATAAATTTGATATATAAACAAAAAATAAATATAAACATTTCGTATTATGTTTTTTTTGGAACACCTTATTATTTTACAAACCAAGAGAACTAAAATATTACATTTAAGATATAATGCAAGTAAAGTATTATAAAAATCTGAAGCCCGTAAAGCGACAATAGTTTTTTTTATTATTTGACCATTTCTGTATTTGTTTTGACTTGTAATAAGTTTGAGGTTGGACTCGTTGCGTTTGACTCTGGTCTCTCTGTTACACACAACCATTTTTTTTTTAAATATTGCTTGAATGCATCTTTCCTAAATCACGTCAAAAAAATCACGAAATATAACAATTAAAAAAAATATTACAATGGGGTGGACATATACCCCAGACGACCTCTTATTAAATCAAAGACTCGTTATAACGAACGAAATCAATTGAAAACATCTTTAATAGAATGCACATAATAATGCGAGTTATAAAAGACAAAAACAAAACTACGATATTATCTTAGGTGCCCATCATAAATGTCGATAAAATACGTAGATTAAACAGGATAATTCACTAGCGATGCACGTTGCACGTTGCAAACGAGTTGAGACGTTACGTGGTCGGCATAAGTGCCGTATTGCTTCACATGTTCTGCCATGAGGCAGTGATGAGCATATTGTTGTCCAAAGCTCTGGCGATTCGTTCGTGCAGTCCATGACTTAGCCACAGGATGCGAAGCTTCTCGTATCGTTCAGGGCACAGGTGGAGGGGGTTGCCGCGCCTTAGACCCTGCGATTTAGAAAGAAACAATACATAAATATTTAATGGATCTAAATCTCTGGAGACACTATTAATCGTTCGAGTTTTTTTTATTTTTATTTTTGTTGTTATAGTTTTCGAAATCTCCTCTCGTTTTATAACCATATTGTGTTTTTGTCTGTATGGTGGCCACTTACCATCAGCAGTCTGATATTCGTGCTTAAATACAAAAAACGAGTGTGCTTATGACCACACGACTGAAGTGAAACTTCTTTAACTCCATCTGTATGTATATTATATATACGTACAATATATACATGTATGTACATATCCATATTTCATTAACTAGCTATAAGAGAACGAGAGAAAGAAAATGTGCGCGCGCACTGCTTTCTCATGCTTATATCCCCCACTCAACTCCCGTTTGCCTCGCCCGAACACACTTTTCGTAACGCATAACGCATTCGCCAGTTTACCTCCCAAGTCAAGCGAGCGTAAAGAAGTTTCACTTCAACAATGTCCCATCCATTTGTAAGGTGTGTCTTTGTTGTCTTTTGTGTTTGGTATGTCAACATATGTCACTGACATAAATGTAAGCCGACGGTTTGTTGTGGGGTGATCAATTTACTGCAGTGATATCATTAATTAAATTTAAGAAACTGATTATTTTACTTTGAACGCAAAATCAGTGATATCAAAGGAGAAATTGAATCGTTCTTTAAAAATTTCCCTGTAAAAGAACTCATCCTTTCGAGCTTTCACGAAAATCCATTTTGTAAATAACAACGAAAACACTACAATTGTAACCCAAATCTGTCACAGCACCTATCTCATGTCAAGAATTACCGACAGTTAGAAAAATATGTCGAGTTAAAAAAATACCCTTGTTTCACAAGATAATTGCCGTTGAAGAGAGATACGGAAATTGTAACAAAGTTCCTGATTTGTAAAAGCTTTTTCGAAATTTTTACCACGTATCACCTGTCACTCAACAATCGTCAGCTTACAAGTCCGTGGTATAAATTCAGACACGATTTTCTAAACTTAAAACATACGTATAGAGAATGACTAAAATAATTTGTAGTCAAATTTAAGTTTAGCTTTAGATGTCTATCTAGAATGTCTAGAATCATGCCAGAATCGACACCATTGACATATGTCAACTTGGTGTAACACGCACAGGAACACGCCCGCGCCCGCGCCCCACAGTACCGCGTGAGCTACTCACCTGGTCCGTCTCCCCGTACGAGTCGAGGTAGGGCGCGGGCAGCATGGCGCCGCGTGCGGGGGCGCACAGCAGCATCAGCTCGCAGTCTCGCACGCGCAGGAACACGCCCGCGCCCGCGCCCCACAGTACCGCGTGAGCTACTCACCTGGTCCGTCTCCCCGTACGAGTCGAGGTAGGGCGCGGGCAGCATGGCGCCGCGTGCGGGGGCGCACAGCAGCATCAGCTCGCAGTCTCGCACGCGCAGGAACACGCCCGCGCCCGCGCAGGAACACGCCCGCGCCCGCGCCCCACAGTACCGCGTGAGCTACTCACCTGGTCCGTCTCCCCGTACGAGTCGAGGTAGGGCGCGGGCAGCATGGCGCCGCGTGCGGGGGCGCACAGCAGCATCAGCTCGCAGTCTCGCACGCGCAGGAACACGCCCGCGCCCGCGCCGCACTGTAGCGCGTGAGCTACACCGGCGCCTACGTGCTCGGTCACACCGCTGCGGCCCGACTGATTGAAACAAACGCATTAGAAGGGTCAGTGGACTGAGCATGTACAAGCCATTTTAATTATATTTTATTGAGTTTGCATTCCGAGTCCATGCACTCTAAACTGCTGACACAGTTATGTTTTTATTTATTTTTAAGCATTTAATTGCTAGATGTTTAAATCTAAAGAAAAGTTTACTAGAAAAAAAATCCACGCGGATCAGGCAGCGGACGGGACTCGAAACCGCACCCTTCGCTATCCGGGCGAATGCACTGACCATTATGCTACCACGGCCCTATTCGCCGCGTCGAAATTTTCCTAGCCTTAAGCTGCAAGGCAGCGCCATCTCTTCCCTAGTCGAGGTCACAGGATACAGAAAATTGATTTTGGTTACATAGAAGACCAGCTTATCTTAACAAACTAAACCAAGTAAATTTTGAAGGATGAATAAAGCATATGGGTAGTATTGTGAATGCAGAAATTATCAAAATAAATAGTGTTCCAAAAGATTACAAAATGTGTAATGTAACATTACCTAAAAGCACTCACCTTTTTGATTTCGGTTTGGCAGCAGTAACTCTGACTGCAGAGTATTTTGCCGCACACCAGACACATGGCCGGATACTTGCTATCATCCCTCTCAGAATTCGGGCAAGAGAACTCCGAAACCACATTCATCAGCTCCGAGAAATCTTCAGGCAACGGCACCAGTTTGGGCGGATCAGTCGGTTCCAAAACCACTTGAGGGGGCAACCATTCAGCCGGCATACTGGCCCATTCGAAAATCTTCTTCCTAGCTACCTGTGTATCTAATAAATCCTTGAAACTCGCCGGCATATCTAGGTACCCGCACATAGTCTCCCAAGTATCTCCTCCGTACACAGTCAATTCCGTAGGCGGTATAATATCGCTCAAAAAGTGGTAAAACAGACAGCAGCATCTCAAAAAGCCGTAGCATTGTTTCTTTATAGCTGCCCAAACTTCTGACGCGTTCACATTGTCATCAAAAACGCCTTTACGCAAATCTTTTATCAAAGGTAGTAAGTTATTTAAATCTTCCGACTTTTTGAAGTCTTCTTGACCTTCCATTGGCTCTCCTCTGCAGGATGAAAAGTCCATGAGCAGTAGTGCTCTAGTAATATGGGCGCGTAACGCTTGGATTGTCAATATCCTTACTAAATGGTTAGGTCTTGCGGGGCCGGCTGTTTTACAGAATAGTGAAGGGATTGTTAAAACTAGGGATATTAAAGTGCCAAAAGGTTCATGGGTCAAGGGAGATGTCGTTTCTAGAGTGTTTAGGGTAGATAGGGCATGGTGGGCTAAGTGTTTTGGCGCTTGCCATATACTAGGAACGGCTGCGACTAATCGTATAAGCACTTGAAGTGCGTCCCTATGCCTCGCCGGGAGATCTCCTAGTAAAGGCCGTTTCTCGGCTTGTAATACTGCGTTGGTACTGAGTACTGTGTAAGCTGTGGCCCGGTATAAAGCACCGATGGCCGTCATACCACCAGAGTCGGCTAGGCCGCAGATCGGTGGCATTATCTGTAGGTAGAAATAAAATTATTAGATTTAATAGCAAAATAAAACGCGGTAAATATTATGTGAATGACAATCACAACGGCGCATATAATGGAGAAAAGAATAACAGGTTTTTTTCAACGACAATCACGTTTTTTAAAAAGACTAAACTAAAAACGACTCAAAAATAATAAGTATTTGAAAGTTATTAAAGTTAAACTTTTATTATCTAACTGTCATTGATTCATAAGCCGTTATAATATCAAAGAGTTTCATTAAAATACTACAGTCAACGTCAACTAAACCTTCTCCCATTCTATGCTATCTTAATTAAGAACCCAAAAAAACCACTCACACTTGCGAAACTCTCAATCAGCGACTTGGTCTGTTCATTGTACACCAGAACATCCCCCTCAAAGTGTACCAAGAAGTCTTGCTTCAGCAGATTTTCAGCATGAGTAGACACATAAACTTCTGATTCATCTGCAGAATCACCGTCTTCCATATCCGAAGACATAGCGCCCACGCTTCTCGCGCGAGCTTGGCAATGCATTTCCTCACATGTTTCAGTACAAATATGGACCGCTTCGCTAGACACTTGGTGTTTGAGCTTCAGTATCAAGTCTACTGAGTCGGCGTAGACTTGTTCGGACAGGGTGGGGGGAGTGCCTGCGGGGTGGGGAGGGGCGGGGAGTAAAGGTAACGCGGTGTTGCACAAACGTTCGCAGAGGGGGCAGAGGTATTCCTTCTTCTCTACGTCGAAAGCTGCGGGTTGGCGAAGACGGTATGGCCTTTGAACAATGAAAAAATAAATATAAATATTTCCAACCCTCACACCAATTAGCTTGGCCCCAAAGTAAGCACTGTAAGGCTTGTGTTATGGGATGCTAGGGTAATGGATAGAATACATATACTGTACATATAAGTATATTTATATAGAAATACATATTAAACATCCATGACTGGAGTACAAATGCTCGTATTCATCACACAAATATCTGCCTCCACCAGGATTCGAAACGGGACCTCTCGAGTTGGCGACACCATGAAACCCGACGTACAAACCACTCGGCCACGGAGGTCGCCAAATAGGATTTTAGTAGAAATTACGTTACTTGAAATTTACAAAATTATGAAATTACTATTTATTTAGAGAATTCAAGGTAACAATGCTTGTATTTAAAATAAAAAAAAATCCTGATATTATTTTACTGTAATAATGTTTGAATTTGTTTCATTATTCTTGACATTTCGTACCCTTTACAGGCTCATTGTTAGTAAGACTGCCCGTTCAAAGAGTGTTATATAAAGTGATTGGTGGCGTGTAAACATAAGAAACAAAATTAGTTTTATGCGTTACTAGCGGCCGCCCGCGACTTCGTACGCGTGGAGTTAGTTGCACATACTTTTTGAACCCAAAAGGGGGTTTATTTTTAAAGATACATGTTAATTTTCAAGTCTCTTACTTCAAAAACATAGGACTTTCATAAAAACTTCTAACCCCCGTTTTACCCTCTTAAGGGTGGAGTATCGAGAAAATATGTAGCCTATATGTTGACCCGACTTCTTAATAATATTCGTGCCAAATTTGAAGTAAATCCATGAGTACTTTTGAGTTTATACCGGACATACAGACAAATAGACAAAAATTCTAAAAACTATATATTCGGTATCGATTGAAGATCACACCCCAAGTATTCTTTTAAAAAATATTCAATGTACAGTTTTGACTTTCCTACCATTTTATTATATGTATAGATACCTGCGGTTCTCCTTATCCTGCACGTTGTCGACATATTTCCGCCAACATCTCGCATGTAACGCGTGCCCACAAGAAGACACGTGGGGCTGAATGCCCACGCCGGCGGGGAGATGCGCCGCGCGAGACTGATTTTCTACTCCCGTAAGAGTGTCAGGTTGTGATTCCCGTAGGCGATTGTGTACGCTAGAGTGTTGCACGAACGCTACAAGCACCATGGGGACGCCTGTTGCTTCTACGCGAGCCTATTGAAATAAATATAAAGCTTTAGAAAGTGGCGAGAGAAAGGTGAATTATCAAAGATCAAATCGACCAAATTCTTAACATCTGTACCCTTAGCACGCACCATTGGCATATTTTGTATGGACACTTGAACAGCAGCGCCACAACGGACGTAAAATTTGACGTGTAAAATAGATGGAAATCAACTATTCGAATTCGGCAATGGTTTGTCTTCATTCTTCATCAACTGTAACCTTAGTACGATAAAAAAACTGGGTGTAACCGGTATATAAAAGAGCATTATTTATAACAGCGTGAAAAGGGTATTAAGTCAATGAACAAATCAATAACACTCTCAATAAACATTTCGCTGAAAACGTTAAAATCAAATGGAGCAAATTGTTAACATCACTTGATGGAAGGGTGAAAACTGAAATCAAGAAACTGGGTGGGTGTAATCTGCAATCTGGATGGTGGTGGTCATGATCTTGCTGGAAAAGACATAAAAATAATCAGTATTAAAAATTGTGATTATTCAAATTGTAATCATTAAACAACTCTTTTGACTTGTCAATATTTTTTCCCTAACACCCTCTATTAAAGACATTTTAACTGTGGAGAAAAACGAACGAAATAAACATCACAGCGTTATATTATGTAACAATTTATTACAAAATATTATAAAAGACTAGTGGCCCGCCCTTGCTTCGCTTCAGTGTAGAGCTGTAGTGTAGAATTCGAATTTTTCTCACCTTTTAAACCTTCCCTAGACCTCCACGAACATTTCAAGACCAATATAAGATAAATCCGTTCAGCCGTTCTCGAGACTAACGAACAGCAATTGATCTTTATATATATAGATAGGGCAGATAGGGCGAACTCACCTCTTCCTGACACATGATGCACACTCTAGGGGGGTCGGGCACCCCCCCTCCCCAGACTCCTAGAGCTGCACCACAGTACAAAGCTCGTAGTTCTTGTTGACCGCCGCCGTCTGAAGCCACCTAGAGAACAATGCAACAATCACTCAACAATGTTTCTCTTTAAGGTCCACTTGCAGCAAATTTGCTAAATCTCGATTCAACCAAAACTAGATTCAATCCGTAGGAAAATATTAGAACGTGAATTTGACATTCTTGTATGGTCTAAAACCCATTTGCGGCAAATTTTCAAAATATCGATTTAACTAAAACTGGATTAAACAGATCAAAACGTCAATGTCAATTTGTCATTATTGTATGGGCTAAATCTAGTATTAGTTAAATTGCGATTTAGAATAATTGCTGCAAGTGGACCTAAATCTAATTTTAGTTCAATCAAGATTTAGAAAAATTGCTGCAACTGGACCTTCTTAGGCAATGAACGAAAGAACTTCTTAGGCTATGACACGATCAAACTTAAACATGGGTTCATAGAACAAATTTTCGCTTGCTCCAAAATTGCAAGCTGGTCGCTCTCTGCTTAACTCTCTGTCGCCATAAGGATCTAACACGTTCTGTCAAGATCGCATGCTTTTGCTGGCCGCACTTTAGTTAACATATTTAGATGTTACATAATTATAAAGATTTATATATAAGACATTCTCTTCTCCTTAAATTGCAATACCTTACAAGTTTCATTAGGTTATAATTACACCTATAGGTGCATACAGGTTAGAGGCAGCCTCGCTACGCACGAGTAGGCGGCGCTTTCACGGTAAATAATAATTAAAACAAAATGGGTTGCAGGCCGAGGCAACGTGCCTCTGATCAAGCCACGATGTCGCGACATCATAATAGTTCACACAAAAAAAACTTCAAATCCGATTAAAATCGGAGAAAAAGGAAAATATCTTTAAAATATGCGATTAAAAATAAGTTACAGAAACAAATTAGGTGTTTAAGAAATTTTGTTGCTTTGGATTCACGAACTTTTCGCTATTGTGCGTTAAGCCAGGGGGCCATCGCCTAACGGAAATGCTTTGGAAAACGCTAACGCTTTCGATTTTATTTTGTTATTTCTGTCCGCCGAAGGTTTTTAATTACCTCACGCTCATTTTTTTTAATATTGTTATTACCAATTCAAAAGAAAACAAAGAGCGCGAGGCATTTGAAAACCTCATGCGGCGAGAAATAACAAAATAAAAATCGTAAGCGTTAGCGTTTCCAAAACATTTCCTTTAGGCGAATGGCCCCCAGGTCTCCAGTGCGTATTGATTGAACAACGTAATCCACAATAACATAACAACATTCAACAAATACATCTACACAAAACTTTGTTTCACATCATTGTTTACATGAACAATTTTTTTTGCTTTTCGAGCCTGATAGAAAACACGAACACAAATCCCCCCCGCACGGGTCGAGGGGTTGGGTATTGTGTCATCGGCTATTTTTTTGACAACTCGCCAGCGGGGGCTCCGTTCCAAACCTACGTTTCAAGTACAACTTTTCACTCTGACGTTTCAATTTGATATTTGTTGCACCTGGATCGCAGTTACTGGACGTAGCCGTGTGTTTTATGAGTACGACAGCCACATGAGCAGTCGAATGTTTATAGAGTCCACTAAAAGTAGTATTCATCATTCTGTTGTGTATTTAAAAAAAAAAAATTGAACATTATTCATTAAAACATCAAACGATACAATATAATGTCACTGACCGGAAGTTTACTAGTGTGTGACGTCATTTTAGTCTTCGCCAATCCCAAGCGTTTTCGGTCACATGACCATAGAACACAATAATCACTACTTTTTAATGATTTTTAGTTATTTGTTCAGAATAGTAAAATCGCTTTTGATATTTATGCAGATGCCAACAATTGTTTTTTTTTTCATACTGTCAAATAGCCTATTTCGTCCAAATCCGTTCAGCCGTTTTTGCGTCGTTGTTAGGTAATATTAGTTAGGATGATACAGATAGAACGACACATTGATAACGCTTATGAAATAATTTTTGAACTATAACATACCTCCGTTGCGGTCTCCTCGAATAGCGTAGCATTGTTGGCAATAAAGTTGTTCATCTGTGATTTCATCTGGGCCATAAGTTTAGCACGTCGCGCTGCCGCCAGTTTTGCCCGACGGTTTTTCTCAGCTTCTGTGTTATTGTAAACGTACGAAGTTGTATTTTGAATTCGTCACCAATTAATTAAGTGAGATTTCAAGATACTTTAAACACCCCTCTCTGGTGAGGTTGCTAAGGTTTAAGCAACGAATTAGAAATTATATGGAAGCATTACTCAATAACAAAGGCCGCTAAAACGTGGCTCCATACTCATTGAACTAAACTTTAATACTAAAGCGACTTGCACACAGACAAAACCAAATCCTCTGACAAATCAAATATCTGCAAGTGAATTAAGCTTTCCATTCATTGGATAATCGTAAAAGAATATCCCAACCAATCACATGATTGACGTGTTGATCGCTGTCTTTTGCCCCGCCCACTTGATCGCAGTTTACGTGGAATCACTTTTCAGAGCAGTTCGTATGCCATCATCATCATCGATCGGCCCATGCTCGTCCACTACTGGACATAGGTCTCGCCTAATGCACGTCACTGCTCCCGATTTTTTTTGATTTTCGTATGCCATATTATTTCTTATTAGTTGCCCCTCTCCCCAAAATCCGATGAATTAATAGTGAACAAATATATTTTTTTTAGAAAATTATTCAAAGGATCTCACACCGCTTTTTGTTTAGGAAATTCCGTGTCTTACGAAAGCTTAAATTCAGTTAAGGTATCTACATAAAGGAAGACTTTAATTTGGGATCGGAAAATTTATCAATAACTATATGCGTTGATTGGAACTTTCTGACGAGCCCGGGACACTGCATAAATATAAGTTTTTATTTATATAAAATATGGTGTGAAGGTAAATGAGATGTGACATTACAGTAAATTAACCTATTCTCAACTTGAACAATGTTGAAGAAGAGCAAAATGTGTTACAGGACTGTAACGAAATGAATGAAATGAAATATATTTTATATTTGAAATAGATAATAGAGTGTAGATCAAGTGTCTTGTTCTACCCTCTGAGAAGTAGACGTGGTCTAAGTAAGTATGAAAGAGATAGTAGGCTATTTGTTACCTGCTGACTCGTCTGATGCCGGTTTCTCCTCCTCATCGGCCTCCATGCTTTCTCCTTCGCCGATGTTATCATCGCTCTGTGGTGATGTTATCATCGACCTAACAAAATTAAATTAAATTTAAAAAAAAAACCTTAATAGGGTATTTTCCAAATTTCTGTAAACTGCTTATATTTAAAGATTGGGACAAAAGATTTAACAGAAAAATAAAAATAAATTAATTAATGTCTTTTTTCTCCATTAAACCAATTAAAGTTGAATTTACTTTAAATGGTTTTGAATTTACCGCCAAAACGCTCGGTACGATGATGTTTACTGTGTGACGTCAACTTTGTGTAAAGAATTTTAACACCTATATAGCCTGAGTACGATCTGTGATTACGGAATAATTATTTGATGATTTATTTTCTTTTAAAATATTTTGTGTAAGTATTATACTATAGATTTATCCCCAACGTAAAAAAAGTTAATAATTTAACCTTCAGTTGATTACATAGCATACATAAAGTTGACGTGACACAGTAGACGTCATCGAACCGAGCGTTTCGGCGGTAAATTCAAAACCATTAAAAATAAATTAAACTTTAATTGGTTTAATGGAGAAAAAAAAGATTAAATTAATTAATTTATTTATTTTTATTTTTTGCTGTTAAATTTACAAATAGCAAATACGAATAATAGCCACAGGAATAGCTAGAGCAAGTAAAACTTTTCGACATAAAAACTACTCAAAAAAATCTTGCCGACAATATAACTTCAACGCGTGGGGTGTCAGCAAATTTCTGAAGTAGCGTTAGTAGACAACTTTGACAGCTAGCAAATTTCTGAAATAGCGTTAGTAGACCACTTTGACAGTTATCAAATTTCTGAAGTAGCGTTAGTAGACCACTTCGACGAGGAATTTATATTGACTCTCATCGTCGAGCAGCGCGTAGCCTATTATAGGTGCAGCCAAAAAAATATGACCTATGTGGTCGAGTGGTGTGTACACCGGGTTTCAAGGTATCGCCTACTCGAGTTTGAATCCCAGGTTCGAATCCTGGTGGTGGCAGATGTTTGTGATGAATACGAGCATTTATACTCCAGTCATGAATGTTTAATATGTCTTTCTATATAAATATACTTATGTATGTATTCTATCCGTTACCCTAGTATCCCATAACACAAGCCAGTGCTTACTTTGGGGCTAGGCTAATTGGTCTGGGTTAAACAAATGGGATTCTGAAAGGTCATCTCAATTCCTTATGGCGTCAGAATACAATACACTTTCGATCTAGTAAAAAGGGGGCAAAATAAAGTACAGCGCGTTGTTATCGGATGCTTCATTGCAATATTTCGCCATGTTTCTATCGTGTCGTTATTATCGCAGCAGTGTGTAACTTCGCCTCATTCATTATGTAGTGTCAGAAGATCGCTTTGGGCGAATGGGACCAATTGATAATGATCACTCTCTTCGTAGCATAGCCTATTAGGTGGGTCATAAAATACTAAGAAGATTTGCTAACTATTACCTCATTTTTGCGACAGTCCACTTGGCAAGTTGTTTGTGGGCGTCCACGCGTGGACTGTTGGCTAACTTCTGCAGTAGTGTCAGCAGACCGCTTCGGGCCGCACTTTCGGCGAATGCGAGGAATTCATAGTGACCACTCTCTTCGTCACGTAGTGCATAGCCTATTAAGTGGAGCGCCTGGATAATAACAAAATTAATAGCAGATTATAATATTATGCGTAAAACAAAATATACTAAACAATGTCATGGTTTTACAAAAAGCTTAAATTCCACTTGGCCTACAAAGACATCTATAGGGTTTATATCTGTACTGAATTTGACAGCAGTGCCTCTATTTCATTCGCTTAAGAGTATGGTAAGTATATTATTATACCGCTATTAAATTGCTTCAAAATTAAGAGAATCATACCAGAATTAGGCCTAAATTAGTAATAAATAGCCAACAGTAAAATGGTCTCGCCTAGGTAGTTTGTTTCCTAGTTGGAGAACTTACTTGTAATTTTTTTTGATAATATTTACTAGCTTTGTAATGTGGAGAAATTGTATACTATACATATTATAGAATTCATTAAAATTTGTGTTTTAATACGGTTGTTATATACTTCCAGACACATATATCGGCCCACAATAGCATTTTAAGTTTTGACGGTCCCTAGCATATTGAAAATTAATTTTTCATTGAGTAAATACTTATCACCCAAATTTGAAGCTAATTTCTTCTTTTTTCGTGTTAAAAAATATATTATTAATTTAACATATTTTTTTGTTACAGACAGATGATGATGACTATTTATTATAACCTGCACACATCACTCACACATACACGTACACACACACACGCACGTAACCACGCATATTTCAGATACATGAACACACACACATATACAAGAACACACACACACACATGTACATTAACACACACACAAACGCTGGAAAAATATGAATCACTATCCATTTTCCCAATAACTTTCTAATTTTAAAGTGTCATTTTTTGGAAGATACTGGCTCCTAATACACAGGTTAATCCTATATTTTTAGGAGTCAGGGTCCCTTCTGATTTGCATTCTGGTATTTATGCAAAAAAGATTTCATTATTATTAATATTGCTGATACATGTGTCCAGAAATGTATTTAAAATTTAAACTCACCTTATGAACTTGCGTCTCCGAGAAGGATCTGGCCCGCAAATCGACTGCCCTTTCTAGAACAGTCCTTAGCACATGCAAAGCTGCGTCGCATTGAAGCAGGCTTGCCAGTAAGCGGAAGGACTGAGTCAGCTGCGGCAGCGATGGCGGCGGACAGCATTCTTGGAGCCCTGAGAACGTAGGTTTTTATAGGAAAACTACCTGACCCAGCCGCTATTTTCTATCTTCACACACCCTCCTACACACACACACACACACATTCACATTCACTTCACACAAAAGGAGGTTCGATATACACATAAAATATTGAATCCTTTTACTTAAATAATATGTTGATTTAACTTTGTTAAGCTAATTCACAAGAATTGTATTTTTTTTTCCTTACATATATTGTGTTGTACGATTCTTGTAAAACTGGCTTGTGAAATAAATAAATATTATTATTATTAAAATAGGGGTTGGTAGAAAGGTAAAAATATATACGGTTAAGGTCACCCGAGGCTCTTGTTGCCAGGGGACAAATGCAGCTGTTTGAAATAACTCGTTACTGTTTCGTATTATAGGCGAAATTTATTTATATGTAGGTCAATAAAAGTTAGTTTATAGAGCTACAAATTAAATTTATTTTAAAACCGAAACATTAACGCGATATTTGAAACAACTAGATTTGCCGTCTGGCTACAATAGCAATGAGTGACCTTATTCATGAGTATTTTATTATGCCATATTATAACAAAAAAATTGGTAATCTGGATAGGAAAGGAGGTAATTTGGAATCTACCTTTTCACTTTGGTGTATAATAAAAAGCCGCGACCTCTACCAAAAATACACGAAAAAAAATCCTAAAAATTACTGTAAAATTGTTGCAGTGGAGTTTGATGATAAACTCTGTAAAATCTGGTGATACAAGATTTTTATCTACAACTGAGCAAACCTCGTTCTATGGTCGACCGAACTTTTTAGTAGTTCTTAAACAAGTAGACTCACAATCGCGTTAAAAGTGTCGGAAGCAAAACTACGCGTTTCATTCGTCTATTGTGTGTAATTTTCAAACAGTCGTGTTTGGACCACGCATTGATTACAATGAGTGTTCGGTTAAAAACTGTGCAAATGACATCTGATCCCCACCCCGTGTGTTACGTAATAGTGTATAATATATATTTCCCTCACCGTACACCTCATTTTACTCGTATATAATTAAAATTTAACCTTACTGTCACGACATAACTTGTTAATTTGAACAAATATGTTAATTATTTTTTTTATTTTTTAAGCATGTAACTACTCGATGTTAAATCTAAAGAAAATATTACTACAATGCGAAGCGATGACGATATCTAGCAGCTTAAGAAAGGCTAGAAAGAATTCGACACTGCCGTCAAGGCCGCGGTAGTATAATTGGTCAGTGCATTCGCCCGGATAGCGAAAGGTGCGGGTTCGAGTCCCGTCTGCTGCCTGATACGGATGGATTTTTTTCTAGTAATCTTTTCATTAGATTTAAACATGTTAATGTTATCAGTATAAGCTGGTGTATAAAATGTATACACAGCGCCGCGCCGCTCAGACGTTTTTTGGTGCACTTTTGTTAGGAGTCTTACATGTTTTTATACTGTCAAAAACGCTTTAGAACCAAAACCACGAACATACTGGAAACGGATTTAACCAGAGCGCTGCGGTTTGAGACCGAATGATACGGTTCATTCTAATATGAGCCTTATGTAATGCTGCGTAAGGGTGAAAGTGTACGACACACTTGTTTACAACTCATGCGCATTACTTAGATATAAGTACATACGTTCGTGTGCTAGTTAACATTTGATTGAACTGGACTTTTCTGGAATGCGTCGATTGGCGTTTATAAGCGCGTCCGGCGCCGCGCAGTGAACATTTTAGCTTCAAAGCAATAACAGTTGAGTTTCAACAGCGATTTCAGAACGAATCCAAAGGCGATCAAAGTACAAGTTTCAAGTGGGAATGTTTAAAGACTTGTACAGTGTACAGTGGCTATAGTATTATGTGTTTAAGTAAGAACTGTGTGGTGAATAAAGAACTGTCAAGCGTGAACGGGCATATAATTTCGAACCCTATCCCGAAACGAAACAATACGTTAATGCACTTACCAGCCGCTTTCCTTCTATTCCTCTGCTCTTCCTCGCTCCTGGACAGTTCTTCTCTCGTATAATGGTAGAAGAACGTGTCGTATTCGTCGTACAGATGCGGCTTCAGTTTGTAAACGCCACGGTTGTTGCCGCCCGTCGGTTTTATGAAGTCTGCTACCTCGTGGATTACCCCTTCCAAGCCTGTTTCGTGCAATTGATCCTCGGGAAGGGACCTAGTAAAAGGTCATATTAATTTTAAAGACATGATTATCCTATTAACATTATACAAGTGAAAGTTTTTATGTTTGTTACTCAATCACACAAAAACTACTGAACAGATTTTGGTGAAATTTGGTATGCATATAGTTCATGACCTGGATTGAGACAAAGGATACTTTTTATCTCGTAAAAATATTAGAATCCAGTGTGATTCTCTAAAAACTTAAGTTAAAGCGCACGAAGTCACGGGCGGTCGCCAGTGTTGTATATTTGTTACTTAATCACACGAAAACGGCTGAATTGGTTTTCATGAAAATTTTCACACATACTTTATTACCACGAATACATAAATAAATATTTCCAAAACTCACACCAATTAGCCTAGCCCCAAAGTAAGCGCTGTAAGGCTTGTGTTGTGGGATGCTAGGTAAACGGATAGAAAACATATAGTGTACATTTATAATGTACGCTGGGTTTCATAGTGTCACCGACTCGAGAGGTCCCAGGTTCAAATCCCGGTGGGGGCAGATGTTTATGTGATGAATACGAGCATTTGTACTCCAGCCATGGATGTTTGATATGTATTTCTATATAAATATATTTATATATGTACCTACATATACAGTATATGTATTCTATCCGTTACCCTAGTATCCCATAACACAAGCCTTTTGGGGCTAGGCTAATTAGTGGGAGTGATAAAAAAAAAGAAAAAATATTGTTGTTATAGCGGTAATAGTTAAAACAGATCTTCAACTAAAAATTTATTCACTGCGTTTAATTAAGAAGTTCATTTTTGTACCTGTATGATTGTGATATAAATTCGTCTGTTTGTGCAAAGAAACCCACCTATTCAGCTCTGAATGCGGCATCGGTTTGACGCACAGCATCTGTATGATCTCCTTCTTGGTGCGATCCTCGCTGGACACCTGGCCCACGCCGGGCACCCACCGTGACCCCACCACTGAGGAAAATGAACATTATAGATTTACCGAAAGATTATATAATCGAAAGTAGATAGTCGGACGAAAAAAACCAAATTACAAATCAAACTGTAATAATAGCAACCAAAAAAACCGCGAAATATAACTTAAGTCAACTGAGTTTATTAAAAAATATTTATTTCAAATTGGTGCAACACTCATTGTATTTTTTTCCATTAAAGTGAAATCTAAAATATGCAATTAATTTTAATAACCTATCCGTTATTGTGATGGAAACTCATGTATCGATCAGCGTGTTGCGCGCACAGCAAAGCTGATTTAAAATTTATTTTATAAGTGATTATCTAAGAGACGGTTTGTCTTATTAAAAATACAACGACAACATTTTTATATCATTCAAATGTATAAAAGGCAAAACCAATCCTCACATGTTCAACATGTGTTTGTAGTACTGTGACCATACAAAAAGATTAAAAATATAAAAGACGACGACGATATTATCGTCTATTATATTATTCTCTTATAATTATATTTAGTAAAATATTTTCCCTTGCAGTGCCACAAAAAGGTGTTTTTTTGCCAAAAGCCTCTATTCCACTCAACTTACCTGTGATAAGCAGTCCCAGAAACTCTTCCACCATGCTTATAGTGTAGCGGAGCTGGTCGTCTTCCAGTCCTCGCTTCTCGAAGTCTGCACTGGCCCATTCCAGCAAGTTAAACTTGTTCAACACGTGGATTATGAACTCGTTGCTTTCGATTAAGGAAGCGCCAATCTATGAAATATCATCAATATCGTTAGCCTATCAATGTTCTCTATTTTCTTTATTTTATACACCAGTACGTTGGCCAGCGGTAATGACGTCATGATTTCGACGCCATATTGCACTGGTGTGCCGCCCTATTATTCATATAGTTGAAATTGTAGGTTAAATGTTATTATAATTTTTGGAGCATGAACGTTGCACACAAACACGAGACTGCTTGAATATAGCGCCAGTTCATGACGTCACCGCGCTGATCAGTGTATCCAAATACACTGATAACGAATCAACAGCATGGAGTCGATTCATGACGTCATTACCGCTGGCCAGCATACCGGTGAATATTTCGGAATACACCCATAGTTAAGAGTTCTGAAAATAAAAATGTCACCTGCAACATCAGCACGTCGCGATCCAACATTTCCGCGCGGCACTTGACGTTGTGGTAGAAGAACAGTTGGTTGAGCAGCGCGAACCCGTTGCGGCGCCACATGCCGGCGTGGACTTGAGCTATCATCGCCATGGTTTGCAGTACAGGTTCTGTGCACCAATTGTAGCGTAATTAATATAAAAAAAACTGCTTTTATTTAGAAATCAACACATCTTTATTCAAATTGGATGTCTAGTACAACTCTTTAGAATCCTCCAATTTTTTTTCCCTACCACTCGTTATAGACATATTTTTTAGGTGCGGAGAAAAACAAGCGAAAAAAGCTCCACAACATTAAAAGTATAATGTAGAAACATTTACAAATCATTATGTTGTTACAACGTCAATACAGTCATGATTTATTTAATATAGAAAACCTGGTGGAATGATTGGAACAGTGCAAACCCAAGAATTTTTGTCTGTAATATAATCAAGACAGTTTGTAATAAGTCTTTTTTTATACTATCGAATTAACTATGAAGACGAGTTACTATGAATAAATTATTGAATTTATTCATAGTTAACTCGTGGATATTGCTTGGGACTTTATAAGCGAACACAAAGACCTTTAAATGAATTATTGATTTTGTGAAGCCTAGTAGCAGGTGAAGTTAGTTTATTTTTTGTTTCTTGTATTAAGTGAGTGTGCATCGCTGTTCTTTAGAAGCAATTTCGCCTGCATGGTTTGATAGGTTTCCCATACAAACTGTCATTCATCTTTTCACCCACCAAAGAAAGATTTCTGGAATAAAAGCCATCCTATTTCCATTTCCAGCACTTAAACTATTTCTATACCAAATTTTATGGAAACCGATTCAGCCATTTAACGTGAAGACTAATTTATAATATTAGTATAGATACAATCAAAAAACTTGAAATTGATACTTAGGCAAAAGCCAACTAAGGTATTTTTTTATAAAAAACTAAAAGGACTCACCTATAAGTTCCTCAGGCGTGGGCTTCGGCTTATCCGGCCTGTCGAACTCCTTGCTGTGGTAATTCAGCCCATGGCGCTGCAGCTGCAGATGCAGTCCCGCTATGAACCGCGACAGGGGCCGGTGAATTGATACCGGTTCAACGCTGACATCGTACGGGATCACTGAAGCACTCTGGTTGCCTAACTCTGGCACAGACACGATCGATATATTATTTTATCATAGCGTTTGTAATGACGAAAAAAATTTTCAATTTATTTATTTATTAGTTATATAGATAGAATGAAAGAAGTACATAAAAGGAACGAGTATCCAGTGTTAAATTTTCAGCTACATTGACACTCGGAGAACGATCTCTGCAACAGGAGAATTGACTCTTTAGTTACACGCTGTAAATGTCAAAATGTTAGCCAATAAGCCAACTGTATAATGCGATTCAACTAAGAATAGGACCGACTGGGCGCCATATTGTGACGTCATAGCTGTCAACTCAAACCAAATAAGTAGCAGCAGAATGATAGGTTTTGAATGTCTGGAAAACGAGGAGGAGGATAGCAAACTGGCAGAAGGTCTTGTGAAGATCTATACAGATGGCAGCAAACTGGAGGGAAAGGTGGGAGCCGCCCTGACCTGTTGGAAAGGGCAGGCAGAAGTCCTTTCCCGAAAGTTTAAGCTGGAGCCATACTGTACAGTCTTCCAAGCCGAGCTGTATGCTATCCTCCAAGCCACGGAGTGTGTACTAGGGAAGGGATGGAAGGAGGCGGCCGTGCTCAGCGACTCGAGGTCCTCTCTCCAATCGCTAGCTGATCCAGACTCCTCGCATCCGATCACCAAGGCGATTCAGGGCAACCTGGCCCAACTCAGGGACAACGGACAAACCGTGTCCCTGTTTTGGATCAGGGCCCACGTCGGGGTGATCGGAAACGAGAGAGCGGATCAGCTGGCGAAGGGGGCGGCCCTCGGGTTGAAGTGCAAATCGCACTATGACTGCTGTCCCATCTCTTTCGTCAAGCGACATGTACGCGCGATGACGAAAGTAAAATGGGACAGCAGGTATAGGAGCGAGGACACGGCGGCCACAACGAAGGCGTTCTTCCCTTGCGGGGAAAGCGCCTTCGGTGTCGTAAGAAAGATAGAAATTGATAGGATAGCTGCACGGATCTTCACCGGGCATGGAGGTTTCTCCGCCTACCTCCATAGGTTTAAAAAAAAGGACACCCCAAGTTGCGTATGCGATCCCGACACCGAAGAGGACATCTTCCATGTCCTCTTAGAATGCCCCCTTTACAACAGAGAAAGACACGACGCACAAACAGCACTAGACACACAACTTAGAAAGGATAACCTGAAGGAAATTATAACAAACAAAAGAGATAGAGAGATCTTTCTTAAATATAGCAAAGGCATAGTAACAAAAGTCATAGAAAGAAATAAGGATGATTAGTATAGGTATTAACCTATGTATTATACAATTGTAAATTTTAAATTTAGGCAAGGAGCCATATGGGCAGATAATGTAAAATCGGATTAAGAAATGTGTACAATAGAGAAATGGTAGTAAATAAGAAATATAGATAGTAAGGAAACAAGTGTGTGTATATATAAGGAAATGTAAAATGTAAATAGAGAAAATAGAAATTATAAGAAATGTAATAGGAATCAAGATAATTGTAAAAGATGAAAGAAAAAGAAAGATGTGCAAAAGAAAAAGCGCAACAAAACAAGCAAAAGAGCAGGCATGAATAAAAACAATATAATAGTAACAAACAAAAAACAAAAGAAAGAAAAAGACCTGATACAAATTGGGGATAACCGCTAAAAAAAAAACCAAATAAGTAGAGCGAGCAAAAAAATTGTTAATTTAATAAAACTTATTTACTAAGATTAAGTGAGAAAATCATCAGATTTTTTTAATAGAATTAACTAACTAAGATTGAGAACGAAAAACGGCCGATTTATAATAATATTATTTATTAACCCTGTGTGAGAAAAACATTAATCAGAATCTAGCTCTTCAATTCCGCTCATCTCAGCATTACCACCGGAGTAGTTATGAATAATCATGGACTATTACTAGGTCACTTAGGAACATGCATCCTTTAAGTAAACGAAAATTTTAAATCGAGTTTCTGAACGCAACTTAAAATGACATTTGGTTGACGATTTCGGTTATCAAACATTCATAGCCAAAGCTCAATAAATGAAAAAAAATATCAATCAATATTAATAATAAATAAATATTAATAATTTATTGTTTTTTACAAATGTTTGGTTTTTATTCTAGAATTCTCAGAGAAAGCTCAGTGCTAAAAAAGTGCTCCAAGTTTTTTTTGCAAACCGTACTTTTGACAGATGGAGGTCATTGGCTTTCCTATTCTTATTTGAATCGCACTATACCCTTAGCACGAACCAATATCGATTTCGAATAGTAAGCGAGTGTGAAAGGTCATTGTCAAATTTTGTATGGAAACTTGAACAACAGTGCCATATCGGACGTAACGAGAACTAAAAATCTATACACAAATTGGAAACTTCAAACATTGCTAACTTACCCCTGACAACTTTAGGCGGGTGCGTATAAGTGTCAGCGTGGCGCCTTAAAGCCATCCTATAGGCGGAGGTGGCTAGAGCTCGTTCTGCGGAACACCACTCCAGTGATAAAGTGATGCTGTGAGCCAATTTCACGTGGAGATTGAATGCGGACTCCCATTCGGGCTCGTATTCCATGTGTTGGCCGACCTGTGTGCGAATGTAGATTTTTACTTCACTAGCTGTGCCCCGCGGTGTTACCCGCGGTTTATTAGGGATCTTTCCCCGCAGTAAAACGTAGCCTATGTGTTAATCCAGGGTGTCAGCTAACTTCATATAATTTATTAAAATCGCTCCAGCCGTTTAGACGTGAAGAAGTAACAAACATACACACTCACAAACTTGCCTTTATAATATTAGTGTGATTAATGGTTGCTTCATCTAATTTAGCCAAGTATTATTTGATTTCCCATAAAAAATAAACTTCAGCACCCCAGACATTAACAACTAAAAGTAGCGTATAACTATCCCTCTATGTCTTTACCAAAATTCAAAGTGGTTAAGGCTTGAAAGCATAGCAAACAAACTTAGTTACACATTAAAGGACAATGGCGAACTCCCATACAAATTTTTGTTGAAATTTTTTTTTGCGTCTATAAATGAATTGAATCTTCAATTATAGAGTTTAGATTCTCGATTTGATTCGTCTTATTTCTATTATTATAGGAAGTCTGGATTTATAGATATTCTACTTTGAAGTTTTGGAGGTTATGTCATACCAAGTAATACAAAAACGAATTATTAAAGTATTTACAAAAGCATTTTTATATCAAAATAAAAAATACGTGAACCGAACTATAAAAGTATACGGTTCCCGTAGATTAGTGACCAAAAAAATGGTTTTTATAATGTATGATCAGTGGGCGTATAGGTACTTACCGACCAACCGCGTCAAAATACTCAATAATACTAAACAAACCAGGGTTATTTAGTTCGAATACAATGTCTATGCTCTAAGAAGTACTTAACAATTTGAAAATGACCACAACAATAATAAAATATAAAAAGGATTTCTAATAGTGTACGGATGGGATATTAATTAAATATGAAACACTTTTTTATATATCTTTTATTCCATATCTTTGATCACAATATCGTAGATAGTAGATACAATGAAATAAAATCCACAGTATGGGACGGAATCGTGTCCAAAATCCACAGCAAGAAGTCGTCCGAAATATCAGATTCGGAAGTGTTAGGCAAGCACTACTCAACAGTCGCAGGGAAGATTTCGAGAGTCCAAATGCAGTCCAAGTCACATAAAAACACAAATCACAAAAAAACCACTGCGCCGATTTAAATCGTTGCAATACGCATGCACAAGTAACGATAATGTTATCAATAATTATCAATATCAACAACAATTCGATGACAAGCATGACAGTGACAGTTATAGTTTTTTGCGTTAGAATTGTCGCCATACCCTTTTTGTATTGTGGAGATTATTTATTATGGTTTCAGTATAATATTGAAAAATAATGTTTCCCGATATTTTTGATAGATAATTAAATACAGTTTAAGCGTAAAGCGATGCAAAAAATACGAACAACTTATTTAAAGTTGATTTCATCACTAAAATCAGTTAAAATAAATGGCTCAAAAGCCATGATGCCAAGCCACAATAAAAATAAAAAATAAATAGTCAATTGGGTTTCCCTTTTTTAAGTTTTTAATTCCAGACTTAGACAACCCTCCTGAATTGTTTAATAAATCTTTTGAGATTATTTTATTAACATTTCTGATAATGACATCTATAGACGCTAAAGATTTACTTCAACAAATATTTCGCCATTGTCCTTTATAATATTAAGAGAATTTCTTTAACTCAAGTTATAAGCCGAATAAATAACAATAAATTGTGTGCCAGCCTTCCTTGCATGAGCACCGCGATAATGATCTATACAGAGTGTCCCAAAATTGTCCACATAAAGGGAAAGTACCTTAAACTTACTACAGATAGAAAATTTACGGATTGGACTTCATTTTTGTTTTGAAAACAATATAGTATTGTGGGAATGAGATGAGATGGGAATCAAACCGGCTTAATGTGAAAAAAAAAATTAACTGTATTTCTACTACAACGGTCAAAAGGCTAATTTTTATTATTTTCATATGTATAATAATATTAAGATATAGAATAACTAAAATAAAATTAATATAAGTAGTGTTGTCTTATCAAATCAATTTTACGTCTTCAAGTTTCCATTTTTTTTTGAGATACATTATACAATCCTTACCTGTCTAACAACCGAGTCCATGCCCTGCATCATGACCAGAAGGTTGAGCATGAGCGACAACCCGTGAAGGAATCCCTTCCGCAAGTCGTCATCAAAGTTGCTCGGCACCGAACTCAGCAGGTACTTCACGTCATACAATATGAACTGGGCGCGTTTGAAACCCATCGATACTTGGTTACGGTCGAATTCCAGCCGACCCTGTTGTGACAATAAATTCAGTTATCTATCAGTACAAAAAGAAGAGTGAGAGAGAAGGAGATACTTATCAAAGGTAAATCTATTATGAACGTTGTGACATACACATTAAACTTGAATATGAATAAAATGTAAAAAATTAAAGTGTACCAAACTAAAAGAAGTTTGTACTGCGTTATTGTTGAAATTTATACTTAAATAGTATTAAATGAAGTCGCTTTCCGCGTCTGTCCGTAAATCCGCTAACTTCTTAACCACACAAATGATTATGATCAGTTATATATTTTATTATGGAGGGTTTCTTTCTATGTAAAACAGAAGCCCAAGGACAAAAATTATAGAACAGACTAGATCAAAGCGAAATAAGGGATGGTCACTATACTCTATTCAACTTCCTCTGAGACAAAAGGTAAACAAGCAAACCAATGTTTCTAAAACTTTTTATCGAGAGTTAAGATGGCCAGTTTAACCAGACTAATTACAAAATTTCACGTTTCAGTGTAAACGATTCGCTTTATCACTACTCTTTGATTTAGTAGTATTATTATGCGTTCAAAGTTTGGGAATAACTGCAGTTTTAGGTTTTTTAATGTCACATTTTTTTACTTATGATTTTTTAAGCGTATAAATTTCGCACTTTTGAAAAACCTTTTTATAGTTTGTTTACCTTCTGTCTCAGAGGCAGTTGAATAGAGTATAGTTTACTGTTTTAATATTATAAGTTTTAATTTATTACAAATCACATTAAGAGAAAAAAGGCGGTACAGAAAAATACAATAACCATGTGTTATAACAAAGATTATATCAACATAAAGAATACATACCTTATTGTTGCATCGGCGGTTACATTCGCTGACGAACGTGTTCATGACGACGAATAGAGCGTCGTGTAGTCCAATGAGATGGTGCGCAAGAGTTGGTGTCGTATACAGCTGTACGGACAGCGACGATATCGAGAACGAGTGGTCGTGGTCGTCGCGGATAAAGTCCTTGAGTATGGACGCTGGGGGAGACATAATTTGATATTAGCATGACTGTTAAGTTAGTAAACAAATAAAAAAGTTTTTTGATGCATTCTATACAGGGGAGATAAGAGACAAGAAATAACTAAGTTTAAAACGGAAGTTGAGCACAGCGTATTAAAAGCCTGAATTCTAGGCTTAATAAAAGTCCGGACAAATCCGGACGAATGGTCACCCTAGTTGCGATAACGCTCACCTAAGTTCTTATGAAGAGTATGGCCAAAATCCTCTTGATGGAATAGTCCATAAGAGTAGTGGCTCTGAGCAGACTATGCCAAGCAGTTCTCGCAGCCTTCCACGTTCGCGAGTCGTTCTGCATCACAGCACCAGCTACTCCACCGCTTCCTAAAGCGACTTCACTTTACCTAGGGCTACTTAGCTCATGGATAATTGCTAGCACACTTACCATAGTTCTTAGTGAACAGTATAGCCATAGTCCTCTTGGTGGAATAATCCATGAGAGTAGTGGCTATTAGCAGACGATGCCAAGCAGTCCTCGCTGCCTTCCACATTCGCGAGTCGTTTTGCATCACTGCACCAGCTACTCCACCGCTTCCTAACGCGACTGCCCCACTAGACCCCCAAGTGGCTTCACCTAGGGCCACTTGACTCACGGCTAACCGGAGACTCGGCTCTTGGCTCACAAAGTTTTGCAACCTTAATGAGACATGATAAGGAACATACAAATTGCTTTTAGCTAACAAGTAAAGAGTTGATTTTTCAATGACTGAATTAAACTTACTAGTTTGATTTCGTATTTCAGGGACTAAAAGAGTTGTACGAATGACAAATTTATAACGTTGTAGTTCTAATTATTTATGGTTGGGTATTAATTTAATATGACTGGTAAGTCTCATGTAAGAATTGAAAAATCAGCCCTAAATTAATCAATATTTAGAAGCTAAAAGTGAGAAACCTATTAATAAAAAGTAAAAATTATTATGAATAATTGTTATGGTCTAGATGGCCTCCCTAAGGGTTACCAGCCTCGCGTCCAAGCGGATGCTCATCTATCTCTATACCAAAATTCCTCAAAATCGATTCAGTGGTTTAGTCATGAAAGCATCGCAAATAATAGTTATTTATTTAACTGTTGTATAATGAGGGGTATTAAAACACGACAGTGGGTTTATGATAATAGGTAATTATGAACAGTTGCATACAAGACTTTATCTACACCCATAACATAAATCTTCAATAAAAGATTCTAAAACAATGGGGCGTTCTAAGAACTCAAAATTCATGAAGTTTCGACGCGGTGGTAGTGAAGCAGGCGTGAATAACAACGTTCTTTTAAATTCATAATACCACGCATCAAGCATTGAAAATTGTGGCTATCTGATGAGTAAGCCCTTTGGCGCGGAAGGGGATTTAAAAAGCGAAGGAGTGTTGTTTTGAAATTAAGTACAACATTATAACACCCCTTGGATGTTTTAATGTTAGCAATAAGCTAAATGTTTCAGAATCTTTAATAAAGTTTTTAAAGTATGGCTGTAGACAAAAATATTAATTTATTCTTTCATATTGCTCAATTCTGAAAATATAAAAGATGGCACTTACCAAGCGAGCAGCTTCATGGCGTACATCTGGTGCGCGATCACGTGCGCGTGCATGACGAGCACCTTCAGACTGGGCCCGTGTCGCGACGTGAACCTTTCGAACATCGCGTTGCAGCTGGGTCAGTTACATCACACCAGCGTCACACTTCACACCGCCCCCGATACCAACCATATACCAACAGTACGACCAAGATCTTGTGGTGCGTGGCCGAAATCGGCCGAAATTTTAGGAAGGTGTAAATAACCCATTATTCATAGAAAAAAGTGTGAATAACTTTGTCGCAATTATTGTAAATGAGGAGCTGGCGAACAAAACGGTATAATTACATAAAATTAAATTTTACAGGAGCTGTATAAAACTTAATGACATACCTTCAGTGAGCTTTTGGCAGAGTTTTTTATTTATAAATTTAGTATTATTAACACTGCTTTAGGCAGTTTTGATTGAAAATTATTTGAGATTCAAATTCAACGGGCCCGAAACCTCCAGACTGCAAAAAAAATGTAGTTTGACCAGATGAGTAATTGTTCGCCAGCTCCTCCAATTATAACGTTCCCCTTAGTGAGGAGATTTTACGTATTTAGTAATCCTCATTTCACCACTTATTCACCAGCAGCGCCCTCCTATCGATGTCATCTAAGGGTACACACATAATCGGACCGGCTTCAGCAGTATTTGTCTAACAACAAAGCCGACCCGTAGTAATTGGTGCCGAACATTCATCTAAAGTACGGTCGCCAAGCAGAATGACCCTACGCTACCCATCCTTATCGCTCGCACGCAATTATGTTGCTGTCACGCTTGCACACAGTACTACACACGGTACGTGTGCGAGCGGGACAGCAACATAAGTTCTCGCGAGCGATAAGGATGGGTAGCGTGGGGTCATTGTACGAAATTCTTTCTGCTCGGCGACCGTACTATACACATGTTCGATTTTACCACCCGGCTGGTACTGCTGCTACTGAATAATGCCGACCCGATTATGTGTGTAGCTACCGTTACTGCCACAAGGTCTTGATCGCACTGTACATTGAGAATAGACTGAGCAACCCAATCATTTAATTGACAACTTTTTTTACATCTACTTCAACACACAACTACTTTAAAAGTGGTGGCAAACAAGCATATGGCCCGCCTGATGGTAAGCGGCCGTCATAGCCTTTTAGAAGCTTGCCGTGCATGGACCGAAACGCATAACCGTGATGCGACATCGCGAAGCAATGAGTTCTACTGCTTTTTGACAAACAAGGTCGTTCCCGAGTCAAAGATATCAGTGAATCTAATTCAACGTAACATTTTATTTTTTAAACTGCTTCCGCATTGACGAGTACTGTTTACAAGCATGTTTAAAACAAACTGGATTGGACAGTGCGGTGCCGCAACGCGGTTATGTGTATGAGCCCTTACCCCAATAGAAAGAGAGAGAAAAATAGGTAATACATAGACAAACTATTCGCCGCAAAGATCGTTTTTTCTCTCTCGCATTGATTTCCCTAGATTCAATTTAAATTTATACAGGGAACGCTCAATCCGTTCTGTATGTCTATAAAACCAACCGACACCAATATTATAGTGTAACACGATCTAATAGTGAACAAACTCCCTTCAGACTGGGACCGTGTGTAGAAAACGTAGCAAACAAGCATATGGCCCGGATGACGGTAAGCGGCCTCTATAACCTAAAGACACTTGCGATACCAGTCTTGCCCAACTTAACCCCTATCCAGTACTCAGAGTAACTTTCTAGACAGAGATAAAAAACAGCCAATTAATAGACAAACTATTGGCCACAACGATCGATAAGTCACGTTATAACAAAAAAATGAAATTAAATGATATTATACTTTATTCAAATTGACTTAAAAGAAGCTGGCACTTAAGCTCTTTTGAATCGTCCAATATTTTTACCTACAACCGATTAAGGACATATTTTAGCTGATAACAAAAATGGGCGCAAGAAACTTATCAGCATTAGCAGAAGTAGCAACATTTATATAAAATCATGGCGCTACTAATACAATTAATTAGATACATTAATTGTTATTGTTGTGTATTACATATTTACTTGTGAATTTAATGAGAAGACTTTGCTTACTTTATTGAGCGAAGTGTTCTTATTCCCAGATACTTCGATAATTTAAGTAATCTTGGACTCGATAATATCCTTTCCTCATCAGAGTATTTTTCACATAAGTTTGTAGTTTATGAAGAGGAAGCTTAACAATACTATGTGAAACATTTCCCTAAAAATGAATTATGTGTTTTTTGTAATCTTAAACAAACACACAAAAATATTTTTTTAGGGCAATGTATAGCTTTTTATACTACTAGTACCACCTTAAAATGCAATAATGTTTACGTATAACCCGCCTTTATTATACGTCATTGGATAAAATTGACAACTCTCTAGAAACAGCGAACACAACCAATACATAGACAAACTAAGAGTCTCCTATAGTCTTTACGTATATATTTGTCTCTCTTACGATTACCTACCCAGTTTACATTCCATTTGGAAACATAACTCGTAGTCCATTCTTTGTCAGTTGCCTACACTAATCGATCGTCGGTACTATAGTATTACTATAGTGTCTAAAGGCGGCGAGATAAAAGAACGCTCACTATTAGATTTTATTACGCTACAACTCTTATACTAATGGCAAAGGCCTTATAAAGGGAGAGTCGGTCGACTCACGACACGACATGCTCACAAGCTAGCTAGATGATCAAACTTGGAAAACGACCAGGGGGTCTACTCTCTTTCTCCGAAACGAACTTTCGATAACGAAGTTCATGCAAAATTTAATTTCGTCAAATAAACTATCTAATTGAAGCTTTCTTTAAGTAGGCTTAGAAAATCTACACCTCAATCTATCGTTACATTAGTGTAGGCCTCCTGGAGGCTAAAAGCTCATACTCAGAGACATCAAATAACTCTTAAGTGATTAATGTTTGGGTTTTCATTTCTCGAAGGTTACAATAGAGTAGTTGACATTAAATGTTTTTGACCTTCTTGAGTATGACCGTATTTGCTATTTTTATATTTGACAGCAGTCTCTCCTTTTCATTCTCTATGGAGCATTATAAAGATATACTACTGTCAAATATACAAATATCAAATAAAATATACCGAGAACTATAGCAATATAATGTTCGATTCATATTAGCGCAGAGTCGAAGCGCATCAAACTGTCATTCAGAAGCGTAGAAGTAGAAGCGAAGAAGAAAACAAATACAAAAAGAAGTCGCGCTAATTCAGTTGATTATTATCTCAGAAGGAATATGTGCATTACGTTGCGGATGTAAGGGTGTATTTGCTTTCTTCTTCGCTTCTACTTCTACGCTTCTGAATGACGGTTTGATGCGCTTCGACTCTGCGCTAGTATGATTAATTTGTTCGATAATATCTATTTTTAGTTGAGCAGTAAACTACATGACGATTATTATCTAGAGGATAAACGAACTGCGCTAAAAAAAGGTTCCACGCAAATTGCGATGAAGTGGGAGGGGCGAAAATAACTGCGAAAGCTGCGACATGGGATTGGTTGGGATTTCGGTTTAACATTATCTTGTCCAATGGATGGATAGCCGGATTCATTTACAGATATTTGATTTGTCAAAGTATTTTGTTTTGTCAGTGTGCGTGTCGCGTTAGTATTGAAGTTCAGTTGTATGAGTTTGGAACTCTGTTTTAGCGACCTTTGTTAGAGAGTAATGATTCCTTAACATTTATAACAAATTAGAATTTAGGTTTAAGATCATTTTATCGACTTACTGTTCGATGTCCGTCTTGAGTTTGTCGCACACCTGGAAGGAGTTACATTTGACCAGTGCTCTTCCCTCTCTGTCTATTAAAGTGACCAGTTCTACGGAGTCGCGGTGATTGCATTTCATCACCCGCGTCAACGTCGAGATAACCTGATGATGGAACATTATTAAAACAACGAATTCTTAACTGAGGCTAAAGAACAAATTTTAACAGCTCCGTAATCGTATCGTCAAATTTGGAAGGAAGGAGCCAGTTTGTTCTCAGAGGGCATTCAAGTATTACGTAACGCTATTTTCGAAGATTATTGACCCCCGCCCCCCCTCCCTCTCCCCGCACCCATGTAACGCGCCGTAACGTTTTTCTTTCTAAAACCCTACTTTTTTTTTTAAATAAAAAACAATTTTACGTAACGCGTTGATCGAATCTGCCTCAATTGCGATTTAATTACGGAACTGTCAGTGTCAATTTCATACCAATAAGTAATGCTTGCATATAATACGGTTTTTGGGAGTAAATTTCTGTATACATATATTGAACTTATTAAAAACTTCAATTAAAATCTACATACTTGTTCAAATGTATGCGTTTCGTCGTTGTACAGAACTGTACAATAACAGTCTGGCGAATCCAATATTTGTAGGAGATCTTTTTCCGTGTCCTTTAGCCTGAAAATAAAGGTTTATTCAGTGAAAACTGTGTCGGGAACAATATTTTCAGATAGAACTCTATTGCTTTGCCATCTTGAAAGCCTCTTGGTCAAACATTTATGTATAAAATCTATAGAAAATTTTGCTAGAAAAAAATCCACTCAGTCCTGGTTACAGACGGTAGTCTAGTAGTCAACATCTAGTAGTTAAATGCTTTAAAATATAAATATAATAACATTATGTGTGCTACGGTTACGCGAGTACAGTGAACACTGCTTTTTCCTTATCCTAAAGAGCCAAAAAAAGTTTATTTTTTTAATAAATTATCAACGCAATTTGTAAGTCATTACTCGTATTGCACTTGAGGAACTAGATGGCGCAAGTAATTATTGCATTCGGTCTGCGATCGTAGAAGTTAAGCAACTTTCGCTATGGCCGGTTATCTGATGAGTGACCAAAAATTTATTATCACGAGCTCCGTGCCTCAAATGGCGCCGGCTGCATCTACAGTTGTTAGCACACACCAAAAATACCCGCGTTGTGGGTCCTAATCTCTTTATTCTTTACATAGGGAAGGCCTGTGCCCCAGCAGTGGGGCATTAATAGGCTGATGATGATGAAGTCGCATTATCGTCACCTGAGATCATTGGGTAAGCTGGGCGCATGATCGTGAGTGAGCAGTCGTAAACAGTATGACAAAACGACAGACGCAACGATCTTCATACGTTCCACCACTTCTGGACTTATGTTGGACTGTTGTGCTTGCTCATCACCAGCCGGGGCCTGCGAGAAAACCATAAACAATAAATAATTGTAACACTCACAACAATAGGGTTGTAATAGAGCAGTGGTCCTTCGAGCAGGATCACCTAAAAATAAATAAATATTTAAATCTAAATAACATTTTACTAGAAAAAATTCCACGCGGTTCAGGCAGCAGACGGTACGGGACGAAATGCGTGTGGGTTCGACTTCTGAGGACTGCGTGGATTTTTTCTAATAAAATGATGATGGTGATTCTGCTCGAAGGACCACTGCGCTGTTTCTTTGTAATATTTACCAAATAAATTAAACATCTAGGAGTGCAATGCTTAAAATTTTAAAATATAGTAAAGATATATTGACATTCTCACCGCGTGCAGTTCACAGAAGGGATCCCTCTTCCAGGCTTCTGTATCACCGCAGTCGCAGCATCCGCCGCCACCCGATTGGCCCATCTTGTATTTGTGGTGTCTATGAGCTGACACTTTGAAGCATTCCACGCACAGAACGCACGTATTGTCCATACCTGATGAAGAGTTATTGCAGTTTCTTATATCAATACTACCCAAAAATTCGCCTATGTGAAAATATTAAATAAATAAACAAATATTTCCAAAACTAATACCAATTAGCATAGCTCCAAAGTAAGCATTGTGTTATGGGATACTAGGGTAACGGATAGAATACAGATACTGTACATATATAAGTATATTTAAATAGAAATATATATTAAACATCCATGACTGGAGTACAAATGCTCGTATTCATCACACAAATATCTGCCCCCAACGGGATTCGAACCCGGGACCTGTCGAGTCGGCGACATCATGAAACCCGGCGTACGAACCACTCGGCCACGGAGGTCGTCAAAGTTATTAATTTTATTAGTTTCCCATACCAACTTTGAACCCCCGTCTTACCCCTTTTGGGGATGACAGTTTGGAAACCCTTTCTTGGCGCACGCATACATCACAATAGTAATGTTTGCCTAATATATATAAAGACTAATAATCTTAAGAGAGGATCTCGATGGCGCAGGTGGTTAGCGCGTTCGCAACTTTCGCAGTGGGCGGTCATTGGATGGGTGAATAAAAATTATCTATCTCGAGTTCCTCCGTGCTTCGGAAGGCACGTTAAGCCGTTGGTCCCTTAGTAATTGGCTGCATCTGCAGTCGTTAGCACTCGCCAATCCGCACTGGGCCCGCGTGGTGGGTCATGGCCCAAGCTCCCTATTAAATCCATAGAAAAGGCCTGTGCTCCAGCTGTGGGGACGTTAATAAGCTGATGATGAATCTTAAGTAACCCCCTCTGTCTATTACCCTTTAAAGGCCGATTGGTTGCATCAATTTTATTTATAATCAATTTTAATGAAATGACAATATAGCAGACCTTGAAGAAAAATATTGCTTTTTTGAGGCCCAAAAGAAAACTTTAAAGGGATAAAATAGGCGATACAAGTTTATATCGAACTTAAGACTATTGATCGCAGAAAAAGTCGCGGCAAACAATATAATGACAAAAGCCGCGCTTATAGAAGGAGAAAAAGGGTTATAACCTCAGAGCCCTCTTTCCCAGTGGGCACTTTGGGCAAGTGTCCAGGGCGTCGCGATCGATAGGGGCCCCCCTCAGATCAAATACAAAGTCCCTAGTTCCTGTTAAATCACCAAACAGGGGTCGTAGGGGCCCCATTATCCTAATATGCCCAGGGCCTCCAATAGGTGAAAGACGCCACTGTATAACCTACTACACGAGTCTGGTTAGGATTGGTGCGTGCTAAAACTGTAAAATATTTAAATTATTGAACCGACGGAGTGGAGGCTAAAGGTTCCGTCATGTTAAAGGATCGCACTGTGCGATTTATCGACTATCGCGATTAATTCTTCCCTGTAACATACAAAAACCTATTGTTACTCTACAATTATCCTACCTTACACTTATACAAAAAATCAAAGCCTAATTTTTTTGACCGCTATTGTAAAAATGCGCTAAAACATATCTATCGCTCAGCGGCCTGTTTACGTGACGGGATCTATACGAGCCATCACTGAAGCCCCCACACCACCCGTCCTAAAGGATGAACCAGCAGTCTCACACACACTGCCCTGAAGACAAGTATATTGCGATTCAAATAAGAATAGGAAAGCCAATGAGCTCCATCTGTCAAATGTCACTTCAAAAGTACGGTTTGCAAAAAAATCTTGAAACCCTTTTTTAGTACTCAGCTAATCCTTGAATAAAAACTAAACATTCGTAAACAAACAATAACAAGTATTGATAATTAATATTGGTTGATTTTTTTTCATTTATTGAGCTTTGCTTATGAATGGTTGATAACTTAAATCGTCAACCAAATGTCACTTTAAGTTGCGTTCAGAAACTCGATTTTAAACTTTCGTTTACATAAAGGATGCATGTTCGTATGTGACCTAGTAATAGTGCATGATTATTCATAACTACTACGCCGGTAATGCAAAAGGTGAGCGAAATTGAAGGGCTAGATTCTGATTAATGTTTTTTCTCATACAGTCTTAATAAATAAATATTATTAAAAAATTGTTTTCTTTTCTCAATCTTAGTAAATAAATTTTAATAAAAAAATCTGGTGTTGTTCTCACTTAATCTTAGTAAATAATTTTTATTAAATAAAAACTTTTTTTGCTCACTCTACCTATTTGGTTTCAATTGACAGCTATGACGTCACAATATGACGCTAAGTCGGTCCTAATCTTAGTTGAATCTCAATATATATGACACGTACCACACTCGCGACAACTGTACGCGGGCTCGCCCTGCTTAAACACGCGGCCGCAGAGGGTGGAGCGACGGGGGGCAGGCATAGAGCCATCACTGGAGCCCCACACGAACTGCTCCAAGGGGTGAATGAGTAGTTTAGCAGCCAACTCTTCGTCGAAAGACCAATCTGAAACGTCATAAAAATATAAAATTGGTACATCGATGATAAACAATATTAAGAGTGTTTTCGTTTCTTTGAATGAAGAAGCAGTGTGATAAGCGATGCATACATCACGTATGTCGACCGTATCTACTCAGCCTCTCAATATCAATCTTACATTATTCATATTGCCTGAAGGTAAGATATTTTCAAACTTTTACCACAACTGAATTATATTTCATATTACGAAATGGAAATAATATTTACATACTTTAAAAATGACTGCTTAGGTTTTTGTGACAAGTCAGTACGATAGAGACAGCTCACATTTTCACAAACATTCGATTTACATTACAATACAGTAATGAGGCTAGCAAGTTGCAAGAATAATAACCTCTAAATAGATAAATAAAAAAGGTGTGGTTTCATAAAACCACGATGCAAGTATTTGATTAGATAGATAGCAAGCAAGATTCAATTCGCAGTGGTCGGTCATTGGATGAGTGACCAATACCTTCATCTCGAGTTCCTCCGTGCTTCGGAAGGCACGTTAAGCCGTTGATCTCGCCTGCATTTGCAGTCGTTAGCACCCGCCAATCCGCACTGGGCCCGCGTGGTGGCCCAATCTCCCTATTCTATCCATAGGGAAGGCCTGTGCCTAAGCAGTGGGACACTAATAGGCTGATCATGATGATGATGCAAGTAAAATTTTTAATATAATTAATAAAAACTGCGTGGTTTTATAAAACCACGATGCAAATGGAACTTTAACCCCCTTATTAATAAACGACGAATAAGCTTGAATTATTTACTCCATGTTTTGTCTATTGAATGAAATTGAATGACAAATGTCATTTGAGTGACATGAACAAAACACGGCGTGACTAGTCTAAGCTAATTCCTTATTTATTGATAAGGGGGTGTTTTACATCGCCATATTATATATTTTCGAATCGATGATTTTAACGGATAAATAATAGATTTAGTTGTAAGACATGGAAACTAAAAAAAAGTGCTTCCTCGGCTGGGCATCGATCCCGGGCCGCCTAAAAACAAATAAAATGTAATGCGTCATGCTTAAGATTAACGAAATAATATTGCGATGAATTAAAAGTTTTACTTTTTATAAAATCCTTCTTTGGCTGGCAACGTCATCGACCCCCGCGCGAAGCCCTGGATGCTTATTGATAAGGTCTGAATTTTTGAAGAACAATTCAGGATGTAATGCGCCATGCATTACACATAGAGATGAACAAAAAAGTTAGTGGCGATGTAATCAAACTTTCGCTTTAAAAAGCAAATACTTGAATGTCTCATCAACATACCTAAACAAGTCCTGTTGGGCTGCGGCGAATATATCTTCGGCACTGTGACCCGCCAGTGGTCCTGGAAGTGTGAGGGCGACAACACCCCCTCCGCGAGCTTCATCCGCCATAACTCCACCACGGCCTCAGCGCGCGCCGGCAGTGTGAACCTGCCCGAATCCTCACTCATTACTCTCACACCTCGGCTCTTCTTCACATAGTATAAAATAAAGTCACTCCTGATGTCTATAAGATCTTTCAAATTACACAAAGGATTTAATGAGTTCTCAGCAATAGATACAGTGATTTAAGAGAAAGTTTACACGTATAATACAAGCCCGAGAGCATAAACTATAGTCCACATCGAAGCGAAGCGCGTCCGGGTCACTAGTATTCACTATAAAGTTATCTCCACTTTGAACTTGATTAAGTCGTCTTTGAATAACTCAACCTATTATTAGAAAAAAACAAACCACGATTCGAAGAAATTAATCATGTATTACACTTCTTATCAGATGCCAAAATAAACATAACATATAATTAATATGTTTCATGTGGCAGTGCATAATAATTATGCCTATGCCAGTATAGTGCAATCAATTTAACAAGGCATTCATAACAAAGTTTAAATTTAATAATAAACACGAAATTTTAATGCGTCTTTGTTCTCATGTTTAATTTTGTTATTACTTTTAATCTGGTTGTTAATATTTTCAGTTTGCTGTTTTTAATTTATCTTTGAACCTAATGCTTATCGGACATAAATATGTAAGTGATTTTTCTTAACTTAATTTCGGAGGTCATTCACCTAAAAAACTATTCATTGTAGTGATTAAAAAGACTTTATCTAAAAATAAAGGGCTCTTTACTAACATAGTAACAAACAGAATATAATGACGACAGAAATAAAATATTATAATTTAGAGGCAGGGATCATGATTTTCCTAATTTTATTATACCGGAATTTAGTCCAATTTAAAATATAAGTTGTCATGTCTATTATAGACATTTATCCTTTAATGAATTAATACGGCAACTGTTAGCGTGGCCGTGGGTGGAAATCAAGATTCTTATAAATGTGTAACAAAAATAACTGTTATTTGATCAAATGTTAAACATATGAACATTCGAATAAATAAATCAATTTATGCAAACTTAAAAAGGGAAATACAATCATGTCCTTGATTGATAAAACAAACTGTATGTATTGATTGCACTATTGGCAAAGATTGCATTTCGTGTTATCACATTTAACGAACAAAATATTATTTTGCTGCTTTTACTCTTACAATATTTTCACACTGCACTGTATAATGAAAAAAAACTGTAATAATTGATCAGAATTTTAGTTTTTTTTTATTTACATTTCATTTAATTAATAAACCGAGTCGTGGTTCCTTTTATATGCACCACACTAGCCTTCATGACAGTAAACAATATACTGAAGCTAAGATTTGGCATAACGCCACTACAACACATAAGCTATTTATATGAAAAAAAAGTAATCAACTGATCGGATCAAATCGGAATATAGATTCTGAAGTGATAAACTTAAGGTTCAATCTAGGGGATCACCAATGTTATATTCCTTTTAGGAAAACGCTTCGCGTTAGACATTCGAAGGTTTGTCAGTAGATGAGAAAAGTTATCGAGATTTCCTGCTCCATGATTATTATCTTTACTATGGCTCCACTTTGTTGGTTGAATGACCTAACGTAGCGATTGATTCAATGTCATCTTCAATTAAAACAACGTGGAAAGGTCTCGCGTAGTTTACGTTCATGCGATACGTAAACTGCGTTACTGAGTTCTACAGATATACAGACGAAATGCTCAGGAGTGGTTTTAATTATTTTGTTAGTCACTAGACTAAAAGGTATAATACTAGAGCGAACAAATGTATTATACTAATAGCAAATCTAGACTAAAAAAATAATAGTTATGACGACCTCTACGGATGAGTGGCTAGCAAGCCAAGTTTGACGATGTGTCGTCATCTTCGAGGTCTCATGTTCAATTTCCGACTGAGTAACTAAGAGTCTTTTCTTGTTCAAAAATTGGACTCATAAACGCATTGTCATTTACAGTACGCTGTTTTGAGATGTTTTCAGTAGTTGTTTGCTAATTCTTTGCTGATTTGTCAATGGATAAACTAATTCAATTTGTAATATATATTGTTCTATGTTTCCAACAACCACACTAAATAGCCTAGCCCCAATGTGTAAGGTTTGTGTTAAAAGATACTAGGGTAACGATTAGAATACATATACTGTGATTCACATATAAGTATATTAGCTCGTATTCATTACACAAACGTTTGCTCCGCCGGGATTTGAACCCGAGTGAGTAGGCGAAATTGTACTTTCTTATAAAAAAAACTGCTATTATTATAATAACGGTCGTTCACAATCTATAAAAAACTATTTCGTTAAAGCTAACGACAAGAGCAATAAACGCATTATCCTCATTTGACGTAGTCGGATAAATAAAACCTGAAACAGCGTCTTCAACCTAAATACCAACCAACTTACACGCGTATTTTTTTATTAGTCTGTTGCAAAATGGGTGACACAAAAATAAAAGTTTCGTTTGATCTACAGCCTAAGCAGATACAAATAGAGCCTAGTTGAAGTTGGTGCCAAGCGATATTACACCTTATCGCCTAAGAAATGAGGTTTACATAACTATAAACTTACATTTCACGCGATTGCAACGTGTCTTTGGGGCGGTGGTCGTCCTCTTAATATTTTCATCAGAACCTACATTACAAACTGGTTGTGCTAAATTCAATATGTAACTACATAGATTTTTTGAATAACTTTGAATACTGGTTTTATAAAAGAATATAGTTAGAAAATAATAAGTTAGCCCTAATAAATAAAATAAATGTTTGTAATTATTTTAAGCAAAGATGATTTCATAATTATTTTCAAGACCAGCATTTTTCTTATATATTGAAATTTACACTAATAATACTAAATATTATTACTTAATCTATATTGCTGCATCGTTAAGGATTTTTAAATAATATACATACTTTATCTACACTCATGCTTTAAAACCGCTATTAAAGATGCTGAGCTAGTTAGCATATTGCCAACATTAAAATATCCAATTACATAATAATAAAAAAATACCATTATAACACCCGTTTGGGTGTTACCCCTTGGTTTCAGAATCATTTATAGAGGATTCATATCATGGGTGTAGATAAAATCTTGTATGCAACTGTTATAATTAGGTATTAAAACACTCATGAGATACTATTATCACACTCGGCTTCATTATACTTTACATATACTTCATTATTCAATAGTTGCATAAATAACTATTACTTATTGCTCTTTATTCAAATTATGTGATTTTCACAACTTGATATATATCATCAATATGTTTTTATAAAAAATAATGTTGCGAACCGTCTGGTATATTCTTAGAAATTCAGGCAAGTGAGAAATTACGTTCCGTTTTAAAATGCGGCATAATGTTCTTCTTTTCAGCCCAATCTCTACAGTACCCTTAGTACGAGTTTTACAATTACGAAAACTATGATAGTTTTCGTGAGCACGCACTCGTACTAAGGGTACTGATTTTATTGTTTTCGTTTCAATACAAATAAACAGGGTTTAAATTCTATCATTAAATCGTTAGAAACATAATTTACAATTACGAAAACTATGATAGTTCGTGAGCTCAAACTCGTACTAAGGGTACAGTTTCCTTTTATCTCGAAACTGAGGTGCATAGTTCAATGATGTTTAGAATTTATAGAATAGATGTTTAAGTACAGCTCCCCAGATTTGGATGTCCGAAAAAAAAATGTCACTATAATAGCGCACGTGGCCGAGTAATTATCGGGTTCAATGTCACTCACTCAAGGTTCTCATCGAGACAGAACAGGTCACTTCGCTGGTCCAGTTTCTTCCGTGGCGTCATGCCAACTACCGGTTTTTCGGGGAAACCACTCTTGTCACGATGACAATAGAGTTCACGCTATTTTGATTTCACTGCCTTCTAAAAATTTAGAACCTTCTTCATGCTAAAGTTAGCTCCATTGATTTAAAGTTTTTTTTACAAACAAGCGTATGGTTCTCTCTATGTACGTATATATGTGTATGTACTCGACTCGTTGCCTACTCTGACCCGATCCTCTATTCCGTGGAGCCCTGAAACCTGACTTACCGACAGAAACACAACACCACCAAAAAGGTTGTGTTTTTTGTGATCACGCCGGGATATAAACTAATTGGCTAAACAAAAACCACAAAAGGTCCTTCAAAAGAGGGAAGAAGTATTTGTGCTGGCCGGCAAGTTGAGGATGGCTTATTTATTTATTCTTTATTACCATAAAAACAGTAAATGGCGGACTTAATGCCATAGGCATGCATGGCTTGTGTGCAATCCACAAATTCTGCACCAGCTATCTTTGAGTCTGGACTTTACCAAGTCAGGTAGTAATTGTCTGCTTAATTATATAAAACAAAACATTAGGGCGCATGTTGTCGACACGATTTTTACCCGGGCCGGTGAAGGTTAAAGATTGTTTACGAGCATGATTTGCATGAGTATACCGACCCCAAACCGTCATGATGCCGGTGTCGTTAACAAAACTCCATAGTTTCTTATACCTTACTGACGACCGGACGTAGACACGGTTTAAAACCCTAGACTCGGATAGAAATTGTCTCTTTAACAAGCACCCTTACGGTAGAGCCACGCGAAGCTAGAGAAATGGACACGAGACACTTTTTATTTTCCTCCTTTCTGTAGTTCAACGCTAGATATTATTATAAGCAGTCTAGCTCTGACATTCGCAGTGTAAAAACACAAGTACGGAAAGATGCTGAAGCGGCATGAGCGAAGCTAAGCAAAACAATATTATCTTCCGGTGGGCTAGTGGGTGGACCAAAGTTAAGAGCCGCGATACAAACAAGCATAAACAACGCATTCGTAACCACACGATATCAAGAGTAGCAAAGTATTTACTACTTATCTACAACACGTCAAATCCCGGGTGGGGTAGGCAGAGATAATAGAGCGCCCAGAATTTAGTCATCATCCCTATTGGTTTTATTAGGCCTGTCATCGAATGGATTGATCACCCATCTGATTAGTTGAAATTGTATTGTATCTCTGTCGAAAGCACGGGGCAATCGAACTCCTCGCGTCGAGAAAACTGTCTATAATGATCAAATTGATCTCATTTTGAAGGAAGGTGAAGTCAAAAGTCGTAAGATGAATGTGAATGCTAATTAGGAGGGTCCAACGGGTACTAGACCGAGTGAAGCGACAGATGTGTGTATGGACCGTACGTGCCTTATATACTTAACTGTCGAGTTGTGTTGTGACGCGTCAGAGAGATATCGGTTTCATACATTTAGTACGGTTACAGTGAGAACGCTGTCGACACATCGCGACATACAAGTATAGTTCTAACCGTACTAAATGTATGAAACTGATACATCTCTGAAGGGTCACAACACAACACGACAGATAAGTATATTTCTACCTTTATGATGACAACGTTCTATTTTCTCTGCCTACCCCATCCGGAACTCTACGTGAAGACAAATAGATAGTTGAACAGTGATATGGAATTAAACAATAAAGAACACAAAGGCAAAGATTTTTTTTGTAACATGCAAGAAAGTTATGCGGTAAACGCGTTGATTGTCCAAGATTTGCAGGTGAAGCCTAGCACAGTAAGCTGTGTAGTTTAAAGTTAGGATGTGCGATAAATTTTAATAATTACTAACGAACTAGATTTCCGCCCGTGGCTTCCCGCGTGAAATACATAATTGCTATTTGATCTTTCCGGTTCTCACAGGATAATGAAATTTCAATGAGACAACAACAACAACAAGTGCGCTTGTGAACGTGACCATTTCTACCCAGGCCAGTTACAGGTAAGCTTTTCGCAAGTATGGTTTGTGCATTTGTTTGTTTGTTTTTTTTTATAGATAGGTCCGACAAATGGCTCCACCACACCTGATGTTAAGTGAAGGTGAAGTCCAGATGCGAAGATAGCTTGTACCAACTCCAAGTCGTCGCTAGCGCCGGTGTCGTTAACAAGCCTCGTTTGCGACCGGACATGGACACGGTTTAAAACCGTGCCTAGACCCGGCGGAAAACCAGTTCGTTAACAAGTGCTCTTAAAGTGTCCTCAGCTTGTAGCTTAGTACTAAAAAGCTGTAATTTGGCATGGATATACATAACAATCACACCAAGAAAGTGGTAAAATAAAATTTCCAAAAAAACCTTTTTTAGGCATCTACCTTTCATATACCCTATAGAGTAAGCTGTTGTTCGAAAGGTCTTTCAAAAGTATAAAGGGTAACAGGGATTGTAAAAACTAATTTTTCAATGATGGGATCCCTATGTAAAATAAGCTACATAATGATTACTACAACAAATTTTACATCCAAAATACCTTTATGTAATGTAACACCACAAAAAAAATACAAAAAAAGCACTATTTATATAAATAAAATTTCACTTAATCTAGGTTATGAGTTGCAAAAATGTAGAAATTAATATGTAAGCTTAATACTTTTATCTCAAAATATAAAACAATGACAAATTCGATTACCAAAATTTTTTCAAGAATTCAATATTTTTATTTTTTTAATGGTTACTGGTATTCTCATTTCAACAAAGACTATGAACAAATTGTGTCATAATTGTCTTACCTGTCAGAGGGTATCATTTCTGGTGCATCCTCTTCCATGGACTCATCACCAACTTCGACTTCCAACTGCACAGGTGGTGGCGAGCTCATTTCCAATCAAAGATCACCAGTTACTAATGTCTGGAGGCAAATATAAAGAAATTACACATGATCATACCTTTGAAATGTGTGAAATTTGCTAAGGAAAATATTCTTAATAAGGATATTACAATTTTTTACTAAATAATTAATCAAATTATGTTAATACCCTTTTAGTGGTCCATTTGTTTGAGAAACAAATATATGAAACCGAACTAACCACAAAATAAGAGTTATTAATGAAAACTTTTGATTTAAGAGCCTATGCTCCCAATTTTAAAACTATTTTCTTTGTGAACTAAGTACTATCATTTGATTAGCTGTAAATTATAATTTTGTTCTTAAATGATCAGGGTTTCATGAACAGATCTTCCATGGTGATCAGATTACACCAGTGTCAACTTTCGGAAGTAGATATTAAGGCCTATTAATAAAGCAGTTTTAGAAACTATTATAAAGAATGGTATTGTAAACTATTACTAATATTTACCGACAACCATTCAACAAATACTTCAGAGACTTCTCACTAAGCTATAATAATGCAAAATTCAACTAATGTTTTGCAGTCAAATGATCAGAAATGCACATTTGTAAGCAGTACTATCAATTTGTAAATTGAATTTATTAATTCCCTTATCATTTTATTTAAAAACAATTAGATACCAGTAGCACACATCAAGTAAACATTTCTTTAGATTTTAACATACATTTCATATCTATATTTGTTAGATTAGTTTATTAAAGTTAGATTTTTGTACAAAAATTTATTCTGAAATAATTCCAAAAGTGTAAATACTATAAATTGATATTAAGTTTAACTAAAATTGATATTTTTGGCACCTATTTAAAATATAATGGGTTTTAATAACTAATCAAGCTCAATAACACTACATTATGTTTAATCATGGAATACAGGCTTTGTTAAGTAAAAATCGGCTGCAATCACAAAATTTGTAGGAAAAGAGAAATTCTGAACTGCAATCTAATAAGCATGGAATAAATTTATGCGCAATCAACGATTACAGGCGTTGCAAAATGTCTTACAGCGCACAAAATTGTAATTATTCACCTTCACTCTTTCGAAAATGTTAAATCATCCAGCGACACTCCACAAAGGAATCTTCAGTGTGAACCCTCGGCACGAAGAACGATTAAAATTCACAAAACAAAACCTGAATGTACCTTCGGTTTTCAACAAGCTCATCACAACAGTTTAAAGCATCCAAATTTCTCAGCATGAAAAAATTTAATGATGACATTCATCAGTTCAATCCAGCGTGATCATCGTCGCCTTCAGAAAATATCAAAACAAACAAAAAAATGTCCGGTGTTCTCTTTTTATGAGAACAATAACCAATAAGAATTCGTATATATTTTTGAGAAGAAAACTGGGAAAACAATTACTTTCACAATAAAAACAAAAATCTGAAAATTTATTTCCAGATTTCTTTCATCGCAGATGATAAATGTTGCCCATAATGAAAAACGATCTCACTTTGTCCACAGAATAATATTACTCTACTTTGTCTGTCTCACAGATTACTAATATTTGAATAGATAGATTCACGTTGATTCAATACAAAGAGTACTTTCTATATACGGAAATTATTTATAAATAAATTATGATTCAATAGAATGCGACTTTTTCCCCGATCGTGTCGTAGCTGCGTCGGCCGTGTTGCTCTATAAGTCCGTACATACAGTTTGTCTATAAAGTCGTGACATGAATGTTTGAGGAACTAACATTATTCATGTGTCTGGAAACACCAAACTTATGTACATCAGCTGTCATCGAGTTTTAGTTGTGGAACAGTTTTCCTTTTGTATTTTTTATTGTTTGGATTAAACTGTAATAAATTAAGACGAAACTACGCAGAAAGGTATAAAAATGAGTAAAGTAAATCGGAGTGGCACGCGGGAAGTGATTTTTAAAGTTTTCCAGCGATGTTTCGAAGACTACCAAGCTGGACGAATTTTGTGGGATTTGAATGATGTTTATGGGCGAACAGCATCTATGACGTGTATTTAATCGTGTAACTATTTGTTTGTAATCTGCCTGAAGTTACAAATTTACTCAATTTACGATTTTGAGACCAAAAAAGGCATTGTTTACATTGCACATTTCTAGGTTAGATTGACATTGTAAATAGGTAATATTGTAGTACGACCATTTCTTTTGATACGTTATTATGGTTCAACTCGGTCACGTTTTCTACCAATTTTGAATTAATTGCTTCATGTCAATAAGTTAATGTTTCTTTTCCGTTACATATTTTTTTACTTTTTTCAGGAAAATCAGAGAGTCGGATAGTCAACGAAGGTTTAAAGAATGATGGAAAGTTTGAAACTCCTGCGAAAACAGGCAAGGCCGACCAAAGAAAGAAATGGTCACATAAAGAACCATGGCCACATGCTTTTAGTGAAGATACGTTACCTATCTCTAATTTTACTAACTGAACATTAACAAATTGTTTGTCTAAATAAACTTTTTATATATTATAAAATGATTTTTAGTATTATTTTCTTAACAAGTGTGTTAAAAAACGTCGTATGATGATACTTGTGTGTATTGATGATTACCTAACGGCTCTGGTCTCAATGGCACCTCAGCGGTAATCACCAACATTACAAACTTTTACACTATAAAGTACTATTTTATCTGTATTAATTTTATTCTGATTCAATTAAATATGCTTGGCTAAACCTTTTATAAGCATAGGTACCTCCTACATATAAAACAGAAACAAAATACGACTGTATAGTGTGTCTTATTAATTACCTATTTTACTTGAATGAACTGCTAGTATCAAAATCATTTTGGCCCGACTGTATAGGGTTGCTACATGCATACTAGTGGCGCCACAATTTAATGTCACGACTTTATAGACAAACTGTACCGTATGCTCAAGATAGTAAGAAACAAATAATCGAAAATCGAGTGACATGATATAAAAAATTGCAGATAACCGAAAGTGTTTCAGCAGCAGGAAGGGTTAAAAAAAATCTTTGCAATTGGTGTGGTGAAGGGCAGGGCAGATGTCTACCCTGAACTAAGCTTTATTACCAGTACTCTTATGCTTAAAAGCTGTTGTTATGATAAATATTTTTTTACTTAAAGAACTATAAATATTGACAACACCCTAATAATTAGCCTGGCCCTAAAGAAAGCAGTGCATTCTGGCATTATTCACTAAAGCTAAAATAGGCTAGTTGACCCTTTTAGGAAAAAGGTTTTAAATGGTTAATAAATGTCCCATAAGACCGAAAAAAAATGTATTGTATTTTTTTAAGACCTAGAAAGCTACAAATGTTTAATTTTAAAATAGACTTTTCATGGACATACAAAAACGCTGTCGGCCATTTTAGTCTATAGATTATCTATGCTATGACGGTAACTGTAGTAAACAAACACTCGTAAGCACGTAGAAAATGGTGCCAATTCTGGCGTGATTCTCTAAACTTAAAACTAAATTTGACATCAGTCTCTCCTTTTCATTCTGTATAGAGAATGACAAGGATATACTGCTGTCAAATTTAAGTTTAGGTTTAGAGAATCATGCTAGAATCGACACCAATAACTTATCTGAGTTTATAATAAAAAAAAATGATTTCTAATTATTACCACGAAAAATAAAGTAGTAATTATCATTATTGTATTGTATGAAAATATTAAAACACATCCTTGAAGACTCCAGGAAACTTGTGGATTAAAGTGCCGAAATAAATTAACCTACGCAACTTTATTACACTTATTCATATGTTGTATCAGTTTTAAGCTTATTACTACATTGTAATACTAAATGCACTGTACTTACATAGATGCCTTGTCGTTTCTCTGTTCCGCAGAGCAGAAATCGGGGTTTAGTGCAAAAAATTCACCAACCATCAATGCGTCAATTCTTGGCAGATTTGTGCTTTCTGCTTTCACAAAGCCGGTATCCATTATTAGTTTTGTCAAAAAAAAAACAGTAAACTGAAACTTTTCTAAAGTTAAACGTGTTTTATGATAAATTTAGTCAGACGAAAGAATCCACCTACAGTAACACGCGAATGACATTTAGTTGTTTACTACAAGAGACGTCACAATCATGGCGGATGCGGCGAACAGCGTTTTTAGTGTTTAAAAAATATAGACTAAAAAATATTTTTTAAAATTAAAATTTTACAGCAATCTTCTGCTTTTATGAAGTGAAATCGATATATTTTGGTTCCTTAGACCAAATACTTTAGGGAATAAACATTTATTTAATACAACTCGACATGAGTCAACTAGCCTATTGAATTTGACAACAATGTGCCGTCATTCCCTATACAGAATGATAAAGCGTGACTAATCTTATTACATCTACAACTAGTTGACCCAGCGAACTTCGTATCGCCATAAAAATATGGGTGGTAGAGGGGTGAAAATTGTTGTTTGTGTTTTTAATATTACGATTCATATTTAACGTAGTTTTTTTCTTCAGACGATTTAATAATTATTTTGAACACAAAATCGGTTATTATGATTAAACTATGATAGCTAAATATATGTTCTAGCGGACTTTTTTGTTTTGCGAGTGCTCGATTGTGCGAAGCGTTGCTGTAGTTGAAACACTCAACGTTAAGCATTATGCCGCATAATGCGCTATAATGCTGTAATTGGAAAACTACCTATAGAGAAATAGAGATTAACACAACAGTGCGGTTGGCGTTTTATTATAATTAATTATAATATAAATATTGTGAAATAAAATTGGTTTGATTTTGTGTTACAACCATCTGCAAAACTAAAGCATTAGTGGAATAGAGTAGGGGAGATATGTACTCTACTCAACGATATTAAATACCCTAGATTCACCAACATGAATAAAATCATGCCCGAAACCTGTCCAAAAGGTACATTGGACGGTCCACGGGGCCCCATCAAATGATCGCGTAGTCTAAACAATATAAGGCATTATTTAAACATTGAAAATCACCTTTAAAGCACATTATATAAGGTCTTAATTAAAACGCATGCGTCAAAAAAGTTATGACAGTCCGAGAGTAATCTCGTAAAATTTTACGACTTATTGCTATATGCGGAAGAATATAGATCTTATTTTTTTTGATTCTACGCGCAATTCTGAATGCGCTGTTAGCAATATAGCGGGTACGGACCGCGAGGAAAAGAGACGGCCATATTACCAACCACGCATTCGAATATCACATATATTTCTATTAATCAGTTTATAGTAAGTATTAGAACAAAATTTGCTACAAATGCGTTAAATTAACAAAAAAATATTAGCTAACTGTCGAAAAAACGACATTTTACATACTAGAAGTATTTATTTTGCATTTTTTCACGGAGTTCAGCGGCATGTTGACTTTTCAACGGTCTGCGCGTGACTGCGAACCAAGAAGTGCTTGAGTCGTGTTCAAGCACTTCTTGATAGGGACATATTTTGAGCGCTCGTGGTATATCTAGGGTTTTTAATATCGTAGACTCTACTACAAGTGGAAACGTGTCCATCTTGTAGAAAGAGAAAGAAGATGAGGGACGGCTAGCTATCTCTCTCTCTTGTGACACTGCGCAGTCGTGTGATTGGTCGGTATTCATCCGTAGGTTTTTCATCCAATGCGCATTCGCGATTAGAGAGAGAAAGGCTAACCATCTCTCATCTTCTTATCTTCTTTCTATTTCTACTAGACGCACACTTTTAGAGCCGCCTTTCCCACTCTATTCTTATACCTCTATGGTTTCCTTGTATGCTTTCCAATTACAGAGCATAATGCGACTCAGTGCCGCACAATGCCCAATTATGCTGATGCTTAATTGGAACGTGAATTAGTTTTCAAATGCACCAGCAGAGTGCACTTAGTTCAGTGTTGAAAAAAAAGTCAATGTTTGTACCTTCATCCATACTTATATTTATTTTTTGACAGTTTGAATGAACTTTGATTATTTAAAAAAAACTATTTAATGAAACGAAAGCTTTAATAATTTTTCAACAATAAATAATATTACTAACGATAACATATAAATAAAACATTTCGATCAATGCCAACTTAAAGAAAAAACACTTGTTAATTTTCTTTCTCTAAGTTGGTACCATTGCACGCATCACACGAAAGCATCACTTTTGAGAGTGCTCAATTGTGCGAAGCGTTGCTGTAGTTGGAACACTCAACGTTAAGCATTATGCCGCATAATGCGCAATAATGCTGTAATTGGAAAGCAACCAAACACAGCACCACCAAAAGGTAGTAGTATTAGGTTGCTTTCCAATTACAGCATTATAGCGCATTATGCGGCATAATGCTTAACGTTGAGTGTTCCAACTACAGCAACGCTTCGCACAATTGAGCACTCTCAAAAGTGATACTTTCGTGTGATGCGTGCAATGGTACCAACTTAGAGACAGAAAATTAACAAGTGTTTTTTCTTTAAGTTGGCATTGATAGAAATGTTTTATTTATATGTTATCGTTAGTAATATAATTTATTGTTGAAAAATTATTAAAGCTTTCGTTTCATTAAATAGTTTTTTTTAAATAATCAAAGTTTATTCTAACTGTTAAAAAATAAATATAAGTATGGATGAAGGTACAAACATTGACTTTTTTTTTCAACACTGAGCTTAGCGCACTCTGCTGGTGCATTTGAAAACTAATTCACGTTCCAATTAAGCATCAGCATAATTGGGCATTGTGCGGCACTGAGTCGCATTATGCTCTGTAATTGGAAAGCATACTTAAACTGTAGTATTCTCTCAACCTTTCTCGAGTCGTGGCTTATGCACAAACGATTGGGCTATATGGGCATTGTTGCCTTTGCCTTACCCAAAAAGAGAGAACGTTATAATATCAAAACTAGTAGAAAAAACTATTGTTTGGATTTGGTTCAGTGTTTATTTCTTTTCGGTAAATTGAAATAGTTTGATGTTCAAATTACAAAAGAAGTTGTAAATAAAAATGAGAACTAGTTATAGGCAATATCTATTGATGGTAGATTTTATGGAAAAGTAAGGAAATTATCTACATCTTAATTCATGCCCATATTGTAATGTGAAAGTTTGTGTTTGTTACTCAAAAAACGGGTCAACGGAATTGTATGAATTACCAGGATTGAAACTTAAGTTACTTTATATCCCGGAAAATGTTACAACTCCCTTGTAATTCTCAAAACACTGGTGGTTAACACGGACGAAGTTGCGGGCGGAATTTTGACTGTTTAATGCAATCTTATTATTTCGTTATTGCTATAGGTCAATTTTTTGTTTAGAAATGGAGACTTATCTAAACCAGGCGGTGGTGTTGGTGGTCGGCACTTCATAGACATTAAATGGAAACAACTCACAAAACTGTTGAATAATGAAGACTCAGGGAACTCACGATCCGAACCAAAGTGGCGTAAGGTATGCACACAAGTAACAATTTATTCATGCTCATCTACAAATCAATGATTTTAAATATAACTGGGTTTTTGTTTCCAATGTTTACACTCCATGTGCAATGGTAAATATTGTTTTTGTTGTTAATTTATTTTGTTATTATGAAGGTATGGAGTGACCTCAAAAACAATACCAAAAAGAAAGTGGCCAAACTCAATAAAACTGCTAGTGGCACTTGTTTTGTGCCAGACCTGCAACTATCTTTGACTGAGGTAGAAAATAAAGTCATGCAGATAATTGGAGACCAGAGAGCAACTAGTACGGCAATTGAGGAGAATGGCTACCAACAGGTATTTAAATATTGTTTATTTATCCAAAATCTAATTTTACTTAGGAAATCTCATACAGTAGTAGTAGCTGCTGGTACTGACTGTATCTGCAGTCAATAGCACCCACCAATCAGCACATGGGCTTTCATGGTATGCTATCCCCGAAACTGGCTCTGTCTAAGGCAGTGGTTCTTAACATATTCGTGATAAAGGATCATTTGTCCAAATTTGTTTGCAGGGGTGTATTTAATTTGATTTTTACCCTGGGCTGTGATTGCCTTGGCCCTAGGGACAATGTACCTCTGATTATTTAGAGGTTCATACTTGTAATGAAATATTATTTCAAATGGCTTCACAGACTAGTTCGGATACTTGCATGGACCACTAGTGGGCTGTGGACCACCAATTCAGAACCACTAGTCTAAGGGAAGGGCTCTGTAATATACACATGATGATGAAGGCTTATGATGTTGAACATACAATAGGGATGATAACTTATCTTTTTTTTTCATCATCTATCAGGTAGATAAACAAAAATAGGTTTCTTTATTCTCATAATCAAAATAATACAGAGATAAATGGATTTGAAATGTCACATGAATCATGTCATGGTTCAACTTTTTTCTTTTTTTAAGTGATGTCATATACCCCTCCAAATATTTGATGCACATTATCATAGTAATTTTTTGGTTGATTTAAAAAAGGAAAAAAGTGTCCACTATTTTATGATAATGTAACAGATGGACTAATTAGAATTATGGTTACTTTACACCGTCATCATCCCTATTATAATAATATGCATAGTTATAATTTTGTTATTTAATATGAGCTGCACACAACAATCACATTTATTAATGTTAATCTTTACAGGTTGAAGAAAGTCTTGTTACAACAGAGAATGCTATGTGCACCAATGGTTTACAGCTGAAAACAAAAATAGGTAAAATTATGCAACATAATGTTATGTTATCCGTGTGGTGACGTAGAAAGAATACAACTCACCGCCCCTTCTCTTCCCGTGGGTGTCGTAAGAGGCGACTGAGGGATATCGGAGCTTCCATCCGCTCTGCTGGTGGTAGGGTGCCTAACACCCGCCTGGTCTGTTACCACCGTGCGCATGGTGCAAAACCCGTGAAGTGCTTCTCGCGCGTTTCGGGGTCAGCCAGCGTACAACCTGGGCTCGAGTGTAGGTTGTCGCGACGGATTCGGTCCAGGGCGAGGCATCCGTCGAACCGATGTCGGGAGAACTGCATCGACCCGTCGGCCAGGGAGACCCGTAGAAACGGCTGTCCCGCTGGCCGCCCGTGGCACAGTACAGGGGCCCGAGCGTTCCTAACCAGTTCGCGAGGCTGCCCCATCATGTCACGCATAATCTCGGGGTGGACCGTCGTGCCGGTTGGTGACCGGGGCGTGGGGTCCCGGCGGCCACTTCCGGGGGGGTGCGGGGGCCCTTCCGTCCGGCGGGTCGGCGTATATCCTCTGCAGGCAATTATTCTGGGAAACGTGCCTCCCTAATTTGCCCGGTCTTGTCGCGACAACGTCCACTCGTTTCACGTCTCTTTATCACTTCCATAATGGCAGCTCTCAAAACAAAGTTTGGACGTACAGCAGTGCACACCCCCACGCCTTCAACGCTGTTTGAGGTCGAGTTCTGCAACATACGCGGACTCCACTCTAACCTCAATGCTGTCCACCACCATCTTGAGACAGCACGGCCAGCATTGTTGTTCCTGACGGAGACACAAATACTTCCGCCTGCTGACACAGGCTACCTTAATTATCACGGCTACGTGCTTGAAGAGTCCTTCAAAGCGAAAGCCGGTGTATGTCTGTATGTTCGGGCGGATGTTTGTTGTCGCCGTCTCCGCTGCTTGGAAGATCCCTCCTTCTCCATGTTCGGGGTACACGTCGATTCTGGTCCCCAGGCCAGAGTCTACGTGTGCCTCTACAGATCCCACACTGGCGATGTTGAGACAACTCGACTTTTCGAACATCTTAGTCGGGCAGCAGATGACGCGCAGGAGCAATTTTGCAGAATTGGTGTTTTTGGGGGACTTTAATGCTCACCACAATTTGTGGTTAAGTTCCTCGAAAACTGACCATGCAGGGATCTCTGCTCACGCGTTCGCTCTCACGCAGGACTTGAAGCAACTGGTCGATCAGCCCACCAGGATTCCAGATATTTCAAGTCAAGCGCCTTCATTACTGGACCTTCTGCTCACGATCCATCCACAGGGCTATCAGGTTGTGGTAGGAGCCCCCCTGGGCTCTTCAGATCACTGCCTGATATCTGCCAAAGCGCCACAGGCCAAGCCTCCGCGTCCAACGGTGGTAAAACGCCGGATTTGGCATTATGGGTCGGCAGATTGGGACGGTATGCGTGACTACTTTGCGTCCGTCCCTTGGAAGCAGCGCTGTGACAAGGACCTATCAGCTAGCGCCGTTGCTATTACTGAGGAGATTGTAATGGGTATGGAACACTATATTCCTCATTCCAATCTCATCAGTAAGGGCACACGTAACCTCTGGTTCAATCACGACTGTGCTGAAGCTGCTTCGCGTAAGCAAGCGGCATATCGTGCTTGGATCAGAGGCCGCGCTCTTAAGGATCCCGGGGTCGATTCACTAAAAGCAGCCTACAATATTGCTTCCAAGGCCTGTAAGAAGGCTTACATCAGAGCGGATGCCCAGCGCGTAGCACGTGTTGGTCACGAACTTATAACGCATCCTACGGGCTCCCGTAGCTATTGGCGTTTGGCCAAGGCCGTGCAAAAGAACTTCTGCCAGCCCTCGCTGCCACCTCTAAGATGCCCAGATGGAACACTAGCTCATAAGCCGCAGGAGAAAGCCGATTTACTGGCAAAACTCTTTGCGGCTAACTTCCGAATCGATGATTGCAATGCACCGCCACCATCATTACCTCATTGTGGCACAACGATGCCGGATATCAAAATCAGGCAGCGTGAGGTGCCGAATTGCAATCACTCGACGTCCGGAAAGCTAGTGGACCCGATGGCATCCCAGCAGTAGTACTGAAAAAATGTGCAGCGGAGTTGTCTCCCGTGCTCACGCGTTTGTACCAGTGCTCGTATTCTTTGGGGCGTGTGCCGGAAACTTGGAGAGATGCTAACGTGCAACCGGTACCCAAAAAAGGGGATCGCTCAGACCCGGCTAACTACCGGCTAATAGCAGTCACCTCAGTATTATGTAAAGTCCTAGAAAAGGTCCTTAACAACCACCTGACCCGCTACCTAGAGGATCACTCCCTGATCAATGATCGTCAATATGGTTTTAGACCGAAACGATCGACGGGTGATCTTCTAGCGTACTTGACTTATATCTGGGGTGAGGCTATCGACAAGCGAGGCGAGTCGTTGGCTATTAGCCTTGACATTGCCTAGGCATTCGACAGGGTCTGGCACAAAAGTCTTCTCTCCAAGCTTCCGGCATACGGTCTGCCGGCCCAGTTCTGTTCTTGGGTAGCTGACTTCCTGCATGAGCGTAGAATTCGTGTCCTTACGGATGGTAGCAGTTCGCGGTTCATGTCAGTGAATGCCGGCGTTCCCCAGGGCTCCGTCCTATCCCTCACTCTCTTTCTGCTGCATATCAATGACTTAATTCCTCTTGGGAATATTCATTGCTATGCAGACGATAGTACAGTGCATGCGGGGTATCTCGGACAAGCAGCGGCTGGGCAGGCGGTAACCAAGGAGAAACGGGAGAATCTTGTCATTGAGCTCAATCGGGCTTTGGACAACATTTCTGTATGGGGTACCAAGAACTTGGTTGAGTTCAATGCAAAGAAAACCCAGGTCTGTGCTTTCACGGCAAAAACGTCGCCATTCCTTTTATGTTCTTCTCTTCAGGGCACACCACTGGAGCTAGAGAGCAGTATCACCATGCTCGGTATGGAGATTCGCTGTGACTTAAATCCAAAGAATTACATCGAAAGTGTGATAAAAACAGCCTCACGAAACTCCTGAACAAGGTGCGGCGTTTCTTCACGCCCGAGCAACTGTGCTTGTTATATAAGACGCAGGTGCGGTCTTGCGTGGAATATTGCTCGCACCTCTGGGATGGCTCCGCTAAGTACTTGCTCGATGCTTTGGATAGGTTACAGCGGCGCGCAATCCGCATCATAGGCGATGAGGAGGTGACTAAACACCTCGAGCCTCTTCAATTACGCCGTGACGTGGCGTCACTAAGCGCGTTCTATCGTCTGTACCACGGCGAGTGTTCAGAGGAGTTATTCTCTCTTATTCCACCTTCCCCTTTCCTTCAGAGGACCACGCGCGCTGGCTTACGTTGTCACCGTCTAACTGTGGCTACAATTCCAACGCGTACAAAGAAATTTGGTGACTCATTTCTTTGTCGTACTATCCGTAAATGGAATTCTCTGCCCGCTCACGTGTTCCCTCCCTCTTACAACCTGGGATCCTTTAAAAGAGGCGTGAAGAAGCAACTTGCAGGCCGGCAGGGTGAGGATGGCTGGTGTGGCAGTTAGAACTGCTGTATCTGCTATCTTCGCGTCTGGACTTCACCTTCACTTAACATCAGGTGGGGTGGAGTCATTTGTCGGATCTATCTATAAAAAAAAAAAAAACTTTGCTATTCTAATAATTGCTATTTGTAAAGTTTACATCAGTTTATACTTTTTACTAATTCAATGCATACTAAGGGGCAGACTGTTGTTAAATAAATTATCAACCAAAGAAAATCAGTTGATTGCCCTAAGAAAAAATATGTGTCCATTATTTTTTGATCATCTAACTGACGGACTAAATAGAATTTCGTTTACGGTACCCTGTCACCACCCCTATTACATTGTTTTTTTACATTGTATAAGCAGATGTTCGCTCCATGCTCCCGCTTCACGCAGCGCAGGCCCTAAACTGTCTAATAATAATAATGTTTTTTTTATTCAATGAGTAAATGATTATTATTGATATATTATAATACTTGCATTACAGAAGAACAGTGGTCAGGTACTAGTAACGAATTTACTGAAGTCCCTCTTCATCCGTCACATACATCATTCTGCACAAAAGAGCCTGCAGCGCCGGCTTCAACCTCTGCATCTGGCAACTCCACTGAACAAGAAGAAGAAAATTGGCAACAACCACCACATAAAAAGAAGAAGGTTGACCGCCTTGCTAAACTGTTTGTGAATGCTGATAGGGTTTCAAGGGAGTATGCAAGAGAGCGAGATATAGTTTATGAAAAATTGGAGTCGGAAAGACTGCGATTGCGTGAATATGAATTGCGTGAGCGGGTAAGACAGAGAGATCTAGAGCTTCAGTTGCAAGCTAAGTGGTTAGAATTCATGAAAGAAGGTATGAGTGCTATTCTCAAGTTCATGGAAAGCAAAAAGTCGTAGTTTTTTCATATTATCTTAGATTTGTAATAAGTATTATTATTATTATTATGTAAATATGAAATAAGGTCTCTTTTTTAAAGTAAACGTTAAGGATAAAATTTTTTTTCTTACTAAACTTAAGTAGCTAGATGTTACCAAACTACGTATTCCTATCAATGGGGTGTCAAGTCAAGAAGGTTTCTTTCTTTATGTCCAACCTATTTTAGGACCTAAATGATCGTTAAACAAGAATAACCGTACATTCGGAATAAGAATTCATTCAGCATTTACGCATTTACCAAAGTAACAGACTGGAAGGCGTTAATATAAATGTTAAACAAAGTAGGCCCCAGTATACTACCTTGAGGAACACCAAAATTAGCTAAAGATCACACGCGAACGTATGTGTTACTTACCAACCATGCCAGGGCTAGTCTTTGGTAAAGGAATAGGTACGTAGAAGTAGGTTATTCGTGCGTAACAAGAACAACTGATTGACATTAGATTTCGGGATTTCTTTTTACATAAGATAATGTATATCATTACCTTATGTAAAAAGAAATCCCGTGGACCAACCAGGGGGTCATGTTGGGTAATAGCCCTTGTGCTTAATAAAATATAGGTTAGTAGCGAATGCCTTCATGTATTTTGCTGAATCTTTATGAAAGGGATTGTTCTCGCTGCCATTATGATGCCCATGCACTCGGCTAGAAAATTGTCTAGTATGAACTGAGAGGTCAGCGAAGTGAATGTCCTCCGACAATCCTAATGTTATATCATAAAATTCTCGTGTCACTATGTTAGTTACCATACTCCTCTAAAACGGCTTGGCCGATTTTTATGAAATTTCATAGCATATCCAATAGGCCTGAGTATCGGCTGCTTAAGTGAGAAGGGTTGTCCAACCCTAACATTTTTATTTTGGATTGTTTTTTATAATGTTATTAAAAACATATATAACCCTAAATTTTCACCTTTCTACCACCAGCCCCTATTTTTATGACGGCGAATAGTAATACTTATTATAAATGTAAAAGTTTTTTTGTTTGAAACGAAGTCGCGGGCGGCTGCTAGTTGGTAATATGTATAACATTAACAGCGGCCGCCCGCGACTTTGTCCGCGTTAACTTTATAATTTTAATTAAATATAATTTTAATAATTTTAGTTGGTAAGCGGCCGCCATAGACCATAAAAAAAAACTTGTTCAGTTTAGACTTACAAGCACTTAATAATGTATAGAAGCAGCTACGCCATCGGTTCGCAAATATAATGGGCCATTCATTTATTACGCAAGACGATTTATGGGGGGAGAGGGGTCGACCATGTCTTATTTTTTTTCAAGGGGGTGGGAGAGTCTCGATAGTTCTTACTACCAAAACATTTCTAAAAATTGTTACTTTTAAAACAATCACGACGTGTATTCCTTTTTTTCCTTTAGATTCTTACGTAATAAATATTAAACAGACGGCCCCTAAGGGACTTGTTAAGTAGCATCCACACGATACAATTTTACGTCCAATTTGATTAGATTGACAATCGAATTGTGTTGTGTGGACGGAAATATGAAATTGAAGGTCATTGGATGGTCGGTATCGCCCGATTTGGGATTGCCCAATCAAATTGGGTGGTGTGGACGCTAACTGGCCAATTTTTTAACGTAGTCACTGTGCAAATATAACTAGAAAAAATTCCACGCGGACCAGGCAATTATTTGTTATTGAAAATAAAAAATAATTTAATTAAATTTATATTCTACTCGATGATATGCGCGTATGCTGGGGTAAAAAAGAAATAAATATTATATATTTTTTTTTATAATTTTTATTTTTCAAGCATGTAGTTGGTTGATGTTTAAATCTAATGAAAATATAACTAGAAAAAAATCCACGCGGACCAGGCAGCAGACGGGACTCGAACCCGAACCCTTCGCAATCCGGGCGAATGCACTGACCAATTATGCTACCGCGGCCCTCACGGATCGCGTCGAAATTCTTCCAGCCATTCTTAAGTTGCAAGGCAGCCATCTCTTCGCATTATAGGTAACCCACAATGTCAAATGAATACTTTTACAAGTATTAAACATTTGAAAGAAGAAATAGCAATTATAGTTATAATTTTTATTATTTTTAAAGCATGTAACTGCTTGATGTTTAAATCTAAAGAAAATATAATTAATATAGCTGTAGGGTGGTCATTTGCCATGCATACTCTTAAAATTAAATATAATTTGCATATATTTATTCTCGTTTTAATATAAAGCGTAGATATTCTATATTATATTAAAATAAGAACAAATAAAACACAAAATATTTATAGAATGCTGAAAATAAGAGAACACCTTTTTATTATTTTTTTATTAAATTATTTTTTCATTCAACAATTAGATAAATTAAGTTTTAGCTGTTGTAACTATGATTTGCAAAAGCCTAATGGAGGATATTTATTTAGTGTTTCTGCCATAGTTGATGGATAAAATGCCATGAATTTGAACCTTTCGCCCATTTTCTTAGGATCTACAAGCATTTGATATGACCTTAATATTTTCTGCTTTTCTTCCTCTGTTTTAGCATGGTCTATTAGCACCTGTAAAATAATGATAGTGATAATTATCAAAGAAAACAAATAGATTAGTTAATTTCTTATTAAAGATTTCAATTGTAATGGTTTCAAATCAATAACATAATATGTTATGTTACAAAAAGTGAAACAACTGCAACACAAGATAATATTGATAGTGGCTTGGACTTCATAGATTCAGTGCCAAAACATATTTTTAAACAAACATACAAAACTTAGTTTATTGCTTACCAAATAAACTTCTGTGTATTCAGTAGGAATTTCAAAACTATACCACTTACTTTTAATCGGACTTCTGCCTGTGACCTTTCTAAAAAGTCTTTCTGTGTGACAGGGCCTACTACAATAGCAAAGTTCTCATGACTAGGAGTACTTGAACCTGCAATCCTCAGTTGTGCATAGTCTACATCGGCAGTTAGATCACTTTCCCCAGGATTTTGTAATGGGTCAACCACATTGTGTTTGTGAAAAGCCTAAAATAAGGAGAAAGGGTGAAGTTTACAAGATTTATTAACAAGAAAAACACTATTCTATTCCTTCCAGACCCCTTATTATAGTGATTGTTTTTCTACTCAAATTTGCTTACCCTAAATGTATCTCCTTTCTCACCTTCATGACCATAATCTGCTATCAGTGCGATCCCACCATACTGGTCCACTCTTTCAGCAAGCTGCCTGGCTAAGCCTAGACCTCTAGGGCTAATTTCAATTGCAGTTCTGTCACCAGAGTCTAAAGGAGGCCTTAGTAACATCTTTACTGACTGTGTTTCATTAGCAGATATTCTATAGTAAAGTTTTTCATTTTTATCTATATCTATGAGCAATTCACGCCATCCATCTTCCTCTTTCTATGTAAAATAAAAATATATAGTGAGTTTTTAATGTGAATGTTCTTGTCTGAACAACCATTCATTACCTTACCTGAAATTTATGAATTGGGAGGACATCAAAAAATTCATGTGCAATATACCATGAGAAATGAGAAGGAACTTTTTTCAGATCATTATACCAATACACCTTTGTGCCACTGACTGTTTCTCCCTGAAATGAATATCAGTTTTTAATTTTTACTAAAGTCTATGAGAATTAATTTAGAATTAATGCTATAATTATGGCCTGCCATCTGTCCAGGTAGGTCTAGTTTAGAAGTGGTATCCAGGAAGTACTTGGTAAACGGAAGGTTTTTGTGTTAGGAATAGCAGAAACTATGATATATACTGTTTTTATATTGCAAATAAGTAAAATGAACAGTCAAAAAAATTAAGAAGGATACAATGTTTTTGGGGGGCTTCCCACCAAGAACCAAGGCTATCAGTTTTTGTATGGTGTTTGCAATTTAGATAATGGCAGCCCTAGGTCTAACATACAGGGTAATTAAAGTCTTAAATCATCCACATCCATTATACAATCATGGTTTAACAAAACTTATTACCTCATAGTTGTGTGGAGAGTCAAGATCCATAGCCCTATGTGAAATACAGAGTCTACTAGCTTGAATACTCTGCATAGTTGATGAGATTTCAACTAAATGAATACTTAGATCTGTAGAATCATAACCAAGTCGATTCAAAACCTAAAAAAGATTTAAGTCTTGATATGTAGAGAAATACATTATTATGTATTTATTAATCTGATATAAAAACAAATTACCCTGAGGAAATCTATCATTAATGTTCCTTTGCCTGGACCAAGTTCAACAATGTTTAAAGGTTTTCCAGGGCCCATTTTCTGGGTCTCTGCGTAAAACCATATCGCAACAATTTCGCCAAATAACTGGCTAATTTCGGGAGAGGTTATGAAGTCCCCTGCTTCGCCTATTACATCCTTTTTCATGTAATAACCTTCGGTAGGGTTAGTGGCTACAATGTGCATATATTCAGCTACTGTTATAGGTCCGTTTAATCTAATTTTTTCTTTTATTATCTCCAACAGCTTTGGAGCTGTGCCTGGAGAGGGCATTTTTAATGTTTTTGGATCAGGTCTCTTTATAACTTTGTAGCTGAAAGTTCGTCGTGAAACCGAGGGAAGTTTGAAGTTTTTGCATAGGCGAAGTACACTGTGATGGATCATCGTTTTATTTTTTTACATTTACGTGAAACGAATAAAAAGCCTACGCGCCGTAAAAGTAATACTGATGTCAATGTCAATGAATGGTTTTTTAACGTTCTCCCTTTTTAGGTAAGGCTAAGGGAACAACCATACAGACTAAGAGTTCAGTTTTCTTTGTTCTTTTTTTTACGTGACGCATTCCAATGTTTCTTGGAATGTTTGGCACGAAATGTATCAGCTTTCTCGATAAGCTTCAGTGAGGGAGTCAACACTACAGTAAAGTTCTCACCTCCACTAGACCGGGTATGCTTTCCAATTACAGAGCATAATGCGACTCAGTGCCGCACAATGCCCAATTATACTGATGCTTAATTCATCAACATCATCATCAACAGCCTATCTTAGTCCACTGCTGGACATAGGCCTCTCCAAATGCACGCCACTTAGATCGATCTTGGGCTACTCGCATCCAGCTCCTGCCAGCCACCTTGCGCAAATCGTCACTCCATCGCGCCTGAGGACGTCCTACACTACGTTTGCCTAGACGCGGTCTCCACTCCAGAACTCGTCTACCCCAACGGTTATCGGTTCTTCGACAAATATGGCCAGCCCACTGCCACTTCAACTTGCTAATCCGGTGGGCTATGTCGATAACTCTGGTTCTCTGCCGGATTACCTCATTTCTGATGCGATCCTTCAGAGAAACGCCGAGCATAGCCCTTTCCATAGCACGTTGAGCGACTTTGAACCTGTGGACCAGCCGTACCGTCAGTGTCCACGTCTCGGCTCCGTATGTCATCACAGGTAGGACGCACTGATTGAAGACTTTCGTCTTCAGACACTGTGGGATCGACGATGTCAGGACTTGACGTAACTTCCCAAACGCTGCCCAACCTAGCTGAATTCTTCTATTCACCTCGTCCGCAAAGTTGTTTCTACCTAACTGCAATGTCTGCCCGAGGTACACATATTTTTGAACAACTTCGAGAACGGCACCGTGTATTGCAATCGGTTCCGGTAGCACATGTTCATTGAACATGACCTTGGTTTTATCCAAGTTCATCCGTAGGCCGATGCGTATAGAAGAGTCAGCCAGGTCATTCAGCATCTGTTGTAGGTCCTGCAGGGTTTCTGCTATGATGACGATGTCGTCTGCAAATCGCAAGTGAGAGATGCGTTCGCCATTTATGTTGATGCCACGTCCTTTCCAGTTCAGCGTCTTGAACATATCCTCCATTTGCATTAGTGAACAATTTCGGGGAAATAACGTCCCCTTGTCTCACTCCACGATGCAATGGTATGGGACTTGTTTGCTGATTCTGTACTTGGACAGACATGGTGGCGGCTTCGTACAGACATCTAATCACTTGGATGTATCGCCAGTCGACTTGGCAACGCTGCAGGGACTCCAGAACAGACCAGATTTCAATCGAGTCAAAGGCCTTCTCATAGTCCACAAATGCTAGGCACAGGGGCTGATTGTACTCTTCAGTCTTCTGTATAATCTGCCGCACTGTGTGTATGTGGTCTATGGTGCCGTATCCGCTCCGAAACCCAGCCTGTTCCGGTGGTTGGAAGTCATCAAGTCTTCGCGCAAGACGGTTCGCGATCACTCTTGAGAACAGCTTATAGACGTGGCTCAGAAGGGATATGGGTCGATAGTTCTTAAGTTGGGTCTTGTCCCCCTTTTTAAAGAACAAGACAACCACACTCCTACTCCACGCCTCCGGAGTTCTCCCTTCGAACAGGACAGTGTTGAAAAGCTTTTGGAGCTCCCTCAGTACGGGTTTACCTCCAGCCTTTAAGAGTTCTGTTGAAACACCATCCTCTCCAGGGGCTTTTCCATTTTTAAGCTGTCCAAGAGCAATTTCGATTTCGCCAATACTGACTTCTGGCAGGTCTTCGGTGAAGTGGCGTGTTAATGTGGCTCTAGAATCCTCATTTCCGGGATCGGGTCGAGATGCATGTGATGCGTACAACTGGCTGTAGAAGTCTTCCACTTCCGAAAGGACTGCCGGCTTTGAAGCAACAACTTCCCCACTTGCTGTGGTCAACTTCGTCAGATGGCTTCTTCCAAGAGATTGTACGAACACTTTGGATCCTCGATTCTGCTCGATCGCTCTCTCGATCGAGAGAGTATTGGAGCACCGGAGGTCGCGTCGTACGTGCTTACTGATCTCTTGGTTTAGAGTCCGCTTTGCCGACGAAGTGACGGGTGGATTTTCACGTCGTTCCTTCATTAGCCCTAAAGTCTCTTCCGAAAGCTTTGACTTCCTGCCCTTACGCTGCGTTGCACATAATCTCGTACCCTCTTCCCTGAGGATCCGAACCACATTTTCGAGGTTTTGGTTTACGTCTTTTGTGGTTTCCACGGCAGCAAATCGGTTCTCCAGGTTTGACTGGAACGTTTCAGACCCTGTTATAGATTGGAGCAGAGTAGGTTGGAGCCTGGATTTCATCAAACGGACGCGCTCGGCCTTAAAGTTGATATTCAAAGAGCCCCGGACGAGTCGGTGATCACTACCGGTATTGAACCTGTTGATCACTGAGACGTCTCTGAATATGTACCTCTTGTCCGTCATGATGAAATCGATCTCATTTTTAGTCATAGTGTCGGGGCTTTGCCACGTCCACTTCCTTTGGGGTTGTTTCTTGAAGAAAGAGTTCATCAAGAAGAGCCCCTCCCGTTCGAGGAAGTTGACGAGCATTTGCCCCCTATGATTTCTGCTTCCAAATCCATGGGATCCTACTACCGATTCGCTGCAATTCTGTACTCCCACTTTAGCGTTGAAGTCCCCCATAACAACGTTGTAGTGGGTCTTAGTAGTGGAGTGGAGGGCCCTCGATATATCATCGAACATATCCTCCACTTCGTCGTCCGAGTGTGTCGAGGTCGGTGCGTACACTTGCACCACCTTGAGGCTATACCTCTCGGTGAGCTTTATAATAAGGTACACTACCCTGTTCGACACGCTGGATATTTCCACAACGTTATCGGCAAGGGACTTATTCACCAAAAACCCAACGCCACCTTGGGACTGTTGGTCTCCCCCGCGGAAGTACATTAGGTGGCCAGATTCGAGCGTTATGGTGTCCTCCCCCTCTCTTCGGACTTCACTTAACCCTAAAATGTGCCACCTAATCTTCCCAAGTTCCACCTCGAGTTGCGCCAGATGCGAGTCAAACCGTAGCGTGCGTCCGTTGTACGTCGCCAGGGTCAGTCTATTGTGGTGGCCTCCCGTAGCCCGGAGATTCTTCGCACCCCCCGCCCCGCCGTTACCGTGGTCGCCACCGTGACCAGGAATAACGGGGCTACCGGGAACTGGGGGCCGTGGCTTTTTGTTTGTGTGCATTCAAGGTATTGCCCATAATCGCCACGCTGGGCAGGCGGGTTGGCGATCGCAGAACGTAGGTTATTTCACTGATGACGCTGCTGCCCGTCACCAATGAAATTTTCCTCCCCTACGTCGTTGGATGGTTATACCGCCATCGGTCGGTTTGCCAGAGCCTCGTCTGTTGGTCAACAGGGTGCACCACGTGAAGGTGAGGTTGGCTTGGGTTCTTGCAGGTATATTAAGAACCCCTTACACCCCTTAATGCTTAATTGGAACGTGAATTAGTTTTCAAATGCACCAGCAGTGTGCGCTAAGTTCAGTGTTGAAAAAAAAAAGTCAAATGTTTGTACCTTCATCCATACTTATATTTATTTTTTAACAGTTTGAATGAACTTTGATTATTTAAAAAAAACTATTTAATGAAACAAAAGCTTTAATAATTTTTCAACAATAAATAATATTACTAACGATAACATATAAATAAAACATTTCGATCAATGCCAACTTAAAGAAAAAACACTTGTTAATTTTTTTTTCTCTAAGTTCGCATCACACGAAAGCATCACTTTTGAGAGTGCTCAATTGTGCGAAGCGTTGCTGTAGTTGGAACACTCAACGTTAAGCATTATGCCGCATAATGCGCAATAATGCTGTAATTGGAAAGCAACCCGGAATAGCGTATATTTTAAAGATAATTATGATTTTATTTTATTTTATCTACTAATTGGTGTCTATTCTGACACTATTCTCTAAACCTAAACTTAAATTTGACAACAGTGTATCCTTGTCATTCTCTATACGGAATAAAAAGGCGAGATTGATGTTAATTTTAGTTTTAAGTTTAGAGAATCACGCCAGAATTGACACCATTGTGATTTTTAGTTTTTAAGCATTTGACTGCTAGATGTTTAAATCTAAAGAAAAGTTTTACTAGAAAAATTCTACTAATTCTTCAGTTGTGCAGACGACTGTAACACAAAATCACACCAGCCCCCGTAGCATGAGCACTCAAATTTACATTATCACGATTTTTTTCGCGTCTAACTGTCAAACTCCATAGTAATTTGACAATTAAGCGTGATAAAAACGCATTATACATCATATCGCGGTGCTCATTCTAGGAGCGCAGTTTTATTTCACAATATCCACTATAAACGAAATATAGAATAATTAAATTATGACACCAACAGTACCCGATGAAATCCCGCAAAAAACTCCTCATTGGTGTCAGTTCTGGCATGATTCTCTAAACTTAAAACTAAATTTGACATCGGTCTCTTCCATTTCATTCAGTATATCGTGCCAGAATCGATACCATTGTTGTCAAAATTAAGTTTAGGTTTAGAGAATCATGTCAGAATCGATACCAATGAATGAATGCTATAATATATTTAAATACATAGATTAAGCGCAATAATTCACTTAAGCCGGGATTTCACTTGGGTAGTTTTATTTGGTATTTCAATTTGCCAACAGTCTGTCCTTGTCAAGATCTTTAGAATGAAAATTTTTTGGTCGAAAAATCTATTTTCGTGCCTTAGATCGCACATGATGTGACATGACGTTTCAGTGATAAATGTCACTTTCAACTTGTAAACAAAGATTTGAGGTTATTTATTTGCTGGCTTTCAAGTGACTGCTTTGAATATGCGCATGCATACATTTACAATAGATTTGATTATCTTTTTATGTTTTCTTTCTCAAATTCTAGGTCCTTGCACAGCATAAGCAGTTTTAAAAACAACAGACCAGCCTACAACTGACAGACCTAGACAAGTCTTTTGGGCACATTCAATGGACATTAGCTAAATCACGAAGGAGCCATCACAAAAGAAATCTAAATTAAAATGAAGGAATCTTTGGAAGATGAAGCAAATTCTAAATACAAAGATGGTGTCAACAGAAACGCTAGGCTTATCGTAAGGAACATACCTTTTAAAGCTACAGAAGATAGTTTGAGGGAGCATTTTGCACGATACGGCACTGTTGAAGAAGTGAAGCTGCTGAGGAAACCCGATGGAAAACTCGTAGGATGTGGCTTTGTACACTTCACACACGTTCCAATGGCTAATGAAGCGTTGGCAGCTACTAACAAGAAACCATTCTTAGGTAAGTACCTCAGGTTTTTATGTATCAAGACACAAATAAATGGGTTAGGTTGGCGTTGTGATACTCTATTAAAAGAAAACTTAGGGTTGTATGTATTTTTGGCTAAACTGTACTTCCAGGGCCCAAGTGGTGATACTTCACACTAGGTTAGGTTAGGTTAGTGTTGCGACCATAACGCGCGAGCCGAGCGAGCGAAGCGAGCGTGCCGCGAAATCGGCTGGCGAAGCGCCAGAAAAAAAATTTTTTTAGAGACCTCTTCTACAAAAAAAAAGTTCGAATATCTCCTCTTGGGCCCTGGAAGTACAGTTTTACCAAAAATAGGTCAGGTCGTTTCGGAGGAGTATGGTAACTAACATTGTGACATGAGAATTTTATATATAAGATGATCTGGCTGTGTTTTATTGGGTGTAATAAATGGAACTAGGAACAAAAGCCTCTTTTTATTTTATTGAAACATAAGTTTGATTCCTCATTGAAAATCTATTTGAAATGTTGTATTCTGTTAATAACTTCTTCCTACCCAATTGGTTGTAAGAAAAATGTAAAATAATAGTGATTTATAAGATAAAAACTAACTTTATTTAAATGTTACCAATTGACAATAAAATTAGGTAATAAGGGCTAGGTTCAGTCCAGTATAGGAGTTGGTTCAAATTTGTATGGGGGGTAGTTAATCTCCAGCAGTCTCCAAATTTTTATGAGATGTAGTGCACTTAATTACATCAAATATATACTATTCAATAGGTGACTAAAGCAGTGATAATGATCTGTTCATCTCTAATTTTATCATTAGGTATATTAAGGGTATTTTATTTCAAGAATAATCGATCATAAATTGGTAAATTAAGTTCACCAAAATTTCACTAATATCATGCATAGTGATGAAGTTGACGCTATTAGATGCCACATACTAAAAATATGACTTTAATATTTCAGAGTGGCCAGCACCCTTACAAAATTGTAAAATTTTTAAACATGATTTAAAATTAATTGGAGATAAATGAAAAATTAAAAGTATTTGTTCATGGTATAATGCTAAGTAAGCTTTCAAATGATATATGTATCATCTCTGCCGGAAACTGACTACCACTTTTTCCTTTATACATCAAAGCTTGTGTGTAATTCTGTAGTTCTGATTTTTTTGCAGTCTTGTTTATAATGTTGACTCAACAAATAATCCAAACTTGACTTGTGCATGTCCAATAGAAAGCATACTTTTACACTATATAATGAAATCATAAAGCTTTTTTGAATGTGTTAATTATAGCATTTATTTAAAAAAGATATTGTATTTTTTAGATCGTCCATTAAATGTAGCATGGGCAGTGCCTAAGCATAAATATGGTGAAAAGGAGCAGAAAGAAGACCCTGCCAGGAACTTTAAGAAAGGAGTATCCAGTTATGCTGTTAAAATAAAAGGCAAGTATTTATGTTGGTTTTTCTTTTGATATTTCACTTTCTTGATTTATGTCTGTGTGCACTGTTGAATAACCATATGGCGCAATTGCCCCAAAGTTGTGTAGGTCATTTCATGCAACGTCTTACAGCGGCTCAGTGAAGTGAAGGGGCAGTGAGAGAGATAGTGATAGTTACAACCCAGACAATACTTCCGCACCTTCCACCCGACACACATCTCGAGGTCCCTGAAATGTGTGCCGATAGCCACAGTGGGCCTGGCCGCACGCTCGCCGCGATGATTGTCCTTATCCGATGTCTGGTTATCCCTTATCCCTGGAGTGAAATGTTCAGTTTCAACATGTAGATGTTGTTTGTCTAAATTTTAATAACGATTTTACAGAGGAAGATCAAGCAGAAGACGAAGTAAGCAAACAGAAAGGTAAAGCAAAACTTAATCGGAATGCCCGCCTTGTGGTACGTAATGTATCATTTAAAGCATCTGAAGAATCTTTGAAAGAACATTTTCAATCTTATGGAGAAATAATAGAAGTGAAATTACTCAAAAAACCTGATGGAAAATTGGTTGGTTGTGCATTTATTCACTTCAAAAATGTACCAATGGCAAAAAAAGCTTTGTTGAATACAAATATGAAACCATTTTTGGGTAAGTTCATCAAAATTACATTTATTATTTTTTTATTTAAACATAAAGTAAGCATAACATGAATAATGAAAAAACTCACACTTAGATTTTCTGCTTTAATTGGTGTTTCATGAATTTTATATAAAAATTGAAACGAAAAAATTTTATTCAATAGATATAGATTTGATTTGTCACATTTGACATTGTGGGTTACCTACAATGCGAAGAGATGGCGCTGCCTCGCAGCTTAAGGCTAGGAAAATTTCGACGCGGCCAATAAGGCCGTGGTAGCATAATGGTCAGTGCATTCGCCCGGATTGCGAAGGGTGCTGGTTCGAGTCCCGTCTGCTGCCTGGTCCGCGGGATTTTTTTCTAGTAAACTTTTCTTTAGATTTAAACATCTAGCAGTTAAATGCTTAAAAATACATAAAAACATAACTAATTGCTATTTCTTCTTTCAAATGTTTAATACTTGAAAAAGTATTCATTTGACATTGTGGGTTACCTACAATGCGAAGAGATGGCGCTGCCTCGCAGCTTAAGGCTAGGAAAATTTCGACGCGGCCAATAAGGCCGTGGTAGCATAATGGTCAGTGCATTCGCCCGGATTGCGAAGAGTGCGGGTTCGATTCCCGTCCGCTGCCTGGTCCACATGGATTTTATTCTAGTAAACTTTTCTTTAGATTTAAACATCTAGCAGTTAAATGCTTATAAATAAATAAAAACATGACTTTAGATACCTATTTATTCATTATCGGTTTAACAATGACAATTGGCCTAATTAATATAAATATATATTGCTAAGAATAACTGTTGTTATTGAATTTCAATAACTGATAGATAAGGAGTAGGTTCTCAAAATTGGCAAAAACTAAAAAGCATTACAGCAATCCTAACCTACCACCTTATTACAAAACTTAGAGTAAAGATCAACCTGGACTTAAACTGATACTGACACTTTTGTTTGTTAAAAAGAAGACTGAGTAAATATTAGGTTTAAACTGTTTTGATTTAAATAGTTTTAGGTTTAAATATTGATTTTAATTTATAAATTCATTCAGGGAGACCTATATCAGTTGATTGGGCGGTGCCTAAAAACAAGTACATGCAGCATATTGTGCACCAACAACTGGAAATGGAAAACGAAGTAAAGAAAGAAGATTCTGACAGCGATGAAGATGGGCCACCGCTCGATATCTCTGCTGATGACCTCAAGGAAGAAGTCAAGAGTAAGTTCATTAATGTTTTACGTGTTATAGGTTGGCACTTGGCTTCACTGCAGGTCTTCAAGGTCATAATCTCAAATTAATATGTGTAAAGAATTAAGTGTTAAGTGCTAAAGATCCATTAAAGTTGTGCAGCTTGAAACATGAATTAGGGTTAAAATATTTTGTTTCTTTAACAATGTAGAAATTACAAGTGCAAGACCAGATAAAACATGTTTTGATTTGCTTAAAAGTAACCTGTATTTTATATTTTTAAAAGTTTTCATTAAATAGATTAATGTTTGTAATTGCTTGTAATTACGCAACTTGCCTTGCCTCGTTTGTAATTTAGAAATATTGATATACCATTAAATAAAATCATTAACCACAATTTGGCAGTAGACAGTGTTAAAATTGTGAAATTATTATTTTAATACTTTTGTTAAATAAAGGTGAATCAGACGATGACTCGAGTGATGACGATAATTCTGATGGTGATGATAAAAAAATTGTCAAGTCCGATAGTGATGAAAACAGTGAAGGGGGTGACAGCGGATCTGATGATGATGATGAGGATGAAGACGAAGTGGATGAAGATGAGGATGGTGTAAACGATGACGCTCAGAGTGAAGCCAGCACACAAGCAGAAAGAAAACGGTTGGTAAACATTAGTGATGCTTCGAAATTCGTTTCACATTTGTTGTTACCAAAGCTCGGCAGCTTTTACCTAATTTCGTCTTTGGCAGAATTTCGGTAAGATCTCCCAGAAGACGGTCGAAATTCGTTAGTTTAAATTGATTTAAATAGGAAACGAAAAAGTGAAAAGAAATATATTTAAAAATTAAATATTAATCATGATGATTTGTAAGCAAATAGGTATAACATGAATGCTTAATCATGCTTGTTTTTAATTCACTAGATAAGAAAAACTACAATTATTAAAACTATGGTTTAAGAATATCTATTTTAATATTATCTATTAGCAGGCTAACATTCTTTCTTCTTTGTAACTTATCTATACTTCCATACCATTATATAAAGAGGTATAGTTGTAGGGAGTAATATCTGGATCTACTAAACCGATTCTGAAAATTCTAACAGGAATAGAAGGCCAGGTTTTTTATCATAGGCTATATATTTGAACAAAAACTATAATCTCTACCAAAGCGAAGCGAGGGTGGCCCACTAGTTTTAGATTATAATACTTTTTTTTATTGCAACATAACAATATTTTATATTTGTTATTATTTAAAGAAAAGTATTTACTAGAAAAAAAAATGTGGGTTACCTACAATGCGAAGAGATGGCGCTGCGTTGCAGCTTAAGGCTAGGAAAATGTCGACGCGGCCATCAGGGCCGTGGTAGCATAATTGGTCAGTGCATTCGCCCGGATTGCGAAGGGTGCGGGTTCGAGTCCCGTCCGGTGCCTGGTCCGCGTGGATTTTTTCTAATAAAAACTTTTCTATAGATTTAAACATCTAGCAGTTAAAAGCTTAAAAAAAATGTTATTATTTGAAACATTTTATGGATTAAGCATCTTCGGCCGACATTCGGCTTTGGCACATATTTAAACCGAATATTCGGCTGAATTCGGCATCCGGCACTACCCTACATTCAGTGCAACACTAGTAAACAGGTTTTTAAACATATTTTTGTTCCAGTTGATATTTTTAATTAATATTCGTAATTTGGACTCTAAATCGTCTTTAAAACTATTTCTGTCTAAAAGTTAAAATCATATCTGTTTTTAACCTAGCGCAGACGTTTCGGTCTTTTTATTAGGTAGTATCCGAACCGAGCTCGAGCCGAAGAGCTCAATGGCGCAAGTGGTTAGTGCATTCGCCTGCGATCGTTGAAGTAAAGCTACTTTCACAGTGGTCTGCCATTGGATGGGTGATCAATAATGTACCATCTTGAGCTCCTCCGTGCTTCGGAAATCATGTTTAGCCGTTGGTCCCGGCTGCACCTGCACTCGTTAGCACCCGCCAATTCGCTTCGGGCCGGCCGGCGTGGCCATGGCCCAATCTCCGTATGCCATCCATAGGGAAGGCCAGTGCCCCAGCAGTGAGGACATTTTTTTATACTTTATCATACTGTTTTTGTCGGAATAGTGACATCGCTCCGAATAATTCATGTTCATTACAAATGCCAATAATTTGTACTTTATTTTTCATACTGTCAAATAGCCTATGCTATATCCTATGCTATCGATCCTGGTTCTAAGTAGACTCTGCTTCCTTACTTCTTAACGTACTTAGTGATATGTTTACAGGACGAAACTAAACGACGCCGAGGACGGTCTCACGGTGTTCCTGAGCAACGTCCCCTTCAGCGTGGACGACCATCAGCTACGTCAGTTTGTCGAGCGAGTAGCGCCCGTATCGTACGCTCTCGTGTGCGTCGATCGACTCACGGAACACTCCAAAGGGTCTGGATTCGTCAAATTTACTGTAAGTATAGGAAGCGGTTAACTTATGCAGGTAAACAATCTATACGTATAATAAAATTGTAGGAAAGTCAAAACTGTACTTTGATTTTTTTTAAAAGAATATTGGGATGTGATCTGCAATTGATACCGAAGTCTTTTTTTTTAGAATATTGCATTTGGTTTTTTAGAATTTTTGTCTGTATGTATGTCCGGGATAAACTCAAAAAGTATTGCATGGATTCACTTCAAATTTGGCACGAATATTATTAAGAATTCGGGTCAACATATAGGCTACATATTATCACGCTATTACCTACGGGGAACGAGCAGTGGACCTTTATTTCTAACTAACTCTACGCACTTATTGACACTTGCGCAGGAGACGGGTTCGCATATAAAATTGCTAACGCGCAGGCTCCGTTGTTCATGGTTTAGCTAAAAAAATGTTCGAAATTTGTCGGGGTGTATATGTACAAAGACCATAAATATACAGAATGAATTAAGTGACATTCTCATGAAAGATTAGCCGCTCGAATTGGAGCGCCAGCTTGGGAAGAGGTTATCTTACAGAAAGACCACAGTAAAGAAACACTGCCTTTTGGTGGTGTTGTGTTTCTGTCAGTGAGTAAGGTTCTATGGCTCCACGGGGTAAGGCTATGGTCAGGGTAGGCAACAGTGCGGAGTGAGTGCAGAATAAAATATATGATTTGAAAAAAAAACAAGTTTTTTCAAACCGTCAGATTATGGAAATTCCTCCACATAAGTGTCAGATTATTGGTCAGGACGTTAAGGGCTCGTAGAGCATCTCGATGGCGCAGATGGTTAGCGGGTTCAACTGCGAACGTTAAAGTTAAGCAACTTACGCAGTGGTCGGTCATTGGATGGGTGACCAAAAATCTCCAGTTCCTCCGTGCTTCGGAAGGCACGTTAAGCCGTTGGTCTAGGCTGCATCTGCAGTCGTTAGCACCCACCAATCCGCACTGGGCCCGCGTGGTGGGTCATGGCCCAATCTCACTCTTTCATCCACAGGGAAGGCCTGTGCCACAGCAGTGGGGACATTAATAGGCTGATGATGATGATGACGTTAAGGGCATCAAGATAAAACGACTGTATAATAATCTGACGCGCTCGAGTATTTCAATGCACTTTTATTTGCATTATCAAAAAGCCACCGTGGCTTATGGTCACGTCCAAATCGTCAGTTTTTTGAATAGGAGCTACTGAATGGGTCACGTAACATCCTTTATCAGCAGCTGACGCGCTCGAATATTTTTTTAATTCCTTATTTGTACCGCTGCCTACAGCCACCCCCACCATCCAAACCGGCAGATTACACTATTATTATCTGACGCGCTCGAGTATATCAATGTGAATGTTTTTTTTTCATTTTTGAACCTGTATACCCTTCCCCCACCAGTGAAAAGGTATACATTATATAAACTTTTTCTTCTTTGCATCCAACCTTCACAATGCCTATTGAAGATTACTCTTACTTCACAGCTGGTATTGAGTTTGAATCGCACTTTACTCGGACTTTCTATTATAGGTATTTACTAATAGAGAAATCAATTAACTTTTATGTTTGGCCAAAGTAGATGCTGGTACTTCCTTTACGATAACAATAGAATGAGGCAAACGTGACATAATGAAGCATTGAAATAATTTGTCGTTTCTGACTACGACTGTAGTATTGATTAAACTTGAAGGTTATAGTTATGTATGATAAATACACCCTGGCAAACTTCTTTAGCTGAACCACAGACGATGGAGTCTGCGCATCATCTATTTTACATGAAAAAGCGTCTACAGCGCAAGTCTATCGTTTAGCTCAAAATAATCTTAGCTACCTATACGTATTGACGATAAGTCTCTAATTCCTACCAGAACAAGGAGGATGCAGAAAAATTCCTCTCGTTGCCAGCGGATCAATTGAAACTGGACGGCCAAGTGATACAGGTGAAACCAGCACTCAATCGAGAAAGCCTCCAGAAGTCTAACAAGAAAGAGCCCAAGGACAATAGGAATTTGTATCTAGTCAAAGAAGGCGGTGAGTTTTTTCAGTTTGACGTAAAAAATCTTTTTAGCGGTGACGTGGAATGGCAAATGGCTTAAGGATTGTACTTAATGGTGTCGATTCTGGCAGGATTCTCTAAACTTAAAACTACTCGTAAATTTAACATCAGTCTGTCCTTTTCATTCTGTATAGAAAATGATAGAGATACACTGTTGTCAGATTTAAGTTTAGTTTTAGAGAATCATGCCAGATTCGACACCATAATATTGCTACGTGTCAGGATGGGGTTCGAAATTATAACGCTAGTTCATGCTTGAAAGTACTTTATTTAGCACACAGGTCTATGGTTAACACAATACAGGCAGTCCTCGACTTACGTCGTTTCAAGTTACGTCAAACAATGTTTTGACACTTTTCTTCAAACATACGTCAATTGTTTCGATTTCCAGTATAGAAGAATTCACTTGTCGCGAGGTCAATGTCCGTGGGCCGGCGTCCGTGGGGATGTCTCGACTTGCGTCGTTTCTATTTATGTCGCGTATTTCGAGAATCTAACATGCCGTAAGTATGAGGACTGCCTGTATCTTTATTCTAATTAAATGTATAGTACAACTCTTTTGAATCGTCCAAATCTATCTATCGGTATCTACGAGTAACTATACCCAGGTAGCAAGCATGAGTCGTAAGTAAGTAGGCAGCTGTTATTGCATTTTCACCTTTACGCTGCACTGCCGTAATATTATATACTTCGTATTTGGCTGCTTTGGACAACGATATTAAATACCCTAGATACACCACGAGCGTTCTAAATATGTCCTTATCAAGAAGTGCTTGAACACGACTCAAGCACTTCTAGGTTCATAGTCACGCGCAGACCGTTGAAAAGTCAACATGCCGACATGAGCTCCGTGAATAAATGCAAAATAAATACGTATGTAAAATGTCGTTTTTTCGACAGGTATCTAATAAATTTTTGTTAATTTAACGCATTTGAAGCAAATTTTGTTCTAATACTTACTATAAACTGATTTAATAGAAAATATTTGTGATATTCAAACGCATGGTAGGTAATATGGCCGTCTCTTTTCCTCGCTGTCCTTACCAGTTATATTGCTAACAGCGCATTCAAAATTGGCGCGTAGAGTCAAAGAAATAAGACTCTCGGACTGTCATAACTTTTTGACCCATGCGTTTTGATTAAAACCTTGTACAATGTGCTTTAAAGGTGATTTTTAATGTTTAAATAATGCCTTATATTGTTTAGACTACACGCCCAATGTACCTTTTGGACATGTTTCGAGCATGATTTTGTTCGTGTTGGTGTATCAGGGGTATTTAATATCGTTGGCTTTGGGTCGTGAATACATCGCGCGACGACCGTGAGATTCTGGATTTTGTTTCCAAAGTATTGTGACAGTATGTCGACTTGCCTGGACCTTAATAAGTGAAACCATCGTAATCACCACAGGATCCTTTCTATCTCCTTGTAGACTGCTCAATCTTTTCAACCGAAAAACATACCTAACTATGTTTCTGTATGTCTATCCAATAAATCAAATCCATTCCATATCCCTAATCTAATTGGACATAAGTACAAATATACTTCAATCTCGAGTCCGTTTCATTGAACACATTTTTTCTAAGCTAAAATCTTCATATTCTGCTATCATATCTAATAATCCCTTCGTAAGACACTAAACGAAAAACTCCCAGTTACCTTACCAGTCTTATTTAAAGTAACAGCAATAAGTACCTTCATACTTCGTACCTTCATACATTCGACGACCTCCGTGGCCGAGTGGTTTGTACGCCGGGTTTCATGGTGTCGCCAACTCGAGAGGGGAGCTCTCTCGGGTTCGAATCCCGGTGGGGGCAGATGTTTGTGTGATGAACACGAGCATTTGTACTCCAGTCATGGATGTTATTATGTATTTTCTATATAAATATACTTATATATGTATTGTATATGTATTCTATCCGTTACCCTAGCATCCCATAACACAAGCCTTACAGTGCTTACTTTGAGGCTAGGCTAATAGGGAAGATGCATATATAATATTTATGAAAATTTTATGATTAAAATGTTAAAAAAATATAAAAGAAATGCCACTGCAACGTTTTTATTTTACATAATGTTGTCTTTTAACAATTATTACGAATTAAAAATACTTGAAACGGAACGTATATTTAAACACCAATCAGCGTTCAGTGACGTCACTCCTGTTATGACAACTTCTTTGAGGTTATGGTTATTGTTAAAGTTAATATTATTTTATGGGAAAATTAATGGCGTTTTTTACATTAAATAAAAATGGAAGTTGCGTTTATCAAAGCAGACTCCAGGAATTTACCAAGAGTTAGCGTTGACATGGTTATAACTTTTTTTGTCCAAAGTGCAGAGTTTTTAAGTGTAGAAATGAAAGGGACTAAATTACTACGGGATGTAAAAATCGTAGTTGTTAAACTTCGTATTTTATTCAGCGGCTTCTACAAATCTTACGGCGATAATGCAATCGGCTATGTCCAAATTAAAAGAGATGGAAAATAATGTATAGTAAAAGGTCGAGTTCTCCGGAGCATAAAGTACGTAAAGAAGGTTATCGTGTTACAGTTATTTTAAATGAAACGCAAAGCTTGGTTCAGTCCTGCCAATGTGAAGATTGTGCTACACATTTTAAACTTTATCTAATTTTCGACGTCATTCTCCAACTGTAAAATTAAAAATATATTATAGACAGGTTTTGTAAGTATTAGGTAGGTTACTAATGCGTTTTTACGTACAAGCAGATTAATTAAGCATATAACAAGTATAGTAACAAGTCTTTGGAGAATAATTGTCATTTCTCTTCGCAGCTTGAAACCACTTTTTTTTCAGTTTTGGGTCAGAAGTTCCAGTCAAAAACAATTTATTTGGGAACTTTGTTGAAGTAGATTGGCACAAAACATGAGTCAGCACGGCTTTTTTTCGGAATATTAGTGGTATTGTTATGATCACATGATGTTGATGGATAGTAGATTTTTAATTTTTCAAAAAAATATTTCGAAAGTCGAAAAAATATGCAAAAGTATGAAATTTTAAAGCCAGCAACGAACAATTATGACCAGTGACTGCCAGGAGTGACGTCATCGCAACCATAGGTTCGTTTTCGCGCGAAAATTTAAATTGTCAATTTAAAACCGCATTTTTTCCGATAAATCACAATGTTTTAATTTTTTAATATATCTGTGGTTTATTCTACGTGGAATTCTTTAAAATGAAAACAAAAATAAAAATATTGCATCTTCCCTATTGGTGTGAGTGTTGGAAATATTAATTTATTTATACCTCCTGTTACTACATCCGTTTATTATCTTATCTTCTTACCTCATCGTAATACTTCTCTGTTATTTCTCTCCTCTTTCTATGTCTTTATTTTTAACACCTCTTTCAGCCCTGTCAGTATCCCTAGCAACCACGGGTCAGAAGTGGTTAACATCTAAATGACCATTTATTATGTTTGTCACGTACACACAATTTGCGACAACCCACAAAAGCACAAATAAGTCCAAATTAGACAAAAAAAAATGATTGAAACCGGTTATCCGTATCATGTTACAAAAATCCTGATTTTTTTGACAGAAGTCTGTCCTACTTGCGTTTTAAATAAAAAAATAGAGTATCGGATCACTTTTTATCAGTAGAACGAGCTCTGTTTAGACTGGAACTATATAATATTTTTTTACAAACTGTCCTAATTTTATTTACTTTGAATTGTCTACAGTGATAGTAGCGGGTACGAAAGCTGCGGAGGGCGTTTCCGCTTCAGACATGTCCAAACGTCTGGCCCTGGAGAGAAGCAAGACTCAAATGCTCAAAAATCTCAACAGGTAATTTTATGAACTTGGTAGTTCATCGGATTTAGCACATGTATCTGTTTATTGTTTTGGTATATGACGTTTGAAGATTATAGAGCATAAATAATAATTGTAGACTGTCGTAAAAAAAACTTGAATAAATTGATACACTGTTTGTCACCGCTTCCTACAAAGGTATTAAAAGTAAAGGAAACGCCATAATTTTTCATTTTATATTAAGAGGGGAGGCTCGCAATGTTTTTTCCATACAAACGTTTTCGACTGATTCCTCCTTGATTTTTATCACTAAAGAATTGATTTTCATACATAAAATATAACTTTACTTATTCTATGCTCCTTTGTTTTCCATTTTTCTATAACTTGTGTTTCAAAGAAACTAAAAGCCATTAAAAAAGGCCAAACATAAACATTTTTTTATTACCACTAAAGACAGACGTCTAACAGATTTAAAAAGCATTTACAAAACATAGAGGCATAGTATAACTACTTTTTATTCTTTGCGTAAAATTTATATTACATATATCTAATTTTCGAGGAGGAAATCGTCGAAAGCCAATTTTCAGCGTTGACTACTGTTGTCCCTATCACACGGTATTTGCCAATGCGTGACACCAATAGTTTTTTCAAATATCTAATTCTCAGATGTCTCTCAGCTCGCGTCCGCTCTTAAGTATAATCTTGGAGGAGCACGACGGCGCGGGAGGATAGCGAGTTCGGCTTGCGATCGTAGAAGTTAAACAACTTTCGCAATGGTCGGTCAATGGATAGGTGACCAAAAAACTTCTTACCATGAGCTCCTCGAAAGTGCTTCGGAAGTCACGATAAGCCGTTGGTTCCGGTTGCATCAGCATTCGTTAGCACCGACTAATCCGCACTGGGCCCACGTGGTGGGGGTCACGGCCTATCTCCCTGTTCCATCCATAGGGAAGGCCTGAGTTACAGTGGTGACATTATTAGGCTGGTGATGTTGATGCTGATTATTGATGTGAAACTTCTTTAGGTTGACGCTTGACTTGGGGGGTAAACTGGCGAATGCGTTACGAGTTACGCGTTACGATTAGTGTCACCGGTTACACACATATATACATAGCTAAAGAAGTTTCACTTCAGTCGTGTGGTCATAAGCACTCTCGCTTTTTTTTGACGTGATAACGCCTTATAAATCGATGAACACCAGCTGTACGCACGAAAAAATTATGTGACGTCATGTCACGTTGTCACTAGTTAGTTCAAAGTTCCGCAGTGAGTGTGAGGTGAGGTCGAGGTGTTCATTAGACCTCTCCTTTCCTCCTTTACCTTCCTTATGTTCATTGCTATAAGAATAATCTTTTATTTTGCCAAACAAGTGTACAATATTTTAAGTTACTAAGTACATAGTTTTTAACTTATAAAGTAGGTAATAGTAAAAACATGCTTAGGCATAAAGAGTTTTCTGACATAGTCACACTCAGCTCTAGCTAGATTATAAAATAATCTGTGTTAAGGGCAACAATCCCGTTCCCTCGTCGTATCCTATAGAAAGTTGATTACGAAGGCACAAACATACTACACTTCTGGACACATCTATTGGCCCACCTTGTATTTTCAGTTTCGTTTGGTCCTAGCTAAAATTTTATATTAGGTCGAGCAAAAAGTTTTTATGCAGTTTTGAACCTGGCACATTCACAATTTCATTCAATAGTCTTTTTTTGAATTTCGAACACAGAATTTAAAGAAACAAAAGAGAATTTGGAGCCTGTTTGTTGATATCAAACAATCGAATACTAAGAAAACTTGGTTTTATTGGTTTACTTGGATTTAATTCTTGAAAAAGTGATTGATATCTTTGGTTTTGCAACAAACATTACTTATTCTTAACATTAAGGTGAGGTTCTATCAATAATCTATGGATACTTCACCTGAAGTCGCCGCCCAAGCTGTGGCACTTATTCAGGCCGGACACAGCCAAAGAAACGTGAGTGCTTTACTTAATTTAAGTCGATCTGCGGTCCGAAATGTTTATCGGAGGTACCTAGAGACTGGCGGCTTTGTTCGTCGCCAAGGAAAGCCACGATCTCGGGTCACAACTGAAAGGCAGGATCGATTCATCGTGACGACCAGCTTGAGAAATCGTCACCTTACCTCCATTGAGATACAAAACCAACTTCGCGACTTCCACGGAGTATCTGTGAGTGCTCGAACTGTTCGGAGAAGGTTAAAAGAACGCGATATGGTACCACACAAGCCAGCTAATGGGCCCAAACTAACGCGAGCCCACCGAACAGCGCGCCTTCATTTCGCACGCAGTCATTTAAATTGGACACAGCAAGATTGGAGCCGTGTACTCTTTTCTGATGAGTCTAAAATTGTGTTACATGGCAATGATGGAAGGAAGAAGGTCTACCTACGTAAGGGAGAGCGTTTCGCACAATGCTGCTTTGAAGAGAGGGTTGCTTGGCAAAACTCAACTTGAGGTTGTTACAGGACCACGGCTGCCAACATTATATGCTGAAAGGTACATTCGTGAGTGCTTAGAATCTCACGTGATACCATACGCGGACTATGTGGGCCCAAATTTCCTTTTTATGCATGATAATGCAAGAGCCCATGCGGCCGGCATCATCAGGGAATATCTTCGGGATGTGAACATCACAGTTATGGACTGGCCAGCCAGAAGCCCAGACATTAACCCCATTGAGCACATGTGGGACGAGCTAAAAAGACGTGTTAGGGCTCGTCAGCCAGTTGCCCAGACGATGCAGGAGTTGAAAACTGCCATAGAAGAGGAATGGGAGATGATCCCTCAAAATTTCATAGAGCGGTTGATAAACTGTATTTCTAATCGTATGAGAGCTGTGGTAGATGCCCATGGAGGCAACACGCGTTATTAAATTAAACCTTTATTTGATAAAACATGTTTTTTATTCAAAAATCGCCTTTAACAAGGCGCATATCCGACTTGTTAGGCGTAGCTCCATGTCGTATGGTATTCTGAATTCAAATTCTTCTGAAGTAAAATGTAATGGTTTAAAACTGCATCAACAGTTTTTGTTCAATCTAGCAATCATATTTTGGTAGGGGCCATTGAAACCTAAACTCTAAGGTGGGCCAATAGATGTGTCCAGAAGTGTATATTACACGCACATACTTTAAGACCAAATAATATTAGCCGCATTTATAAATGTGTTTTTTTTACCATAAACAAAAGTTGTGGTTGAGTGGTGATAGTAAGTTCTTCGCTAAACACCCAGACCCGCCTTTCCCAGTGGGCACTTTGGGCAAGTGCCCAGGGCCCCGCGATCGATAGGGGCCCCCTCAAATCAAATACAAAGTCCCTAGTTCCTGTTAAATCACCAAATGGAAGTCATAGAGGCCCCATTATCCTAATATACCCAGGGCCTCCAATAGGCCAAAGACGGCACTGTAAACACCCTTGACTCTCTTCCCCCTCAAAGAGTGCCTCATCCCGCGGAGGCCCTTACTCGGGCCCATATAGAGCTACAGAGGCGTGCTTGGGCTCAAAAGAACCGAAAGAAAAAGCCCAACAAAACTGTAACAAGGCGAACAGCGAGCGACATGTTATTACGTAAAATTATCGTACGTAATCCGACTATACAGACAACCTTTACGACCTCCGTGGCCGAGTGGTTTGTACGCCGAGTTTCATGGTGTCGCCGACTCGAGAGGTCCCGGGTTCGAATCCCGGTGGGGGCAGACGTTTGTGTGATGAATACGAGCATTTGTACTCCAGTCATGGATGTTTAAATATGTATCTTCTATAATATAAAAATGAATCGCTGAATGTGTTGCTAAGCGCAAATCTCGAGAACAACCGAACCGATTTCGATAATTCTTTTTTTAGAATATTTCTTGAAGTACGAAGATGGTTCTTACGCAGAGAAAAATTAGAAAAAATGCCTGAAAAAGTCCAAAACCAACAATTTTCTATACTCCCAAACAAACGACGCGTAATAATACTTAAAAGTCAATTTAAACTTTAATACCATACCATAAATTTCTAATGTTAGTGAAGAGGTTCCGGGAAGGCAAAACAATTGAGTGACGTGCTGTCAATGGAAGTTTGGAAAAGGCAAATATACCATTTTCAGTTTTTTATGAAGAGTCATTTTAGTCTACACTACAGCTCTACACCGAAGCGAAGCGCGGGTGGGCCACTAGTTTCTATATAAATATACTTATATATGTACTGTATATGTATTCTATCCGTTGCCCTAATATCCCATAACACAAGCCTTTTAGTGCTTACTTTGGGCTAGGCTAATTGGTGTGTGTTAGAAATATGAAAAAAAAATAACCATTTTTTAATTAATAATTCGAGTAATCTTCTTGATATAGGTTCGTCTCCCGGTACCGCCTGGTGGTGTCCAACCTCCCAGCGACTTACGACGACACTCGCTTGCGTCGCTTGTGCGCTCGCTCGGCGACAGTCACCGAGTGCCGCATCATGAGGGACTTGCGAGCGCCGGTACAGACGGACGGGAAACATCCGTGAGTTATTTTACAACAACATTGCTCGTAATAGGCTATTTCACAGTGTGAAAAATAAAGTACCAATTGTTGGAATCTGTATTTAATATTAATATCAGAAGCGTTTTCTCTATACTGAGAGAACAAAAATTTAACAACTTTTCTTAAATATCATTAAAAAGAAATGATTTTTTTTTCTATGGTCACGTGGCCGAAAACGCTGGAGATTGGCGAAGACTAAAATGACGGCACACGCTAGTAAACTTCCGGTCAAAGTGACATTACATTATATCGTTTGACGTTTTAATGACAGTCGTGTGACGTCACACGCCAGTAAGACGCTATAATGTTCAAAGAAACGTTTTCGCCGTAACCTTATTTTTTTTATTAAATTTTGATTTAATATTTGAATTTCTACTTTTTATAGATTAGTAAATAACGTGGACGGTTTTTTAAAACTTGTCAAGTTACCCTATTTGTATGTTTTTAAACCAATTTTAGTTTAATAGTGAGCCTTATACTGATTAAAAGACACTTGGTGCCAGAGTTCACACACAAGTTATAGCACGATCCAAGATCCAGATCTAAAGCCACGTTTTGATTTAGAAAAATAAAATTAGTTACAACCACAGAGATTTCATATCTAATTATCTTAAAACTTTTGTAAAAAGTAACCTGCCTGATCCAAACAAATTGATTGGTAAGTAGGTACATTACCAAAAATTATTGAATCTCAAGAATTCAAATATTAATCGTCGTTTTTTCACAAACCTTCTTGGTAATGTGAACATTATTTTGACAAACTTCTTAGAGATAAATCGACATAGCTGTACTGGCTGAATACATGCGAGAAAAGTTGTATGAAAATCCATATCGGTCGTGTTTAGCGGCCAAATGAATTACAAGTAGCCGAATACATGCGAGCAGCGAACGGTTAAAGTTGTATGAAAATCCATATCGGTCGTGTTTAGCGGCCAAATGAATTACAAGTAGCCGAATACATGCGAGCAGCGGCCGGTTAAAGTTGTATGAAAATCCATATGCATCGTGTTTAGGGGCCAAATAAATTGCATAGTAAACGCACATCTGTCGTGTAATTTTAAAATAGAACATTCTTTTACTCCGAAACATGGGAACCAACTAGGTAACTTATCAAAGATTTTATTTAAATTTTGAACGGGCTGGCAAACAGAAAGCTGTTTATTAAAAACAAATGAACAAAATTTATTGTGTTTCGTTGTTCGCCCTTGATTTTGAAAAGTAATTATTTAGCTTTAATTTTCTCGCATTATTCGAGAAAAGTACTATACAAACCTTGGCCACAACAAGGCATTGATGGACTTATGTATGTGTGCTGCAGCTGCGCCACGGCCATCATTTACACGTTCGTCCATCGATGCCTCTTTTGCTAGCTGCAGCAGTAAAATTACTCCAAAATATAACTTGTTTATTTATGGTACCAGAACTTCCAAATATTTGTTCCTTCATTCTTCAATGAAATTTACTAGAAGCCATTTGAAATCAAATCTTCAAGAACTTTTGTGAAAATAATAATTTCATAAGTTTCGCGCTGTATGTCTGTATTAATAGACTTTGTACTAATAATACAGAACAGACATAATATATATTTCGCAGGTCGAAGGGCTACGGATTTGTGATGTTCACCAAACACGAGGACGCACTTGCCTGCCTACGAAGGCTGAACAACAACCCTGAAATCTTCGATAAAAACAACGTAAGTGATGTAGGAGCTCGATGGTGCAAATGGTTAGCGCATTCGGTTGTGATCGTTGAAGTTAAGCAACTTTCGCAGTGGTCGGTCATTGGATGGGTGATCAAAAATTTACTATCTTTGGTCCCAGCTGCGTTTGCAGTCGTTAAGACCCACCAAATTGCACTGGGCCCGTGTGGTGGGTCATGGCCCAATCTCCCTATTCCATTCATAGGGAGGCCTCTACCCCAGCAGTGGGGACATTAATAGGCTGATGATGATGAAGTGATGTAAATTGATACTGGTTGTATATATTGTTTCTTAATGAATAGACATATGTTTTATAGATAGTGAAAAGAAAACTTTAAATGCTGTACAGTTTGAGAGGCCACAATTACTAACTAAAGTGGTTGGCAAATTTCTTGACTAAAACTTTCAATTGTAACTTAGTTCATCGAAACTTACATATCGTCAGTGGAAAAGTAAAATTGCTAACACGCCACTTTAGTGCTGCTTGAAAATTAACTTAATTTCAGTGTTTATATAAGGTTAATTTTTAAGCAGCACCAAAGTGGCGTGTTGGCAATTCTGCTTTTCCACTGACGATATGCAATAGGTTTGTGATCGTCTTTGTTAATTTTCAGAGACCCATCGTATCATTTTCAATAGAAGACAGGACTGCTCTTAATGCTAGAAAGAAGAGGCTTGAAAAATCCATAGCCAACAATCCGACAGCACAGAACGGGAACAACGCGAACAACGAAGGCTATAATAACAGGAAGCGAAAAGGACAGTCACAACCTGACGAGAGTTACCTCAAAAAGAAGCGATTTGACAAAGACCAGGGCAAAAATTGGGAATCACATAACAACCAGGGGAAAAAGTGGGAATCACATAACAGCCAGGGGAACAAGTGGGAATCACATAACAGCCAGGGGAACAAGTGGCAATCACATAACAGCCAGGGGAACAAGTGGGAATCACATAATAACCAGGGGAGAAACGCAGGCAACAAATGGGAGAACAAAAATAAAAAATGGCAGAACAAAAGTACGGACGAAGCAGTTGGAAAATACGTCAGATTGCCTAAAATCGAGGATGACAATGAATACACAGGTCTAACGGCGAAAGAGGGCACACAACACAAGATGAGGAGTAACCATAAATTGAGGACGCAAGCGGACCTCCATAGACAACACGTCAAAATGGAAAAGAAGAAGAGTAAGAACGCGTTGAGACTGAAAAAGGCAAGTCGAGAAAGAGTGAAACAGCCCAAACAGAAGATCAACAAGAATCCCGGCAGCAAGAACAAGAGAAGGAAGTTCAAACCCAATAACATTAAGGATATCCTTAAATAAATCTTTTACTTATGTTATTGCAATAAAATGTTTTATTATTGGAAGATTGACTTTTTATTAAAGCACATACTGTTACCGTCAAGTCTGTGGGCTGATTGCCGACTAGTCATCTGCTTTCTGCAGATTCCTATTGATGTAGGACTAGTGCTTCGAGTGATTACACTAATACTTATCAATTCGAACTTCTGACCTGGGGCTGTAAACTTAAACTAGAGTCGAGGTCCGAGACTCAGAGACGCCCTCTAGTTGAGCCGACCCCTCGGGTTCGAGTGGTCTAGAGGCTCCAGGCGGAGAGGAGACTCCCCCCGTGGGGAGATGCCATCCGCCTGGAATACCTCTAGAGGCATTCGCCAATTCTCGGCTTGAGGATTTCGCCGTCCACAAACCCGGTGACGCTGTAAAGGTCATCTGCGACCAACAGCTTACATACTCAAAAAAAAACTTAAAATACCTAAATAATCTTTATACCTATCATCAACTTAATCGTATCATGTCTTACTCGAGTATTAAATACTATGTAAGTAAGAGTAGGATCAACGATGATGACGATTACTATAACATATAGAAAGTCAACTTAATAGCTCAATTACACTTGGTCGTTAGCCCGTATTCGAATGCACTTAAAACATAACTCGAATTCGGGCACCCGAAGCAATATTTACACTGGAAAACAGTGACGGGTAACCGAAACGAAAAGTACCCGAATACGGGCGAACTCGGCTCCGTTCATTTACACTTAGTCGTTTACCCGAAATCCATTGGCACTCGTATTCGGGCTAGCGACCAAATGTAATCGCGCCATAATGCATACAGGGGCTGAGATTGTATGTTACAGTTTAGTTCTACATAATAGTTCCAATAATAATCATAAACGAGCTGAATTTAAAAATAAAATGAAACAACATAAAATTATTATTGAACATTTTTATGTATTAAAATAAACATATACATAGTAACTAGACCATGAATTTTTGGTTTGATTGATTATTTTAATAAAATATCTGACTTAAAATAATAATGAGCTGAAGATTATTATGTTAGTAGACGACTATTATAATAATACATTTAAGTTTAAGAGACAAAATAATGCACATAGTTATGTGTGACCAGATTCAGTGTTTTAATACTTTTTCGGCATATTTTTAGACTTCTTAAAAAAAACTGAAATATACCAACTTGTACAGGAACATTTCCTTACCTATTTTCCTGTATCAGTTGGTATATCGGTATTTTTCGAGGTTCCTAGGTTTTTTCGTAAAATTGATTCTGGTTGCACTGATAATTATGCTAGTTTGTGTGTTATAGTGACAAAAGCTTACGTAGTCCCTTTGTAAAAAATATTTTAAGGAAGTGCAACAGGAAAGTTTTAAAACAGGGATGGGCAAACTACGGCCACCGAATGGTTTAAATTCGGTCCGAATCAAACACAAAGGTTCTCAACAAGTGCCATTTTTTTACATGTTCTGACAAGAGCCACCCCGCTGGTACCTATTTACTTCGCAGCAAACTCAGGGTGTAATTTACCTTGCTGCTGAGCTGCAGGGTGAGGGACATTCGTTTCTGAACTATATTTTGATTTAATTTACAAATAGGGTATTTGACTGTATTAAGAATGACAATTGGCAGGGGTAGTTACTATTTTCACACAAAAATATTCACTATTCTATTATAAACCCACGAAAAAGATAGGTAATAACTTTTCTAGCTAATGTCAGCTGACCGAAAACGCCTGGGCTTGGCGAAGACTAAAATGACGTCATACGCTAATAAACTTCCGGTCCAATTGACATCGCATTGTATCGTTGGACGTATTAATGACAAGCGTATGACGTCACATACTAGTGAGACGCCATAATGTCCAGAGAAATGTTTTCGCGGCAATTTGAAAATGGAACTTTCGCTTTAGTTTTTTTATTGAAATACACAACAGAATATTTTATGGAATCCATAAACATTAGTAAATAACGTGAGATTATTTTCAAAATCTTGTCAAATACCCCATTTTAGAAGTTGTCCTAAGCAAAAACTTGCGGCCAGCCATAGATTCGGATAATAAATATTGAGACGATTAGGAAAAAGTTTGCCCATCCTTGTTTAAGAGAATGTTTTTAGTTAGCATAGTGATTATACCTAATCCTACTACCTTCCTACTTATTATTATTATAAATCTGAAAGTTTGTATGGATGTTTGTCACTCTTTCATGCTAAAACGGCTGAACGTATTTGTATGAAATTTGGAATATATGTAGTTTATCACCTTGTTTGATGCATAGGATACTCTTTATACTGGAAACTTTTTAGCTTCCTCTGGGATTCTATCGCGGGAGGGAGCTAGTAACTATTTACAAATTGCAGCGAAGAAAGTAAAAGATTATTATTATAATTCCATTTAGTTATATTTACGCTTACAATAGTATCTACCTAAGCACTCGATTCTTCGATAAATTAATTACCTAATCCAAAATATTTATTGAATGTATTCCTAACATAAGCAGTAATTTTCATAACCGTAACCAGAAATAACTTATATTACCTTCGTACTTTCTTCTCGAAAACAGTGGTTTAGGTTACTTAAAATGTTGCAACACAGGAGTTTATAGTATGGCATTCTTTCATTTGTTTGCCCACAGAACACAGAAAGAGGTAAGAAGGGTGATTAAAGACCATGTGCACGGGAACCGTTGTCGCCGGCTCGCCCCTACTACACTTCCTCCTGATAGATAATACCCAATCAAATGACGCGACATCAAAAAATTGAACCAATCAGCGCTCACGCCCGAGAGCAACGGCGCAATCAGAACCAAGTTTTGACCAAAATATGAGCATCTCCTCACACATAACTGTGGCGCGCTTGCCCCGCCCACAAGGGCCTTCTAAACTCTTCTGTACTCTGTCTGTTTGGCTTTAATTTGCGTCTTCAGTATTATTTCATGTGGTAACTTCATCTTAGTATTTGTACCCAATGGACCTCACCCTAGCTAAAAGTAGAAATTTTCTTTTTAAAAAGAATAATTCCCATCCAGACTCTCTAAAGTAGGTATTAACTCTTTTTTAGTCTCTCGAGCATTATTTCTCGGTTAGTAATTAAGCCGTTCTTGTCAAGATGATTGTAAAGAGCTGTAAGATACTCTTTCGGGTGATGGAAAAAATGCAGAACATGAGGTGAACGGTCCCAGCATATCCAAGTGCACTGTAATTAAAAAAAAAATTTGTAAACAACTTTGAAACAGTCTCTTAGATAATATATGTAGAAAAATCTGTGAAAGTACACAACAGGAAGAGTTTTCTGTGTGTAAAAGTTTGAAGCCCACCTATTTCTACAAAATAGACCTTTTATCTGTTATTTTTTTTTGTTTTCCTATATTAAGGTGGTTAGCGCATTCAGTCATATGGGTGGTCAGATCATCGGATGGGTGACCAAAAATTTATTATCTTGAGCTTTTCCGTGCTTCGAATCCGAATGCTTGTTTAGTCGTCAATCCTGTTGTAGTTCTGAAGTAATGCTAGAAGATATTAGGTTTTGTTTAAAAGAGAAATAATATGGACTTTTGAATATAGTATATTTAGAAGTGAGTAAATGTCAAATTAAACAAACCATAAAAATGTAATACAATAGGTTTTATGATTAGTTATAATAATTCCCAGCTGCGTTTGCAGTCGTTAGTGTTACCTACCAATGTGCAACGGGTGGGCCATGTGGTCTAATTACCCCATTCCGTTCATCAGGCCTTCCGCCTGTGCCCCAGCAGTGGGGACATTAACGATGGCTTACCTGAATACCATCTTTTACCCAGCAGTCGTGAACGTCGCGGTTACTGCATTCGGCACCGACCGGGTCATTCTTCGATAGTAGAAATAATGCTGGGGCGCGACTCGGTGGATGGTGGTATATACCTGACGATGCTAAGTAATGCCGCGTCGCCGCTTCGTGGAATAGTTTCAGATGAAACCTGAGTGATGAAGAAAATGACATTGTGAAATCCTGTTAGCTTCATTCGAGAAAGCCTTCGTAGCACAGAGGGGTGAGAAATAGATTGCTGTTTCATATAGGTATTCTCCATAAAACATTTTAATTTTTAAATGTTTAAACGACATGTCATGAAACACCTGGGACAGTTTCAGATGAAATCAGGGTGACCAAGAAAATGGTTTCATCGTCTCCTATTAGTTCCTTTAGAGGAGATCTGCGTAGCCAGGAGGTCTCTAATAACGGTAATGCACGTTTCGTACTTCAATCTTTCATGATAAGTGACATATTTCAAATCTTAAAACGACAAGATATTTCCTGAAACAGTAAAAATAATGAAATTGCTAAATCCTTTAATTTTGAATTGAATACAATTTCTATTAAATGGCGAGGCGAATTGGCGATGTTTTTGCGTCGTTGTTAAAAACATTAAGCAGGTACTGTAACGCCCGTTGTGTTACGTCACGGTAATATTATCTATAATATTACCGTGGTTACGGCCTCTTTACTTGTATAACTCTTTGCTCATGTAATGCCTACGGCTGGCAGTTATATTAAAAAGGAAATATCATTATTTTAAAGTTTTGAAATCGGGAATCTTTTGTCTTTTATAGAAGATTCCAGCAGATAGGATTCAGGCACAGATTGGATCGGTTAACTATTAATAATAGAAAATGTATATTTTTGAGTTCAAATAAACCATTTCAAATTTGATTACCATTTGAGCTTTACCCCCCAGGGCTTCCCTTCAGGTTAAGCCCCACAGTACCTACCTAGTATTGTATATTATTTTAATCTGTTTGATTATTGTGTTGCTTACTTGGTGTAAGCTCTCAGAGCATTCTGCAAGACCATATTCTTGGGGAACACGGCGGACGGAAATCCTATGGGAATCTCCGTGATATCGGCCGCAGAATCCCACACTTGGGACTTCATTCTGTCCAACACAGGTTGGAATCTGTAAATGTAAGATGTACTTACATATAATTTGGTAGGTACTTACGTAATGGCTAATTTACACTTGGTCGTTAGCCCGTATTAGGGTGCACTAAAGAAATTACCCGAATTCGGGCACCTGAAGCAATATTTACACTGGAATATGGACTGGAAGACGGTGTGGAGTACCAAAACGAAAATCTCCGAATACTTGTGTGCGGGCGTACTCGACTCCGTTCATTTACATTTATTCGTGTAGGTACCCGAATTCCTTGGGCACTCGTATTCGGGATAACGACGAAGTGTAATCGCGCCATAAGTATATTTTTACTAAAAGGAATGGATAAAATCTGATCATAAGTGCAAAATAACAGATACCTACTAGAGTCTGTGCGGAAAGAGAATGGGATTTAGATTGGAGGGCGCTGTAGTGCTTTTCTACCGTACTTGTAAGGTTTTACCCCTTTTAGACATGATTAAATACAAAAAACCGCAAGAAATCACAACAACAAACAAATCCGTATCAATACAAAACTTTGACGTTTTACAGATTGCTGGGTTTGATAGCCAAATAAAAATCTTAATGTTAGTTCCGTTTTTCGCCACGCCCATTCTCTTTCCGCACAGACTACTCGTATTCCCAGAAGCAAAAGGTCGCGACTTCAGTTCTTTTCTGCAGTAACAAAGTATATAATATATATATTAGCTGTTACCCACGATTTATTAGGGATATTTTCCTGCAGTAAAACGTAGCCTATGTGTTTATCCAGGGTGTCAGCTAACCCATACCAAATTTTATTAAAATCGCTATATCACTTTAGACGTGAAGAAGTAACAAACATACAAACTTTCGCCTTTATACCTAATATTAGTGTGATTATGAGTGCGATTCAAACTTAATGGCAGTTGTGAGGTTAGCAGCGAGTACAATTATGTGCAGGTTTCAGTCTGTAAAATCCTTACGCTATGAGTTTATCAGGTTATATGGAGAATGAAAAGTAAAGACTGACGTCACATTTAATTTTAAGTTCAGAGAATCATGACAGAATCAGGCCCAATTTTAATCCTAAGTATACTTACTTATCTTTATTCTTCATAGCGTATAGGAGCCCTTCACCCCATACGTAAGCGCCTACAGAAAAGCCGTGAAGAGCCAATGGAGAGAGGTCATTCTCAGCCATGAAATCCATCAGCTGCTTACCGACTAACTAGAACAAATGCTTTTTGTAATATAGTCAAATGATAGGCTGGTAATACAGTCGAAGGATGTCTAGCTAGACATACATAATTTACTATAGATTAGGTATGATTATAGATGTAAGGCCGGTTTAAAACCAATTAAACCAATCCGTTTAAAACGAAAAAAATCGTTTAAAACCGAAATAAACCATTTTTTTCGATTTAAAACGGTTGGTGTTGATGACTATGTTTTTCTTAATTATCTACATACTCTTGATTTTAACGAGGTAGGAATATAACGGAGTACCTATATACTGTATAAAGATTTTTTAAATGTGTAATACACTTACTGATGTTGATATACTTAGCGAGTTAAGTTCTAGTTGGTCCATCCGCGACCAAGCGTAGGTATTACCTACCTAAGTTATAAAAACTCTTATCATAAGTTAAAAACTCTGTTGGTAAATAAAAAAAAATCATTGTTGAAGTGTAAAAACCATAGTTCTTTTATTTTTGTATGCCAGTTTTCAACCGTTTAAAACGATTTATTAGGGGTTTAAACCGGCAAGATTTTGTTTAAAACGTTTTAAATCGGTTGTTTTACATCTATAGGTATGATGCGAGCAGCATTTCGAATTGAATCGGAGCGCCCGTTGTCTGGGCTAGAAAGTTTTCACACCGCTTTTTTATACAAGGCTTAACAAAGTTCAGGTTCAGGGACAGGACGATGTGTGGTTAAATGGTTAAAGCTCGGTTAAATTCATCAAACCATACGGGTCTGGTCCAGTGTAGATTAGCAAGAGTACAACAGACTTTTCCAATAAAACGTCATAGTAGTCCCCAGTCCTCAAAGGACAATGGCGAACTCCCATACAATAATAGTTTTTAATGTCGCAAAGTAGGACATGAGACGATGAAGTTCAAGATGGGTGCCTTCATTGATTAACATTTTTTTTAAATAACATACTTAATTATTTTTAGTGTAACATTATTGATTACCTATATAATCTGCCTCATTATTGGTTCTATATTAGAGTACTATAATCTATGTTAATTATTATATGGTAACAAGACGTGAAATAAACACGTGAACGTGAGGCTTGAAAATAAATTGTTTAATATGTCAAGATTCAACATAATATGATATTTAGGTTCACTGTAGACAGGGCAGGCGGGGTTGTGGACAGAGATAAAACAAGGGAGGGCCTAAATAAGGCCCTGACTAGTGTAGAGTGCGATTTAAACCACGAAGCAGCTCGAGGTATTGAAATTCTGCGGTTAACAATTCACCTTAAATACTTAAATGAATTCACTGCTGGGGAAGTGATTGGACCAGATTTATTTGTTGAGACTTGAGACTCATTAGTTCCTAGAAAAACTGTGTGAACAGTTTTGTGGGACGTTGTATTATACCGAAACTATGTTATTGGCGTAGTAAATAATTAAAAAAATGATCGTCTTTTACAAGTGCATATACCCAAGCTGAGTTTTATCGTTATACCTTCTACTACTTCTGCCACTATTTCAATGTATCCATAGATAGAAGATTTGGAACAAGGCAGGCTAGGTATTGATCTACCCCCAGCGCAGGCCGTCCTGCGCACGTCTGCGGGATCACCCGAGATATCCCGGGGGACCCCAGCCGTGGAGCCCCGGCTAGGTCGGCTGTCAGATGTGGAGACAGGACGAATGCCCTCAGCAAAGGGATCCCATGGTTGCGCACTTAACAACTGTAGACGATATTCGGAGTTTTTAGAGTATAGTATGCCGAAGGCGCGCGGACTAATTAACGGCTTCTCCATTTCGTGAGACTTGCGAGATGCTAAGTGTGAGTTACGTTCGTTGGTTTGCTCCTTAAGGGCGGGCGTCAGTGCCTGTAATTAGTTTTTTGCCTATGTAAAGAAAAAGGTAGTGACCTACCTGCGATCCTTTAGCGGGCCACATGAGCTGCCAGGGCGTGCAGGACACGGATACCACGTCGAAGCCCTGCTCCAGGTAGATGTCCGCGTACTTCAAGATGTGCTTTGGTTTCGCCAGCATCCAGCTCATGAAGATGCACAGCGGTCTCTTCACATCCCTATCTAATCTGAGGATGCAAACGACAATTAATCCTACTATAATAAGTAATATAAATGTGAAAGTTTTTCTCTTTGTTAATAAATCACCCAAAAATGACTACACGGATTTGGATGAAATTATGGCTGCACGGATTTTCATTACTTATAGAGTTTATTCACTGAACTTTAATAAAATTTTACTAGAGAGAATTCCACGCTGACCAAGCAGCAGACGGACTCGAACCCGCATTTTATTTACTGATTTTTAAACTCTTAAGTGCAGCCACTTGTCTAAGCCCACGGAATTCGATCAACTAACCTCATAGTTTTAGGGTTGACTTTGAGCTTGGCCGCATCGTTGCTGATATATTGCAAGTTCTTTGTGAGAGCTTGCGTGTGCGCATCTCTTTTGGAGAAATGTTCTCGAGATACGGCATATGTTGGTGAGCATAACACGACTGGATCTCGTAATATCTGAACATAAATTGGATAAAAAGGTAGTTTTTAATGTCGGCAGAGCAACAGTAATATAAAATAGATGGGGTATAACGATCTTTCACTCGTATTGGAGCTCGAGTTTGGGAACGTAATTTTTACCCTGCAGATGAGCATAGTAAAACAACACTACCTATTTGTGTGTTGTGTGTGTGTGTGTTAAGTTAGGTCATGGTGGCCGCTTAGTAAATAAATATCCTGCTCGAAGGACCAAAACGTACTCTAGCTATAGCTAGACACAATAGGTGTTGTGGTAACACTTGGGATGATGGTCTCTTTTATCCTAGTTCTTACTAATTATTAATGTAAAAGTTTGATACTCAATCACGCAAAAACTGCTGAACGGATTTGGATAGGCACACATTTAGTTTATTACCCGCATTGAGACATAGAATACTTTTTAACCCGAAAAAATGTTGGGTTCCTGAGGGCTTCTCAAAAAACTAAAAGTTGACACGAACGAAGTCGCGGGCGGCCGCTAGTATATCCATAAAATACGATAATGATTCGAACTCACACTAATTTTACATTTTCCATAATAATTGTAAAAGTGGAATTGGTGCATAAACAGAAGTACACCTAAGTGGCACACAACTTAAATGTGTGCGTTTAACAATATATTTAAAAGTCACCTCGATTTTAATGATTCATTGAGCCATTGTTGTGCATGTGTGATGCAACCGATAAAATTAATATGAATTGTACAAAGCTATAATAAATATTGTTATCGAGTACAGTTACTCGTAACACCACACACCTGTGGTTATTATTTTATTGATTTTGAAACAATTTTATTATACAGACATAGCCATACATCAAGTTATTACAAACTGACACAATTCGCAATAGATTGTGATGCTTATTTCAAGCAGAATAAAACTCAAAGTCTGTTTGAGAAATTAAATAGTTTTGGGTAATATGGCTATGGGTCTCTGTACACATCCATTACTAATATTATAGATGCGAAAGTGAGTTTGTTTGTTTTGTTTATTACTCAATCACGCTAAAACGGCTGAAAGCACTTTGATGAAATTTGGTACACATATAGTTTATTACATGGATTGAGACATAGGATACTTTTTATCCTGAAAAAATGGTGGGGGGATTCACAAAAAATTAAAGTAACGCGGACGCAGTCGCGGGCGGCCGTATTAATATAAATTCTTCGTTTGGCAATCTATACATATATACAATATAATAAGGCATAGAGAAGGAATGCACCTTTAAACCCCAATGTTCACATATCCTATACAACTGGAAAATTTTATCAATCCAAACATAGTTGTCTAAGATGTTTGCTTAGTTATACGGATAACTAAAACTAGGTAGGTAGTTAGTACATAGTAGGTACCTATAAGATATGTGACCAATATAGTTGGTGAAACCTTATGGAAAATATGATGTAAGCAAATAAAATAATACAGTCTAAATACCACTAAAAGCCTTAAATGAAACACACACGTCCCGATTATATTTTTCCGAACAAGTGAAGAGTAAAAACAATGTGTCAATCCCATAGGTAGTGTGATAGATTACATAAACTCATGGAGCACCCCCCTATATCGATGGGTCCTATGTATAAGGGCTAAAGTGCAAAATCATGACTTTGCAGGAGAGTCTGTTGAAGTTTCAAAATAATATATCCTTATAACTAAAAATCTGTAGTTTATGAAACTTTGCATGTATATTATAATAACTATACTCTTCGTATATGTTTCAGTGCATATTCGAAATATACTTTAATTTTGCTTTTATTGCACATTCGCCGTTATTCGACATATTTTTATATTTTTAGCTATCCAAAAAAACTAGTAAAAAGGCCAAAGTATCACTGGTCGATTTACTTAGTTATGCACTTTCAATAAAAAATTGTGCGTGAACTTTTATTTTTAGTATTGCAATATAACATCACCCAAGTAACATTAATAAATAACCAAAAATAACATTAACCATGTAAGTAGGTACTTTATGTAATAAGTCATATTGACCCTTTTACGTTTACTTTCATACTAAGATAGGATAAATAAACTCCCAGTAAGTTTTAAAAAAATGGCAAACAAATCACAAATTATTATTAATAAATGCTTATATTGCTGCTAACCAAATTATATTATACAGCCAGTATGGCACACCATACACCCTCCACAAGAATCGTATTTACTATGTTAAAGTATAATTTTATCGATTATAGAAAAATAACATTTAAGAATACGGCATTTAAAGTATAAATTGATGTACTTAATCGAATACTTCTATTGTAACAGGCAGTATCTATCTATACATAGATGTCATTGTATCTGATTGATAAATTCCCATCTCGATAGGTCATTTGTTAATATGTAGGATGGGATAGGAATGAATGAATGAAACAAATGTTTCCGTGCAAGTTAATTGACGCCCAATCGTCCTCGTGTGATGGGCTATGTCCGATTGTATGTGTCCTTTACGTGTCAGATAAAAGTGATAAGAAAACGCAAGGCAGATACGATACTCGTATATAAAAATATACCTATGGCTAACTAAATTAAATGTCACAAGATAATCTCTCTTCCCTAATTACCGTTTATATAAAGTACTTAAGTGGTACTTGGAGGAACTAAATAGGCCCTTAGTAACCCTAGTATAAAAAAGATTTATAAAAAAACTACTAAAATAATAAAATATAGGTACTTAGGTAATTTTTTTTTAATGTCGATGTCGTGGAACCTTTTTTTGAAGATGCAGGCAGCATAATTTAATTTGAATTTAGTTTGACATGTTATATAGATAGTCAAAAAAATATTATTGTGTGTCATGTTTTTTCCACTGAAGTAAGTTTTTATAAGTTTGTGTTTTTATATTTTCTGTACGCTCTAATAAACATTTATCCCTGAACTTACAAGCGTTTTCTTAATGAAATAAAGAAGTTCAGGGCAAGGCATAGCGCTGATTAATATTCACGAACATTTGATATATACTTACGCATAGTATGCCCGTGCTTCTCACATTGAATATTACTTTCTTATAAGCAGCCATTTTTATATAATTTAATAAACCAGCGTCAAGTATTCCCTGAAAATTTGAAACATGATAAATTCGTAACGCATCAACTTACTACAAATTTTCAATATTCTCCATAGATTGTGAATCGTATACGCAGCTAAATAAAGTTCAAAGTATTTTGGGGAAAAATACAGATTAAGGTAAATTGAACAGTGACTGTCTGTAGCTTAAGTTTCTTTAATGTTAATTGTAGTTTAAGTGAATATTATTATTAAAGTCAGGAAAAACACGATAAACATTTTCTTTAGGTAGGCAGGCTCAGCAGCTCAAGTTTCCAAGGCTACAGTAATCAAACATAACCTCAAAAATTAAAATCAAACGTAAAAAATATAAACAAACATACGTACTTACTCAATGTAGCCACATCTCTACTCTTATTCACTATATTAGTGTAATTTTTCACTTATTTAACTGTTCCTAACAAGAAAAGTTAAAATCTAGTTGATACCTATTTTAACCGAAACTAAACATTGTAAAAAAAGCGGAGTCGCGGAAATATTAACATTTGTTTAATTATAAAAACAGATAATAAAGACTTAGAAATCAGACCGCGATACGCGAGGACAGCTACTCAGTATGTCCTAAGGGTTCTGCTAACTACAGCACAGCTGTTTTTGTATTTATTTTTGGTTTATGTTTTGAAAGAGGTTGCTAAGATTCCATTCTATACTATACACTGTTGCGGTGTCGATCCATGCCGCCTGCCGGCGGAGCACTACTGTAGGAGCGGAGCGAATAGCGATATTCAATTAGGCATACGGTTTGTGGTTGACGCAGAGTTCATTCACTTGGCTCAATAAATACAAATTGTTACACTTGGCTCCGCGTAGTTAGTTAATACATACGGATACTTTCAGATATCATAAAATGTATCGTTTCATTTGCATTGATGCAAAGATCCGGCTTTTAAAAGGCTGTCCGTGCGAATTACGAACACTACAAAATAAGTTATCTGCTTTTGTTTGACGAATTATTTAAATGTGTAGGTAATTATGGAATTTATTACCTGCTTCAATAAAAAATCAATACTAAAAATTATTGAAATAAACACCAGTTTGCAAGGCACGACACCCCTCTTATAAAGTCACCCCACAGGTCTCTGCACCCTACGTTAACTGCATAACAAAAATAAAAAAGATGTAGAAAAAGTGCAAAACACAGGATTTTAAGCTGATAGCGACAAGAAAACACCTAGTAAAATAGTTAATTTTCTAAAGAACTCTGTCCTCAAATAGATTCTATGTACCTATGCCCAAATAAAAATAGTAAAATAAAAAATGTCTCATTATATCAAATATTCACAATAACCTCGTTAGTTAACTTGTTTTACTGGTTTGGGATATTTTAATTTTCTGGTATTATATATATATTTGCAGCGTTTAAGGCACCATTCATAAACTTCATTCTCATGCTATCCTATCAAGCCATTTGCGAATATATACATTATATGTATATTTATGTATAAATAAAAAGACATTGAGCCATTACTAGAATTCTTTAGAATTAAAATAGGGCACAGTAACAAGCAATGCTTATTTGAATTTGACTTAATGACCGCCTGAATTTAATTTGTTCGTCTACAAAAAGTTGCATAAATAAAGCTGTAAATAGGTATATATTTTCGTGATGATGATAAATAATGAAAATCGTAAAAGTATTTTTTTAATACATCAAGAGTAAAAACAATCAGTATGTTAAATTTTTCAGTGTTTTATAAAATTAGAGACTGATAACAAGTTTAAAGTTTTGAAATTGCCTTGCCAGAAATTTAGGCTATATTTATCAATGTTTTATAAAACATTAAAGAGGAACAAACACATTTATTATATACTAGCTGTGCCCCACGGTGTTACCTGTGATTTATAAGGGATATTTATCGGCAGTAAAACGGTAGGGAGTCAGTAAACTTCATACCAAATTTTATTAAAATCGGTCCAGCCGTTTAGACGTGAAGAAGTAACAAACACACTCACAAACTTTCGCCTTTATAATATTAGTGTGATGTTAGATACTTAGCGAACTGGTCGGTTACAACTGCTGTGGTAGGTACGTACGGTCAGAAACACATCAAGATAATACAAAATGTATGTATGTCTGTACAATTCCTAAAATAGGTACTACCTACTTACCAGGTAGTACAAAAAAATGTTGAATACCAATAGTATTCAAAATCACACCATAACCAACATTTTCGTGTAAATAATACGCAACAAAATAAATCGGTAAACAATTTTTATTTCATTTGTTATTTGATAAACAATCAGTCGTATACATAATAGCTTTCTTACTCATTTAGTTAAGCAATGTACCTGACATTACTCTGATTATAGTTGGTAATGCCTGACTGTTACAGAGGCCAACCATTTTACAATTCCAACTACAAATAAAAATAAACATAAACATAGTAATCCTTACCCAATCGAAATAGAGTTGTAAATAGTACAGCAAATTTATTTTTTTATCCAGGCACACACACATTATTCATGGACAAACTACCCGCTTTCACCTTCTTAGTTTTCCGATATCAATATTCTAAACAACAAATTCACTTTCAATTAATAACAATTTTTTCTATCCGCTTTACTATCTAAACTCTATTCCTTATAACACAAGGTCGAAAATTTAATAATCTAAATGTTAGTCGAGTATGTTCGAAAATAATTCTTTTACACTCTTCCATAATTTTCCCTATATAGCTCAAGCGCAATTTCCTATCAGTTCATCATTTTGAATTTATCAAAACCCATCTAATCGCAATTTCCAAAAAGTACTTACATTCAATGATCCCAAAGTCACAAAGTTTCTTCATACAAAACCGAGTGCCGGTAGCTTAAGAACAATTTTATTAAATCACACTTATCCTTAAAAAGACCTAAAATACCTTCTAACTAAAAACATAATTATATGATAATATATGTCAGTTATCAGCATTATATTACGAAATATGACAGCTATTTACTTTAACTCCTCCTTTACTATAAATGCTGTAGTGAAATATGTACGTTTGTTTATCTTACTCTGTCACACCGAAATAAAAGGTTGAAATTTCGTAAACAAGTCGATTTATAAGCCTGGGCTAACATTTTATCAAAGTAAAAGGTTACTCAGGGAAGTCTTGAAGTAACTTTAGTGGGCCATGGCCTGACAAATTGTCACTTATATCACAAGACAATGTAGAATTAGACAAAGTCAAATGTTTTAAAAATGTCCCCTTTATAAATAATTATTAAGCAGTCTTTTGTCTTAGTTCATTGAATAAACAATGTAATTTAAAGAGTTGTTACGATGTAATTTATCAACTTAATTATTTCAAGATGTTTTTTCGTTTATTACTAATAATGGGGTTAAGAATAAGTTACATAGATGTTATAAAAATTAAATCATTTTATTCAGATTTTCATATTTATAAGTTAACTATCTTCTGCCAAGCTGCAAGGGCTATGTTATTAAATAAGATCGAAACAGAAATAGAAATTCATGACAGAATCCTTTTCTACGTTTGTTCCAAAAACAACGGAAAAATTAGTAAGTGACACTTCGGAATTGAATCTTGTTACTTCGTAATAGGGTCTTATATCCTCTGCCTTTATCTTTTCAGGTTGCAATTCGAAAATTTTAACTAAGCAATTTTTAAATATACTAAACAGACTTTATAACAGAATCCTTTTCTACGTTTATTCTAAAAATAACGGAAAGAGTAGTAAGTGACACTTCTAAATTAAATCTCGCTAGCTTGCAATAGGGTTCTATATCCTCAGCTGTAGTTTTTCAAGTTGCAATACGCAAGTTTTATTATTAATATTTCATGACAGAATCTTTTTCAACGTTTTGTCCAAAAACACTTCGAAATTAGCAAGTGACACTTCGAAATTGAATCTTGCTTGTTGGTAATATGGGTTTATATCCTTTGCCTTAGCTTTTTAGGTTGCAATACGCAAATTTGAATTAGGCAATTTTTAAAAATAGTAACCTGACTGCATGACAGAATCTTTATCAACGTTTCGTCCAAAAACACAGAGAAAGTAGTAAGTGACACCTCGAAACTTAATCTTGCCGGTAACCAATAGGGTCTTATATCCTTTGTCTCAGTTTTTCGGGTTGCATCAGTAAATGGGCTGCTTCCAGGTGTTCACTGAGGGCTTGAAGGTACTCCTTCTTGTGGAACGTGAAGTGCTGCACGTGGGGAGAACGGTCCCAGCACTTCCAGGTGCACTGTAGAGAAAAATTAATAAAAATAATAAATTATTTATTTATTTCTTCACATAAGTAGAAAAATTATATTTACAATTAAGTGCTTAATTATAATATTTAATTACTTAATGTGAAGACTGGTGTTTGAAATAGGATAAACCTGTTCTACAAGACACCAAGCCTCCACTCCCAAAACTACATGAATAGAGCAAGCCAACTTTGTACCATTTAGTTATGTGACCAATATATTTATTAATATAAGATGTGCTGAAGAAACAAATAATAACACAATAATAAAAATAAAATAAAAATAATTGTGTGTGTGAGAGAGAGTGTGTGTATGTGGGAGAGGGTGTGCGTGTATGTGTTTTTGTGTGTGTATGTATTTATATTTAACGTTTCCCATGTTTTTTATTTATTGCCATTCTATTACGAATTTACACTTGATTTATTCAAATTTCCTGAACATTTGAATTGGTACAAATATGTAAGAATCTACTTTTCTTACGTAGTCATTTTGTAAGATTCCTTCACGGATCAACAATGAATTAGAAATGATATGGAAGCATTACTCTCTGACCCCAGCCTAAGATATATTAGAATAAATTCGACACGGTCATTAAGGTCGCGGTACAACGATATGGTGCATCTACCTTATTTAATATCGTTGTAGCGGTAGCATAATTGGTTAATGCAATGCCCGTATAGCGGGAGAGTGTGGGTACGAGTCCCGTCTGCTACCTGGACCACGTGGAATGCTTTCTAGTAAATTTGTCTTTACATCTAAAACATCTAGCAGTTAAACACTTAAACTCAAAAAACGGTCCACACGTTTAGTATCTAGTGTGCCTCAAAAGATCATGCATACATTTTAGACTGTTAAACACATTACCCTCTCTGAACGTCGCGCAGTCGGGTAGTAATATAATAAAAGGGAGTAAGTGTTTAAGATAATTGACGTCTTCCAGTGCTGTTTAAGTGTTCATCTTGATGACCTACTCGAGAGATCCCGGGTTCGAATCCCGGTGGGGGCAGTGTTTGTGTGATGTATACATATATAAGCATTTGTACTCCAGTCATGGATGTGTATTTCTATATAAATATACTTATATATGTATTGTGTCCTTTGCCCTAGTATCCCATAACACAAGCCCAAAGCACTGTATGCTTACTTTGGGGCTAGGCTGACTGATGCGAGTGTTGGAAACATTAAATTAACTAACTAATTTAACTTAATCTCCAGCTCCACCCAGCTATGGTAAACATTAAGCTTACTCTTCCCGACGTGGTCGCTCTTAAATAAGAGAAACAGCTAAAAAATGGACAGCGACCAACTTTAATCAAACTCTTTTCTCCACTGCTAAAAATGTCCATAACTTAAAGTCAATTGATCTTCCTCCCCCTTATTAATAAACGAAGACTGCGCTTGGATTAGTTACTCCATGTTTTGTGTCTGTCTATTGAATGACAAATGGCATTTGAGTGTCATAAACATAACACGGCGTTGTGTGTGTGTTTGTGTGAGTTGTGCTTTTAGAAAGTGAACAGCTCAATCAAATATTTGGTTATTTAGAAGTCTATAAACCGCCATAATCTGCTTCTACCGAGCAGTTTTTCTCGTGTCTCTTAATCCGGGAAATTTCTGTCTGAAACGGAGACAGTCAAAAAACTAGTCCTTGTTATATTCCTTGTTTATAAATAAGGGGGTCTGAGTTTTATTACCTTAATTCCCAATTCGATCCAGCTATCGTAAACGTTTTTGTTACTCTTCTCAGCGCCGACAGGGTCGGTCTTAGACAGTAGGAATAGTGCGGGAGCTCGGCACAGAGTAGTATGGAATAGCTGCGACGAACGAATGTAGTGAATCGTGGCAGCGTCATGGAAGGTCTTCATATGATACCTGGGAGAAGAATCGAGGATTTGAGTAATCATAATCATTTTTGTCTAAAAGCTACGCCATCGGTTCGTAAATCTACGGCGGGAGACCTCGTACTGAGAAGAACTGGCAAGAAACTCAGCAAGGGCTGTTTTTTTCTCCCTGTTTTATTATTTATAGAGAGTCGTCAAGTTGAAAAATGACTTCAGAGATGATTCATGAAGTCACCTTTCATTACATAATGTGAAAATATACATTAATTGTGCAACTGCATTTTGTTTGCTGTGTTATACAGTATAAATACGAATAGTGTTATTTATATTAGGTGTAACTATACATTTACATCTTAAATATCAAAACAGTTAGGACAGACTCATCTCCGCTCGCAGCACCCGTTCAGAGTTTAGTCTTCTATCAGCCTATTAATGGGCCTTCTCTATGGATGAACTAGAGAGAATGGGCCTTGACCCACCACGCGGGCCCAGTGCGGATTGGTGGGTGCTAAAGACTGCACATGCAGCCGGGGCCAACGGCTTAGCTTGCCTTCCGAAGCACGGAGGAGCTCGTGATAGTAAATTTTTGGTCACCCTACCACTGCAAAAGTTGCTTAACTTTAACGATCGCAGTCGAATGCGTTAACCACTTGCACCATCGAGCTCCGCAGAATTATTGAGTACTTTAGAATATTCGATATAAATTCATTTATTTCGACCAACGTGAATTCAAATTAAAATAAGTTTGATTCAATCAACATGTATCATTTATATCGATACATAGGGCCTGATTCTGGTATGACGTGAATCTAAACAATATCTATAATGACTAACTATTTTTTCTTCATCTTTAAGGTAGATTATCAAAGAGTATTGGACACTTTTGTCTCTTGTTTCACATAATCAAAACATTACAGCGATATATTTATTTCAAATTTCGCATGCCGTCACGTCTTAGCAGAACTTTTACTTAGAAGTGACATCACGAGCCCCCACTCCCAAACTTTGTAATCTATCTGCGTAATTTTTTGGTTGATTGACAAACGAAAAGATATATGTCTATTATCTTTTGATAATCTTACTGACGGGCTAAACAGAATTTCAGATTAAATAATAACTTGAAAGGGGTAAAATGGGGGATTAAATTTTATTACCCGTAACTCCCCCTTTCTCCCCATTTGGACTCGCCTGTATAGGTAGAGGTAAATTTTAGCAAACCCATACACAAACAGATATGCGCAGTAGACGTTTTGTTTGTAAAATTGCAACTGCGTAGGCTCCGTTGTCCACGGTTTATGCCATAAATATAGGATATATACACGCAAGTGTTCCATAAATTTAATTGTGACGGGTACGTATCGGTGTTTCATTGTAAATTTGTGAATATAAGTGTCGTTACGATACCATAACACAAAATGAATGAGGATCCACAACGATTTAAGTTGAGAATGCAGATTTATAGAGCTAAGGATTCCATAAAATACAGTGGTTAAATTTTTGTTCTACGACAAATATTGACAAAGTTATAACCAAATTACTAAACGAATTCTCGGCTAGCCGCGTGGTGACAGCGCGTCACAGAGCTCTAGCGCTCCGGCGCGAGCGTGCGTAGAGACGCTACTAAAGTTAGACCGGAGTGAACCACGATCGAGCTCTGTAACGTTACAATGTTTCAGGCCGCCGGTGAATATTGGCTAACATAAAATCTCTCATCTATTAGACGAGTCCGTCTGTCCGTGGTGCTGTTTCAGCGGCAAATCCGAAGGGATAGATAAAGAGAATATTTAAGTTATAAGTTAAGAATAGTCTGATAAGACTACAAACCGGATTTGAGTAACGTAGCACTTCCGGTTTTCGAGAAATCAGGTTTTGGTGAACATTTGGTTCACTGGTTTGCTAGTTAGTTATAATTTCGCAACGAATGAACAGTTTTCGATGATTGAAAAAGTATATTAATTAAAAAGCTTATTAGATCATTATACTGCTGATTTTGAGTTGATTTGCTGACCTAGTAATGATCCTCATTGTATAAGCACAATTGCTTTTTTTTTAGTTATACAGAATTTCCTTATAATTTTTTTCACATAACGCCTTGACAGGACGATGTTGGCTCCTACTTTATTGGACCAAAGGTACATTATGTTGCGTCTCTTTCTACCTTGTAGGATTGTCGTAAGGGCATTACATATCTTTTCGTCACTCTGTCAGTTTTTAAATACTCAGTCAATGGTCTATGCTCAAAACCTTCTCCGGGGTGAATTTCAAATACAACTCACTCCATATAAGCCTTGAGAGTCTTCTGCATGATCTTGTTCTTGGGAAATACTGCAGCCGGAACTCCTACGCTCAGTTCGCTCACATCCGCAGCTGAGTCCCAAATCTGAGCGACAACCCGGTCCAATGCTGGTTGGTAACTAAAACAATATGGAAATAACAATGATGAAGTTTTATTACTATGTCACAATGATTGATTTTCCAATGCCCGGAAAAAACTTATTTATTTAGTATTTTAGTACACACAATAAAATAAATAAGATAGCAATATTTACTCATTTGTCGGATAAGTTATTTTTTTAGGGATTAATTGTAGAGTACTGTTCATTTTTCATTCATATTTACTTTTGACTTTTTAACTGGCAATGAATTAGAAATTATACGGAAGCATTATTTCACTCATTTTGCCCCGCTTACTTGATCGCAGTTTGGGTTGAACTGCGATCAAGCACCACTTTTTAGCACTGTTCGTGTTCCATATAATTTCTAATTTATTAAGCAAATTAGTTTTATCCGAGCATTGAACCATTGGTTCCCAGGATTAAAAATTAGCAAAGACTACATTTGTATGAGGAGGGGCGGTGGGGGGGTGATTTTGGTGTATTATTCTTGAAAAAAAAACGTTTATCATTCGCTGCTGTGGTTCTGTAAGCGCATATCAAAAGGTCATAAATTTCTTAAAGTATCCACTAACCTTTTAAACACATCGAGAAGGTACGTCTCTATCAGGGTATCTTTCGTGGTACTACCGCAAAGCTAATATGTCATAGTGGTTCATAAAGTAAGATTCCATTAAATCTATTTTATTTTGATACCCCATGCTAAGTAAATTAACAAAAAATTGGAAAAAACGAAAAAGGAAACTTACAAAAAACAAAAGAACTTATTTTTTCCATTTTTAAATTATTATTTTTATAAATTTCAGCCAATCGCATTGTAACTGTGAGTTCAAAAAGAAATGCATACGTACTACGGTTTGTATATAACTTTATTTTTTACTTTATCACGTAATAAGATATTCCTTTCATTTAAAATGCTATGTTATTTAGCAAAAAATAATCGTTATGGTTAACCCTTTCGATGGTTATCATAAAATATGTTGTGTTTATTTTTCCCAAATTTCACGAGTTTGATTCCCAGTTGTAGCAGGCGATTAGAAATAATCTGTGAATGCAGTTCTAGTTATTATTAAAAATAAAACGATGTCTCCTTTCAGTAAAATATCCTATCTTCAATATTTAATATACTTTCCCTCCGTGTGAGGTAGTCGTGGGACGCCCTGTATATGTTGTTCTGCTGAGCTCGAGTTAATCTCCTATTGTATGTGTGTCAATGTGTATGTGTCAACTCACAGTTCCTTGTTGTTGATGACGTGGGCGCAAATCTCCCCCATCATGTAGCCGGCCACTGAGAACCCGTGCAACATGAGAGGCTGGCCGTTGTCGTTGGCAGCCATAAGTTTTATCACGTCTTTCGCCACCAACTGTAAATATTTGTTCATCATTACCCAATGTCTGAAATGCTGGCAAGGGCGTCGCCAGCTTATGACTCAGAGGGGGGCAATGGGGCAATATAATAGGTAAGGAAGTCAATTGCTCGCACTTTGGTCGCTCAAGGTCACCAAGGGGGGGCTGATCCCCTGCCCCCCCTTGGTGACCTTGAATGCTGGGGTGGCATAGGAAGACCATTCTTCCCAAGGCCCATGCCTTTGGGGTAGCAACACACATAATCGGCCCGGCATAGTCGGTTCGGTAGTATTTGTCGAACAACAAAGCCGACCCTTTGTAATTACTGCCATCATCATCTACACATATTCGATTTTACCGCCCGGCTTATGTTAGTAGCTTCTCTTACCAACCGAACTAACGCAAACCTTATTCGGATTGGTGACGACTGCAGACGCACCGAAGCAGTATAAATGTATTCTACTCACCAGACTGTATTCGACTTCCTTTAAACCAAAAAGTAAACAAACCCTAAAATAGGTTTTTCAATAGGTTCAGTGTTATAGTATAACATAAAAAATCATAACTAAAAAAATGGCATTAAAAAAAACCTAAAGCGTGTGTTTTGTTCTACACAATCATCAAAATCGTCTACAATCGACAATTTGTCTACACAAAACTTCGTTGCACTACACATATTTGTTTGCATCAACATAGTTTTTGTTCTCAGAGTCCGATGGAAAACACGTACGCAAATCAACCCTGCGCGGGTCAAGGGGCAGGAATTATTTCATCAGCCATTTTAAAACAACTCGCTAGCGGGGGCTCAGCTCCAAACATGCGCTCCGAGTACAACTTTTCGCTCTGACGTTCCAATTTTGACATAAAATGGACGAAAACTTTTGCCAAATTTGACATTGGTTTCATGTGAATTGTGAATTGTACGTTTGGAACGTAGCCCTGTGTATTTTATGTATGACAGCCACGTGAGTAGTAGACAGTGTAGAGAAACATGTTTCAAAAAACAAAGTTTAGTGAATTTGTTTATGTTGAATCTTTTCATAATCTTTTGCTGGAGACCCGGCTTAAAACTATACCTATTCCCAAACTTTGAACGAATTATAATACTACTAAAATGAAGAGTAGTGATGAAGCAAAACATTTACGTTGAAATGTTGTATCAGTCTGGTTACACCGGCCATCTTAACTCTCGATAAAAAAAGTTTCGGAAACGATTGTTTTTTTGTTTACCTTTTGGCTCAAAGGAAATTGGATAGAGTATACATAGATATAGATACATAAAGACACATGATGGATCAAACCAATGTTCTTAGATTGATCAGATATTGTAGATTCACGATTGCTGGAAGTCAAGGTTATGACTGATGGGGACTGTCGTCTAATGGGGGACGGGTAACTGATGACTTTATTTTTCATGTCATGACTGATGAAATTGACAGACGAATGCATAAGCATCGAATGGACGCCTACGAGGTTATAGTAGCCAACAATACTATAAAGAGAACTGCAGTACTATTCCTTTTTATTAATTATTCAAATATATTAAAAATAAAATGAAAAAACAAAAAAATCTTCACCTGCGATCCCTTGGTGGGCCACATGAGCTGCCACGGCGTGCAGGATACGGAGACCACGTCGAAGCCTTGTTCCAAGTATATGGACGCATACTTCATCACGTGCTTCTGTCGGGCTAGCAGCCAGTTGATCATCACGCATATCGGCTTGTTCGGGAGCTTGTCCAATCTAAGAGGCAAGGGAAGGGAAAGGTTATTTATTCGTTTTTCTGAGACAATTATAAAATTGGTCACAACAAAAAAAACGGACCAGAACCTAGGAAACTTTTTTATAAATCATTTTACGTATTAAATTATGAACTACACATTAAAAACGCACTAGTCAACAGCAAAGCCTTGTAAGCTATAATATCAAGACAGTGATATACGATGTCAAGTCATATGGTGTTGTAAGCGGTACAGTGGGATCACCAATTAGTTATAAGTGTTGTAAACACATAATTGAGGCCTTGCGTTTATCCCTCGACAAGTCGACTGCACCACGTTTCGCATACAACTGGTAGGGTTGCCTACTACAATTAAAGAAAAACTTGGTTTTGAAGTTGCAAAAACCAGGATAATTCCTATTAAAAACAAACGCAGTAACACAGAATAACAATCAGAGTTGAATTTAACATCCTGCGCAGCTTTTAACAGATTTGCACCGTATAGGCTATCCAGGAGCCCTGGACACTCAAAACAACAGACATGTTCTAGGAAACTCTACGGTACTATCATAATCTCTTACATGGAAACGCTGTAGTGTCTCGCTCAGAGAAAATACTTTTCTTTTTCAAGTTGATATAAAACTGTATAGGACGCAGTGGCGGATTAGCCTATTCAAATAATAAATAAATATTTCCAACACACACCGATTAGACTAGCCCCAAAGTAAGCACTGTATGGCTTGTGTTATGGGATGGGATTCTAGGGTAACGGATAGAATACATATACTTTTATAGAAATACATATTAAACATCCATGACTGGAGTACAAATGCTCGTATTCATCACACAAACATCTGGCCCCACCGGGATTCGAACCCGGGACCTCTCGAGTCGGCGACACCATGAAACCCGGCGTACAAACCACTCGACCACGGAGGTCGTCAATTTGCGGAAAACCGGATTTGCAAGAGCACGAATTGCAAATGTCTTATTCTATGGTTATAAAAACAAACGATATCGGCTCCTCAGAAAAAAAAGCTTGATATACTATAACAATCCTTCATAGTATGCTTCAGGCCCCGCGCTTAATCCAACACTGATTGGCCACCCATTCCCTTTAGGAAGGACCTTTTGGTCCCCCAGCCCCCCTCTCTGGCAGAAGCTAGGCGTTAATAGACTTATCTCTAAACACATGAAACCGTGCAATATGCGGGGTTGTCAACCATCCGCACTCTGGTCTATGTTCGAATTTAGACACTCTCTACTCCTATCAGTTAATTATACATATTTAGGTAGTTTAATATAATGTTCTTGATAGTTGCTTTTATAGTCCTTTTTGATGATATTGTTTAATATGTATACATAACTAACAATAATAAACATGAATACTATTAACATTATCATGACCAAGTGGCTCTCAACGCTAGACAAAACTCATTATCAGAATTGACATTCAAGTTCAATAATTATTGTTTACTATTATTTGTAATCGATCTGCCCTCGTCACTTTGTCTGGGTTAAATTAGAAAAATTAAAAAAAGATTATTTTAAAAACTTAAAGGTAGATATCACGTTTAAAAATTAAACAAAAATTCTTTAACTACCTAAGAGCGCGAACTTTTAAGCGAGAGCACGGAGCGGGCGGCCGCTCGGCGTGTTTGCTTCATGTTATTTTATAAAGCAGCGCTGTGTGAGGCGGGTCTCCCACGCCGCGCTGTTTTACGAAATGACATAAAAACTGCACGCGGCACGAACGTCCGCTCCGTGTTCCCGCTTAACGCAGCGCACGCTCTAAGCGCCAAAAAAATGTGATTAACGATAACTTTCAAATGTTTGTCTACTCGCCGAAAAAAATAACCAAATGATGATAAAACCGCATTAAAATCCGTAGCATTTATTTAAAGACTTTGTTATACTTACAGAATTTCTGTATACCATGTCTTATAAAAAACGCTACGGATTTTAATGCGGATTTCATCATCATTAGTTATTGTTTTCCGATTCCAAGCACTCACTTCATAGTGTTAGGGTCGGCTGTGATCTTGGTCTTCTCGTTGCTGATGTACTGTATGTTCTTGGTGAGCTCCTGGGTGTGAGCGTTGCGGTCGAAGCCGACCATGGCAACCGGAGCGCAGGTCAGCAGCGGCCGGAAAGAACTCTGGAACAACAAAATTAAAGCTTAGTAGTAGAACGTCGGGCTGTTTCCGCAAATTAAAATTCAATATCGTTTATTCAGTCTAGGCTGTCACAAGCACTTGTGAATGTCGAAAAGATACGCCATTGGTTTGCAAATCTACGGCGGGAGACCTTGTACTGAGAAGAACCGGCAAGAAACTCAGCAAGGGCTGTTTCTTCTCCCTTTACAGACTCGTCAAATTGAAAAATGACTTCATTTTGAGATAACTCATAAGTCAGTTTCCATTTCAAAATTAAATTATATAAAAATTACGACTGTACAATAAAATAAAACTGATTCAACACATAGTTTAGAAATGCCGAGTGCTACTGTTCCTCTGTTCTACTGTCACTCATCTCCGCTTGCAGCACCCGTTCGTGTGAATGACACATGAACCAATTATCGCTTCGCTCAACAATTTTTTAGGGAACGTAACGACCCGCCTTACACTACACCGAGGAAAAGATTTTTAAGAAAGCATGACTACCCATATAACCACACATGGACCGCGATATCTCACGAATGGTGAGTCGTGAGAGAAAATGTGGCTGGACCATTTTTGTAGAGAATTGTATGGTCTACAAATTTGGCTGACCTATTTTCACGATAAACTTACCGTTTTCGAGAAAAATGGAAAAATCCTTAATTTTGTACGTTTGACCTTGATTTTTTTTTTGCAGAAGTAGGATCGAAGGGGATTTTTGACATTTTATTTATAATGATGTATTTAACGTCTCTGGCAATTTTCAGCTCTATGCGAATTAGTGTTGCCAAATGCAAGAACAAGACGAGACTTAGCCAGTCTTGGTCTTGGTCTTGCGCTCCCAGTCTTGGTCTTGGTCTTGCAGCAAGAGTCTTGCAAGTCTTGCAATTACCTATTAGACTATTGCTATTTCTTAAAGTTTACTTTAGATCTTAGAAAAACGTATTAGAATTGGAACATTGTGAGCTTGAATTAACATAGCCATAGTAAAGACCAATCAGATTAATAAATGTCTGAAGATTTGATAAGAAATTCGAAAAATCAACTGTCACATGTTTATCAACTGAGCTATATGCCGTTTTCCATGGGAGTAACTGTTTCTTAATAAACATTTACACTTTATAAGCTCACATGTGCTAAAACATGTAAAAAACAAATTAATTACAATTACTCGACTGTATTTTAAAGAAAAATATCTGTCTAGAAAGAGATTGAACCCTCAACTTATATGAAATTTAATAAAAGAGCTTTACGATTTATTATTTATTTCATTAAAAAATAAGAAATTTAAGAAATATTTTGACTAAATGTACAATAATAGTACCTAAGTAATCAGTTTAAACCCATATAATCAATATTATAATATAAACTTACTACTACCTACCCTTACCATTATCTAATCATAATACTACTTGCGTGATCAGTATTATGTATTCGTTTCCATTCTAAGCACTCTGAAAATTATTTATTCTTTGGAACACCTGTACTCTAAAATTCGAAAATCGAAGTTCGTGTCGTACCGTCTCGCTCGCTCATATATTAAATAGTATTAGTGTGAGTGGGACGGCATGACACGTAATTAGAATTTTGCATGAGTATACCTAGGCCACGGTAATAATATCATACAGTATTCTATCTTCATACAAACGGTCGGAAAGTGTGTCATACCTACGCCACTCGAGTTCGATGTAGGGACACGATATCGAATAGAAAGTATCGATACTGTACTCATGAGTAGTATCGGTAAAAAAGTATCGTACTCGTAAAAGTATCGAAACAAAAGTATCGATACTTCAAAGTATCGAGTACATTTCATAGGGCCTTATCGGAGCCTCTGTGGCCTGATGAGCAACCCCTCCCCCCCCGTGTTAAAATTGAAAGAAAAACAATCGAATTTTATTATAGTACGTATAATCAAATACAAAAAAAGGACATGTAAATTCACAAATTGCTATATTATATAATGAAAGGAAAATGGCTGTGATTTCTGACACTAAAAAAGTGATCATTAATATTACATTCATAATTAAAATGTTAATTAAAAAGATCGAAATCTTAAACAATTTAAAAGTATAAGATTCATACTTCAGATTCAGATTTGTTTCAAATTAAACTTACTTTTCTTGAATTTTAATCATTAAAAAACATTATACCCACTTATGTTAACTTGAATCTGACACGTAGTTAACGGCTGCCATTGGCATGCTTCACTCAAGATTATAATTATAGAAGAGGTTACGTCCGTCTTTTATTCAGGTGGTTTCAAATAGGTATACACAGCACAGACAGAATAATAGTGTTACACTTGAATAAATCAAATACAGTCAAGCGAAAAGCACAATAAACGGCGAATCAATCACAGTTCCTAACAATATGGTCGCTAAATAAATAACTATGAAACAAAACAAAGCGTAAAATAAACACAGTCACAGATTGGAAAGAATTTGAATATGTCAGTTACTGACTTTATAACGACGCAATAGGGCATTTGACAGTATTAAAAATAAAGTGCCAAAATAACGAAAAAGATATTAGTTTTCTTATCTATTGTCACGTGATCCAAAACGCTTGGGATTGGCGGAGCCTAAAATGACGTCACACGCAAATAAACTTCCGGTTAAAGTGACATTACATTGTATCGTTTGACGTTTTAATAACAGTCGTGTGACGTCACACACTAGTAAGACGCCATATTGTCCAGAGAAACGTTTTCGCGACAACTTGAAAATGGGGTTTTTGATTTGGTTATTTTTACTAAAATACACGACAGAATGATGAATATCCTAATCCTTTTTTTACGGACTCCATAAACATTAGTCAATATCGTGAGATCGTTGCGTAAAACTTGTCAAATACCCTATGGATCGTTTTAGAAGGTAAGTTTGCTGTGATTTAACAAGATGGCGTTGCCATCAATATGAGGCGCTTATCCAAATTTTTAAAGGTATCGAAACTTGCCAAAAAGTACTCATTTAGTAAAAGTATCGAATACAAAGTATCGAGTACAAAAGTATCGGTATCGAAAGGAAAAGTACTCGATACCACTAAGTATCGATACTTTTTTCGTGTCCCTAGTTCGATGTGCTCTCGGCGGGCACCCAGTCGCACGGGGGATAATCTTCATACAACGGAATGCAATCATAGTCGGCCGCCATTACTGGAAATAAGTGACATTTCTTTTTTTTAATTTTGATGAAATTGCTTCTTTGACAAGCATGACACATGACATGTATGATACGCCGGCCGGCCTTATTTGTTCATTGCGATTTGCCTGTGGATTTGCGTTTAACGTGTTGATCGAGTCAAGTACTTGTGCTTATTACTCTCCACTTTAAATGCAATTAGGCCTTCATTGTTATTCGTATTTTACGTCTTTTACGATGTAATACGAGTGCTGTGTGTGCAAAAGATCGCGACAGGACGCTTTATTATATCATTTTTCTGGCAACTGGAAAAGACTTACTATGTGGTTAAAGTGTATAAACCGTGATGATTTGAAGGCATTACCTAAAGATCAGCTTTCGAATCTTTTCGTGTGTCAAAAGCACTTCGAGACTCGTTTTATTACGTCGGAATCACGGCTCAAAAAAATTGCTTATCCATCATTGTTCACTGAAGTCAAAATATTGAGTGGAATTATTGTCACCTCCACCTATTACAAAACAGTGTCTTATGCAATAAGTCAGCAAAAAAGTTTATCAACATTATATATATAAATTGTATTTAATAAAATTTATTTTTCAGATGGCACTGTGAAAATCAGAGGGGTGAATTTAAATATTATTTATGACCCCTGTCATTTGATTAAGGGGTTGCGGAAGAACTTTATAACTAAAAATATATTAATGGATGGGAGAACTTCCAAATGGAGTGATATTGTTGATGTCTACAAAACAGACTGTAGTCATGCTGAGGTCAGGCTATTACATAAATTGAATGACGAACATGTTATTCCAGAAAAGATAAAGAAAATGAAGGTGGGTTCTCCTTCATTACTACAAAGAAATAATCTTGCAAAGCTAGTACAGTCAGCATCAAAAGTACAATCATCTGATGCTGACCATATCATATGTCTTACATAATATCTGGGTGGTGGTCTTACTTATTTTGTCTTGTCAACATTTTATTGAAATTTGTATTTTGTTATAGGTAAAGAATTGTGTAAAAGTATTAAGCAGTACCATGTCTGCTGCATTATCGTACACTGCAAAATTTTGTAAGTATATTTTATAATACTGAATAAACATTTAGTTCTGTTGTACTGAAGTAAAAGGTGTGTCATGCTCATCTTAGATAGAAATAAAATAAATTTAATGTTATTTCACTAACAGACAAAGTAATGGTCATAATATTACATGGTACAACAGGACTCGTAAAACAATCTATAGATGCAACAGGACTCATAAAACCATCTGTAGATAGTATAGTACAAAATTGCTCTTTCTATATGTACCCCTAAAACTTTTAATCTAGGCATCGGATTCCATGCAGTTTTTAGCAATAAAGAAGAATGATCGAAGAGGAACATTTACATATATATTATAGTATACATTGCATTCGTACGAAGCTGGGGGCGGCGTTTTAGTATAAGTTATAAATATTTGTAAAAAGACATTATTTTTATAGGATGTTTAAAATATTGTTTCAGCGCACTATGCCGATGGTAGACCCGTCAGTGAAACCCTGGACAACACCGCAAAGACCGTCTTATTCTTAGACCAATTATTTGATAGCATAAACGGAGCCTCCATGTTAGGGAAAAAATCTAAAGGGAAGTGTCAACGAACGGCAGTCACAAATAATTCACCGCATCATGTATTCTGGAATGAATCTATAAATAAATTACAAAAATGAAATATGTCGATAATACAGGAACAGAAAAGTCAGTGCCCTCATTGGCAAATTTTATAACTACATTATAAAGTTATCAGAGGCTGTGGCAGCTTTTTAAAAAAGAAAATATGAAGATAATGCGTCCGAGATATTTTAATTCTGACAC